CGGCACCTTTAGTCCGCCGTCGGCCCCGCCGCTCGGCACGTACGACGCCACACCGTACACGCGCTTGGCTGTACGCCCGTCGTCGTGGCCACCCACTTATGACGGCTGACCCGACGTGCTGCCAATCTCCTTGCACTTTCCTGCATATATGCTGATCTGATGTGGTAATTAATTCTATATTTTATAAATTGATTGATTTGGTTTAATTGATTAATCTTTTTCTTTTATTAATGTTTTTTTAAAATATATATTAGGTTTCCGAACTTATATATGTTAGGATCAAGCTCTTATCACTACTTCAAAAGTTATAGTTAATAGCAAAGACTTATAGACTGCCATCATATTTTCGATATAGTAGATGTTGGACTTGACTTTTTAAGTCATTTACAGACCTCTGCCTAACAAATAACAATCTTTTAGTCACCAATGCTAGACTTAACATTTACCGGTCTCTGTCCAACAGAAACTAATCTCAAGTAGCCTTTTAGCTGCCCACGTCATTGACTCTGTCCACAAAGAGTCCAAAGACCCAAACTCCCGTGTGGGGAGCCCTTGTAGGAGTCGAATCTTTACTCTACTATAGAAATAGTGACCTAAGATGATTTACTACTTGAACTAGTTTTGAGGAACAATTTTTATTTTTTTGTTTAGTGGCATTTACACATGGCCATATGCCCATATATGCATCATTTCTATGGTTTCTGCTCGCTGCGTCGTCGTCACTGCATTATATATTAGTGTTTTATACTCCGTAATTGATTATGTATGCTGGAATGACGTCACTGGGTGGACGTGATGAATATATTTATATATGACGTTTTCATTTCGTTCTTACTTCTTAGTATATTTCCGATGGGCGGTCGCCGTCGCCGTGGCATTTAGCGACTGCGCCAATTAACAAGCATGTATAGTTTCGTGTCGTACATATTACATTTATTAATGTGGGAGTGTCACTATTATTGTTCTAAAAGGTTGAATCTTTAACTCTGACCTGACAAAACATCTGAGATGTGTATTACTGCGGTTGATGAGATTTAATCCCAGGTCATTGTTCCCAAACTTCATCTATATGACCAACTGAGTTGCCCATGCAGGCGGAGTGTCACTATTATTGGTTAGGTGTAAAGTGAATTAACTTGGGGTCATTATGGGAAAGTGTGTATTGATGAGTAAATTAATTAGTAGGAGTGAGCAAAGAGCTTGACAAAAAGAGGATCGATGTATGTTGACAAGAATCGAATTAGGATGTGGATGAAAGCGCAACACTTGTTGGACATCCCGGCCCGTGTAATGTTTTGTTTTTAAACCTGCAACAAATTTGACTATAAGAATGTTGACAAGAATCGAATTAAGATGTACGTGAACGCACAATACTTGTTGAATGACCCGTGCAATACGTGGTTTTAAGCCTGCAACAGATTCGATTATGAGAATATTGACAAAAATGTAAACTCCTAACCTTCAAATATAAAAGTATTACTCTACTAATCACTCACCCATTCGCTTAATATTCTTCAATTTTACATACAATATTACTTGTTTCTTTCCACCTTTTCTTTTTTTCTTTTCACTTTATCCATACATTCCTAATTAGTCTGCCACTTACTTCCACCTCTGCATCTCTCTTTCATACAAACAATCATTTAGTTGTCTTATTATTGATCTTCAATTCTGATATTGCATTGTACCCTTTTCTTCTTTTCTCATATATTCTTCCATATCATACAATAGTTTATTATTATGCATTTGCTTCAATTCCAGTAGTAGTTTTATTTTATATTATTTTTACTAAGAAAAGCATTCATATTCAGTGTACATGGAATTATAAATTAACCAAAGCCTTTGAGAAGATGATTCATAATTATAGGGAAAACGAGATCAAGAAATCAAGAAAAAACAAAAACAAAAGAAAAATTAATTAAAACGTTGAATTTATGTGGTTCGGCAATTTAATTACCTACATTCACGATAGTGAAGCAGTTCTTTATTAATTGTGATAATAATACATCTAAAGTTACAAACATTGTATTTATATATGCAACTAATAACTCTAACCTACGGTATATTTACAAAATTAATGTTGTATTGTGTCGTGGGACACTGCCCCGACTAAACTAATCCTGAAGTACAAATCTAGCAAATAAAGTTAGGCTCCTAAGGGGAACTAAAAAATGTTGATGTAATTGTTTGTTGAAATGAATAGTTCATATTATTTTGATTTTAGTATTTTTTTTTTTAATTTTCCCAACTTGACCCTCTATTATACCATTTACTTTTCTTAAATACCCATACATTCCGTTAATGTAAATTTTAGTAATAGAGTATTCTGTTAACTATTTATCATTCTTAACTTACTCATATGATTATATGAGTAATACACAACAATATTTTATTAATATTCTTGAAAAGAGTAAAACATAAGTGTACGTGGTTGATACAAAGTATTGACTTTGTTTTTAAACAGAGTATTCTGTTAACTATTTTAAAAATAATTAAAAAAAAATATTCTAGCATATTGTTGTTAAAAATAAGAATTATAAAATATTTTTTTAAAATTGTTTTCCAATATAAATTGGAACGGAAAATAGAGAGGAATAAAAAGGAAGTTAAGAAGAAAGACACATGAACAACTATATTCATCATGAAATGCTAGAATTGTTTGTATCTAATTATTCAAGAAATTGATTAGAAATATAATGACATTATATTGTAATATAATTGAAGCTAATATCATGCATTCGAGGTTAAATTGAAACTAAAATTATAAAATTATTTAGTGTCAAATTGACTCTTAACTTAAATTATTTTCGATTGTTGAAATGAAATTTACATGCTTTCGATATATGCAATGAAATCTGATATGATGAATAGAAACGTTACGTTAGTTTTGTTTATAATAGACTTACATAAATTTTAAAATATTTCTCAATGAATATATTCTAATTAAAATGAAATTATCAATAAAAAGATATACAACTATTATAAAAAATAAACACACACACATACTCACACATATATATACAAAGTTAATTGAACCCTAGCATCAAGGACATGTATTGTCTCACCTCTAGAATTGGGATATGGGATATGGTAATTATAGGTAGATGCTCTGTCCGGTCAGGGTTTGGGGCCCTTAAGGTTGGGACAACCTTTTGAAAAGAATGGTAATTATAGGTAAGCAAAGTCCAACATAGCTCTAATAACTATTAATGTGCAGAGTGAAATTAACCTTAAAATTTATAAGTTACATTATTATTAAAATTTAGAAGTGTGATAATGTTACACTTCCGTATAAACATTAATCTTCGATACTTACCATTTACCAATAACATGTTATATATATATACTTTAGCAGCCGCAGAGTCCAAACTCTTATCAGAGAATCACTTTTTCCTAGGTTTTTCTTTGTCTGTAGGCTAACGTTACGTTTTAAGCCAGTTGTTTTGTCATTTAGGTTTCACGTGCATAAAACATATAATATAATAATTAACAACAGCAGCAATCATAGTAATATAGTAGTATGTCATTATTTAGGTAGCCTTTGGAGGCTAATTAGAATGGCTATGACAAAAACATGTTGGTTAAAACATGGATAAATCAATCCTATGGTTGTTGCATGTGACTCCCTAGTATATCATCCTAGATTTTTTTTTTTTAAAAAAAAACAACGAGTCCAGAATATAATGATATTGATGGGATTAGGTCAACTTGGGATAATTTAAGTACCAGAATTCACAACTATCCTAGCTTGAAAAATGAGAAAGAAATAATAAATAATGAATAAATAGTAAATATGATACAAGAGTTTTACCTAAAAATTTGAAAGAAAAAATTATGAGGCTTTTTAAGTTAAGTTAATCCAAAGAGTTTCACATAAAAAAGGTATGGTAGGAAGTCGTTAATAGAGGCCTTCATTGATGAAGAAGGAAGAAATAGAGTTGGAGCTTAGAGCAAAGTTTGTTGCCTTTGACCCCTTCTCTTTGATCTTTGATCTCTTAAGTAATATTTGCGCTACGAGTGTTTATTTTTTAAGTAAGATAGTTTAACAGCTTGAAATGTTTCCTCAACCACTTCTAAATTGTCTTTTTATCGTTTTCTCTAGTAGCATTGACATAAAATTGACTTAGTGCAAAACAATGGCAAGCCTTAATGACAAGTAATAATGTTGAAGAACTTTAAAATACTCATGGGATGTTTACCTCAGGAAACTATTCTTTATTTTTTGTTTTTTAATTTTTCAGTTTGTATTATTATTTAGAGTAAATTTCAATTTTGGTCCTGTGGCTATGGGATTTTGTTAATTGCAATCCATGACTTTCAAATTTGTTAATTTAGTACCTTAACCATTCAATTTCTATCAATTTTAGTTATGCCGGCCAAATTGCTAACCAAATCTCATCGAAAAAATTTAACTAACTAATTAATCTTTAATAATGTAAGGTGCAAAATCGTCTTTCTATGTCTGGTCCAGCCACGCCGACACTACATTTCTCCCTCACTCCTCCCTCTCTTGATAAAAAATTCCATTATTTCCGGCAATGGTGGTGAGGCCACGGATCGACAAAGACATTAGCTCATTCTTCGGTGACTAGTTCTTCTCAGACAGAGCAGCAAACTCGGCGACCTTGAGCAGCGAAGCTTCGACGACCTCCAACAGTGATGGTGTGAGTAGCGGCGCAACAACTTCGGCGACCGTGTTCCCTTCTCTTTTTTTTTTTTTTTTTTCGGTGTCAACCTCTTTCCACACCGGCCGGCCTTGGCGTGAAGGATGATGTTACTAATGGCGTGGCCTCACCACGACGACTGGGTTTCCTTTTTTTTTTCAACGTCGACCTTTTTCCTACCGACAGCCTTGGAGTGAAGGATAATGTCACTAATAGTGAAGCGTGACTTCATCTATCAATTTTGGTTACGCGGACCAAATCTCACCGAAAATATTTAACTAACCAATGAATCTTTAATGTAAGGGCCAAAATCGTCTTTCTATCCCATTCCTAAATTCCTAATTGACGCCTCACGCCGCCCCTCCCCTGCGCCTCCAGCCGAACCAGCGCTCCCTAGACAAAATCACCACAGCGCCTCCACAATCCACTGCTCCTCCCCTCCCCTGCGACAGCGCCGAGCCCGCCGATCACCTGCCCTGCTTCCGTTCTCGCCATTGTTTGAACTTTGAAGGTAAGGAACTTTGAACTTTGAATGATTTCTTCTAGTTTACTGCAATTTCTGTTTGAAATTTACACTTTCCAGCATTGGAGGCTGGAATTTTCGGCCGTAAAGGCTACAAATTCCGGCATTGAAGGTTGGAAAACCTGGCCTTCAAGGCCGGTCGAAGACTGGAAATTCCAGTCAGTTCTGTTTGGTGAGGGAATTTGTATTTGTAATTACTAGGTTTCAGTGTTGGGCTTCATGGTGAAGAGACAAGTAATCATCAAAGTATGTGATTAGAGCTATAGATTAATAATAGCATTGTAATTGTAATGTAATGATGCTTCAAATGGAGCTATAGACTAATACAGAAGATTATCTATTGTATTGATGTACTTTGAAGATACTCTTCTTTGCAGTAGACATTGGAAACACTATTGACTGCACTATTGAGTAGTTTAAACAAGGAATATTTTCCCATTAGAATAGCATTTGCAAAGATATATGGCATACTTTGATTTATATGTATGTATGTTTAACTACATGTTTTCTATTCAATTACAGCTTAATCTGGATTAGATTTATATGATAATTTATTTCCTTGCTATGAGCCTACTAGTTAGCATAACAGAGTAAAACTCTTCATGTATTGTTATCTGTGATTTCTCTGTTTCTCGTTTCTCTTGCTTTTTATATGGGCTGGTGAATTAACTATGGCTAGAATACTAGATGACTAGATGTTATGCCATTTGGGCTGTTCCTTTTCCTTTCTTTTGCTAAAGCCTCACATCAATCAGTGCTCAACTCCCCTAAAGTATTTTTCTTTATTTTTAGCTCTTACAAGTTTCATCATGTTTATGTTATGTTCTAATAAAGCTGCTGTTCTCCTACTTTTCTTTACAGATTTTTCTTGTTTTTTTGACAGTGTAAAAATATGTAATTTATATTCAAAATTTCATATAGCTGATATAAGTATGATCTTTCCACTTTGCATTTTACTTTTTGAGTATTTTGTGTCGTGTATTAGCTTATAATACTGGAATGGATGAATTGGTTGATCATGTTAACGTATATCATTGCCAATATAGTACACTATCTGCATATTTATTTCTGTCGTAGGTTGTTTTGGATATTACTGCATACTTTTATGCAGTACATGTTTCTGGATTGTTTGTTCAATGTAACTATTTAATGTTTTGTTTTTGAAAAAAAAAAAAAAAACTTTTTTGTTTTGTTTTGTTTTGTTTTATTAGTGTATTAAGTCTTTATAGAGGATGTTTTTCTTGAATTTTACTTGAAGGGAGTTCATCTACTATTTAGCTTCTGGGGTTATACATGTAAATTGTATGTATATGTTTGATTTTTCTTGGAACGCTACAACTGATCGGGAGTTCATCTACTGTATAGAGGGTGTTTTCGTTGAATTTTACTTGAAGCCTCCTCCTCCACCCATGTCTATAATCAATCAGAAATTTGGTAGTAAAACTGTGACACAGTTGAGGAAATCCAAGACTAGTCAAAATGGACGTCCTGGTTTAGGCAGCTCACAGAAGGATCTTTGTCTCCCGTCTTCTTGTGAATTAATCATTAAATGTTGAGAATTGGGGTTCCCAAAGTCCCAAGTCGAACCGAAACCGAACTACAATGTTAAACCAAATGGTTTCAATTTTTTTCAAAACCGGGGAAAAAAATGAACAGAATACCGAATGCCCACCCCTAGTCCAGACCAACATAGAGCCCAAAACCACTAAGACCTAATCGTTAAACTCTTTTCTTCAAACAGAAAATCATCATTGGTTTTGCAGATTTCTACGCTGGTTCTTTGTGAAACAAGAAGAAGAAAATGGCGCTGGGGCTATTGCTTGGACTTGCAAGGTCATTCAGAAGAAAGCGAACATCTTCTCTCGAAATTCTCACTTCCAAACGTGGTCCGAGGGGTTTCTACAAGGGCAAGAATTGCATACCCACTGGCTTCCACACTCGCAAAGGTTTTCAATTTTCCCTTTATTTTTCTGTTAAAAATCCTTTCTTGATGGTCGTCTTAAGCTCAGATTGAACTAGAATATTCGATTTTTTTTTTTTTTTTAATTTCCTTTGTTCCCAAAAGTTTTTACCTGTATGAATACAAATTCCCAATTTTAAGGCTCCGAAGTTGATAATGTGCATTCCTTGAGGAAGATTAAATTCTGTTATTTGGGTTATTATAACTCCGCAATTCTGTTGATTGTGAAATGTGAACTCCATTGGGTGGATGATGCAGGCGGTTATGTCGTGGTTCCAGAAAAGCTTCCTAATTATGTGGTTCCAGATTTAACCGGTTTCAAGGTACTTAAAAACTTGCTTCTAAAAGAAATTGATTTTCAGATTACTATATTTCAACAAGGCAATTTAGCCAGTTGTTTATGTGCATAGTTGTCAGCGCTTTAGAATATTGAACCTTGCAGTTTTAGTTCAACACTTTTCTGTTTAGCTACATCTTATAAAAAACATGTTAAAGTATTGCAATTTCAATCCAAATGGCACCCTGACAGAGGGCTTACATTCTCCTTCTCAGAGAGAAGATGGACAACAATTGGTATCTGTTGATTGCTATTTTTGGATTGATTTGCAAATTGACACGCTTCTTTTGATTTGCAGCTAAAGCCATACGTATCGCAGTGCCCAACAGAAGCCAAAACAGCAGAGGCTGCCGATTCTGCTAAATAATATCTCAGTAGGATTGTAGGAAGTACACAATTCATACTTTCGCTTCATTTTGCTCTTTCTTCTGAAAGATTTCATCGTACACTCTCGCCATATTTTCTGAATGCATTCCCCTAATACATTAGATTACTTGATCCCTACATGTTTGATGTTTCTTCACTCACCAACCCCGCTTCGTGTTTTGTCCGGGTTGTAATAATGCTTCTATTCCTCCTCATTCTGTACCTAGATCTTCGTCAATCAAAATTTTAAATTTGGTGTAGAATTCAAGTTTTAATTGTGATAATGTGAATAATGTTTAACTTTAAACATAAGTGAATAAGTTATATTGTTATATAAGTAAAAATGAGTAGAAAAGATTGAAGATTTTGATGAGTAAAAAAGAAAATGATAATGAATCTAATCATAATAATGAATAAATATATAAGTAGTTAATAGTGAGAATGTGGTCATAGTGATAGATAATTCTATTTTTCATTTAGAAAATAAAATTTTAAAGTTCTTCAATTTTCTAAAAATCTGCAAAATGTTTCCAATGTATTAATAAATATGTTTTATGCTTTTTATTCTCAAAAGAAAACTGAAAAAATTCTCCAATCAATAAATGGCCCTCAGGTTCTGAAAAATGTTGGAATAGAAGTAAATATCCCTCAGGTTCTGAAAAATGTTAGAATAGAAGTAAAAATCTTTGCACCAGCCGGGAATCGAACCCGGGTCTGTACCGTGGCAGGGTACTATTCTACCACTAGACCACTGGTGCTTCTACGTTTATCCTTTCTAAAAGAACTCCTAATATAGAGAATATTCATTTATTAATATTATCCGAAACCAATTACTTATAGTTATATCACCCGTACGCCGTACCCATCTTAAACCCATTTATTGTTTAAAAGAAAAAAACCCATTTATCAATACATAGAGGTTACTCAATCATTATTGTATGGACCATGGTCCACAAAAGTTGTGTGGACCATATTTTGTCTACTGTAAAATAATGTACATTCAGTACAAAAATAATGTACATTCAATACAAAAATAATGTACATTGTATTTAGGGGATGTACATTATTTTTGTTCTGAATGTACGTTATATTGTATAATGTACATTTAGTATATTAAAAATGTACTTTTTGTTATGGTCCACATAACATTGTGTGGACCATGGTCCACACAATAATTTACCGAGGTTACTTCAAGCCTTCACTAATTAAAAATAAAATATCAACCGAACCCAATAATATATATATCCAGAAGCAACCTTAACCAAATTAGTTACACATTTCAAGTCATCCCTTTATTAGTCTGAATTGCTTAAGCTCAACTATGGGTAAACTATATTAATTTATCTCCTTGAAGTCTTTTGTCACTTAGAGTCACAAAGCAAGTAAATGATTTATCTCCTTGAAGTCTTTTGTCAATTATAGACTAGAGTAACAAAATGGGTAAATGATTTATCTTGATATCTTTTGTCGATTAGAGTCACAAAACTGGTAAATTTGAGTCATGTTCCCATCAAACATGGAAATTTGAGGCAATAGAGTGATAGAGTAAACCTCAACAAAACAACCTGAAAAAAGGGGGGGGGAGTGGGGGCATAGATGGCTATTTAAACATGCCTCTAGTGTTGTGTTCATATCAAAATATTGATTTATATTTCCTCTTATAGTTGCAAAGAGGAAGAAGATGAAGAGATTGACAATTTGATGAGTCACCCCTTACCCAACAACTATACATAAGACTAATTTTTACAGAACTCTCTCTCTCTCTCTCTCTCTCTCTCTCTCTCTCCCTGTCTCTCCTTGAGCTATGTATATATCTTTGCTAATCTACCTTGCTCCCACACTCGAGTTGTATATAGAATTTGCTTTTCTTTGCATTTCTTGAGCCCGGGCTCTATCGAGTCTTGCCTTCTCGATCCTTGAACGCCTCGCAGCTTCCTGGATACGACGATCATGGTCCTTCAGCAACTGATCCACTTTGCTCGACGGAACAAGTAATGGACCCGAAAAATGAATGTTGTTCCCGTTCGAGTCATGGCCCTGCTACACAAACGAACGCGAGGTAATCAATACCCGTGGTGAGTTAATCATGTTCTAAGGCATTATTGATTCCCGGGAATCGAGTTTCTAAAATAGGAAACTATGCAAGTAAAGTAAACATGTTTTCTGTTTTCTATTCTCGACTCTGGTTGGAAATTTACTTATTCTTGAGTGAAATAAGGTGAATAAAAGAGGGGACTAACCTGATCGGCTTCTTTGGCTTTGGACCTTCCATTTCCACCGTGACGAGAAGCACCGAACTTCTGCACATAATGCCTTGGGTCCTGTCTCCTCACAGCCGCTTCAAGCAACTCCACAGGCATTTCCATTTGGTTTGAGGAATCGAGCTGAGAAGCAGCAAATCTATCTTGCGAGTCTCCAGGAAAAACGGGCCTGGACAATATTGACAGGTCGGCCCTGCTAGAGCCAATGGAGATATCGTCATATCGCTTTGCAGATTTTGACCAATCGATTCCTGGAGCTAAAGGCCCCGAATGAGAAATTATTGGCGGAAAATGATCCGAGTGATTCTTGATCGGTTCGTTTATAGCTCGTGATGGTCTCGGTGGATCAATAGGAAACCCAGCGGCAGTTTTATGTGGGTTCATGAACTGCTCGCTTCGGGTCTTAGAATTTTCCTTCCTCCTCTGCAATAAACGCAAATCAAATATATACAGAACCGTGAATATCTTTAGCTAAGAAGCAGTTATAACCCCCGTGAAAGAAAGCAAGCACAAATCGAAAAATTTCCATGGTTCTAATTCAAGAATACGAAATAACCCTCCAATTATATATATACCTGCAAAGACCTAGCTATCTCGGCATTTGCATCAGGTCCTGGAGCTCCTCGAGGTTCTTTCGGCTGGTCCTTAGCTCCAACTCCTTGCCTACAGTAATTATTTTTTATGTTTTGTAAGCGAGAAAGACAACATATAATAAACTTTCGATACTCGAGTTATTCAGTTTACTATGAACTGTATCGGGGAATTTTAAATTGAGGTGCAAGGTCACTATTAAACCGAGAACTGCATTTTTGAAATGTTAACCGAATTACCTTCTATGTTCCTCTTCGCGCAATTTTGCATCAATCTCCTTGCTGGGAGGGTATTTTGGTAAACTGGAAGGATCGCAAGCAAATGGCTTTGTTGTGAAGAACTGTCAAAGAGTAGTGTTAAACGGGAAACAATAATTTTAAATTACAAAAAAAAAAAAAAAAAAAAAAAAAAAAAAAGGGGCAACCCCAGAGCTAGGTTGGTCAGCCTGTTGACTTGGTAACTACAAGCGGGAGAGGCCTATTGGCCTTCTTGGTTTGAGCCAGTCAGCTATGGACAACCTAGGTTGGTTTACCTCCTTGTGGTCCATTGACAGCGAGGATCACAAGGCGGGCCCAGTGCACATCCTCGGCTAGTGGGTGCGGATTTCCCTCGTCACAGACCCCCCCACTAATTATCGAACCGTACTTGAACAATGCTAAAAGCTTCGTGGCTAAGAGAAACTTACATCACTCTTTAGAGCAAAACTTGCAGTTCCTCGATGTTCAGGATCTATAGAAAGTAAAGAATCCATGAGCTCCACAGCAACAGCGGGAAGATCCTTAAACGACTCGAGAATACGCCGCCTATAAGGCTGTATTGGCCTGAACACTGTCGAATGAGGTAGTTTTGCGTTCTTCCAATAATCTTCAGATGGCGAACCACAAAGCTTAAAAATTTTATGCAATTGTTCTACCTACAAGGCAAAGTTACATTTAAAGCCCGAGAAACACACACGATAACTGCAGCACTAAATGATAAACACAAGTGTTATTGCACGTACCTCAGTTCTACCGGGCATGATTGGCTTGCCCGCGTATAGTTCTCCGAGTATGCAACCAGTACTCCACAAGTCTATTCCGACTCCATAGTGGGTTGCTCCGAGCAAAAGTTCTGGCGGTCGATACCACAGAGTCACAACACGGCTTGTTAGTGGAACACTTTGCTTCGGATCATAAAATGTTGCTAACCCAAAATCCGCAATTTTTAAGATTCCCTGATTGTCGATTAGAAGATTTGAACCCTTTATATCCCGATGTAGAACACCGTGACTGTGGCAATGATCAAGTCCACTCAATAGCTGTTGCATGTAACATTTGACCTACAACAAGTAGAAAGAAATGAGAATTAAGGCTCATAGTAAGCCACAAAGTTAGGGAGAAGGAAATAATCATTTTGATGCTTCAATATCGGTTTCTGTTCGGAAAGACAATAGATCAGGATGTTGACTTAGTAACCACAAGATTACAAGTTCGACTTCCATCAGGAGCGGTCTATTGGCCTTCTTGGTTTGAGTCGGTCACCTATAGGCAACCCAGACTGGTTTACCTCCTTGTGGTCCTTTGCCGGCTAGAGTCACAAAGCGGGGTTTACCCAGTGCACACCTTTAGGTAGTGGTTGCGGGTTTCCCTGATCACTCAAATAAGAGTGATAGAAGAATAAGAGCACAAAGGCATTTACCTGAGGTTCGGTAAACTTGGCACCGGGAAGGGATGCCAATCCAGTGAGGTCATGTTCCATATACTCGAAAACAAGATACAAGCTGGACGATGATCTTGAGGTGACCAAGCCTTCCAATTTTATTATATTCGGGTGATCAAGTCTTCGTAAAATGAGGATCTCCCTTGCCATAAACTTGACACTTTCGGGATCAGCACTATCGAACCTAACTCTTTTCAACGCTACAACTTTATTGTGTATCAGGTCACGAGCTTTGTACACACTGCTATAAGTTCCTTGGCCAATCTGCAAGAACAAAGCTCCATCTCACAACAACGAAAACAATCAATTGAGAAAATTATCTATGGTTATTTGTAGGTTATATTAATCCCACATCCCCACCCCAAAATAAAAACTAATAAGTAGCTCTAAGCCTCTAAGTAATATTCAAAATGGTTTGACACATAAAGAGAACTTAAAACTTTGAATTCAAAAAGCAAAATTCTATTAAATCAGAGTCGATATACAGTTCGGTAAGGGCATGGACTCAATAAATTGTGCAGATATAATAGGACAACATGCTATCAATCACAAGATTAAACGAAAGACTCGGGATGGCATGAACGAGCATAGCAAAAACTGCATAAACTAAATAAATTGTGCTCGAGACCAGAGCGCTACCTTATCCAATTTCTCGAAAGTATCAGCTTTACGAGGAACCCATCCGAGTATAGCCTCACCAGCAACCGCAGCAAACCAAGCGGGCCAGCCTGCAGCAACTAATTCCGCTTCTGTAGCCTTGGAAACATTTCCACATCCAGGACTACATGTGAAAATAACTTCAGAACTCTTATTGATCAACTCAAAGTTATCATCCCTCACTCTTCTAGACCCATTAGCCTTCTTATCAATCAATCCACTCCTTGCATCACCCTTTCCCTTCTTCTCTTTCACCCTGAAGCTCTCTTCTCTCCTCGAAGAGAGAGCCCGTTTCGTGACCGATTCCGATGATCCTTTGATGGATTCTCTCTTCTTTTCACCCCCTGCCCTATCTTTGGCAGAAGAGGAAGCTTTCCCACAGATGCAACCCATTCTAAACTCACTATGAATCCAATCAAAACCCACAAATCAACACAACCCCACAAGAATAGGGTTCTCAATCACTCCTATTTTCAGAAGCTCCATTGAAACAAAACATCAAACAATCACAACTCATGCCAGAATACCAAAATCCCAATTAAAGAACACAGCAATTCAGTACTTTCAGATCATAAAACTCCAAGAAAACACAAAAAGAATCATAGTTCACAACGAACAGTAAATACCCAGAGGCTCAATTCACAAGCTGTGGTCCATGCAAGAACCAAAACCAAAAAAGACTCCACCTTTCCACAAAATTCAACCCAAATAAACAACCTCAGACCTTATTCACATAAACCCAAAACCTCAATCAACCTCCTCGGATCTCCCCAACTGTATCATCTGCTCCTGCGAAACTCCAGCTGTTGTTGTTGGAACTAAAATGGAAGAATATAAAACTTGCCTTTTTTTAATAGAAACAATATGCGGTAGTGCTTTGACTGTTCAACACGCTTATGGTAATGAATAATGAATGCATACTTATGGTATAAAAATCACGGCGAGAGGAGAGAGAGATGAGGCCGGCAAGTGCTCAAGTCAGTCAAGCTGTGCTATAAGAACGCACTTTCTCTCTCTATAACTAAAACAGTTGATTAGTCAATATGATATCTCTCTCTCTGCAAAACCGGGGGTTGGAGGAAGCTAAGAGAGAGTCAAAATGGGGTCGTTGAGGACTGTTTGGAAATCTACGACAAACATCACATCTTTGTGGTTTTAAAACGTTAATCTAAGAAGAACAGTTGTACCTTCGACCAAACACCATTTAAGAATGAATGTTGTTTTTTTATAAACAAAAAGTAATATATGGAAACTAGAAATTTACAAAATCAATTTATATAATTTCCGTATCATAATTAGTTATATATAATTTTAGTAAGTTGGACCAAAAGCAATAAGTATCCAAACAAGGTTTAATTTGATTGAATACCATCATAGATATTTAAAGAAAATTTATATTTTTTTGCCCTTCACCGAAATTTCTTAATGTGAATGAAATTTAATTTGTGTAGATGAGATAATGTGGGGCTCTCTTAGTTTAATTAGAGGTTTTGAGCTCGAGTATAAGAATATACGGAGTAATAATTATCTTAAAATTTATAAAGAGGTGTGTTTGTTATGATGACTACATTATTTATCACTCGACGCCCCGACCCACTTTAATTTTCTCCACCCACCTCCACTTCACTGGGTGCAGGTACCCATATCTTATTACAATATTTTAAAATATATTAAAATTACTTACACCATAATAAAATTCACTAGTTATATTAAAACATAAAATAATAGAAATATTCAAATATAATAACTAAATTGTTAATTTTGTAAAAATAAACTTCTTAGTTTAGAACTAAAAATAATACACCGTAGCCAAGCACCTTGTGCTCAGTTGGCATGTAGTGACCTTTGCCTCAGTGAAGGCTCTGTTGACTCTGTGTGCTTCTTTAGATTGAGAAAGTATGTGTTCCAGTGCGGGTGAGTGTGTATTTAATGTGATGTGAGTTGTTGAAACTTTAAGGTGCGTGAGTTTGTGTTCTGAATGTTTTTTGTTTGTGTGTTTAATGTGCGTCTGTTGTGTACTTAAAGTGCGCCAGTGTAATGCTTAATGTCAGTTCACCCGCACAACCGCACGTGAAGAACCACCCGCACTTGATCCATTCCCTATATATATATATATATATATATATATATATATATATATATATATACATACACACACACGGTGGGTCGGGTGGGGTTCTAGGCGGGTTTTGTTCATAAAACCCGAATCCATCCCGACCCACTGCGGGTTTAATTTTTGACACCAAAAAATATATATATATATATTATTGCAACATGCTAGTTTTTTTTTTTTCTTTTTGGATTAGAAAAAACAACTCCAGTGCGTTTCGCGTGTGGCAACAAAAGGTATGCATTTCACGCACCGACGTCACAACAAAACTGATTGTTTTTTTTTTTTCTTATTTTTTGTTTTTTTTCCCATTTTTCTCTTCGCACCTCCAACGTGATCTTACAGCATTTCACGCACCCGCGTCACAACAGAACTGACTACTTTTTCCTATTTTTTTGTTTTTCCCTTTCTCTCTCCAACCCTCCAACATGAACAGACAAAAATATCATTTTGACAAAAAAAAAAAAAAATCAAATCTAAATGCAACATACTATTTTTATTTTATTTTTTTAGATTGCAAAAAACAACTCCAGTGTGTTTCACGTGTGGGCAACGAAAGGTGTGCATTTTACGCACCGACGTCACAACAAAACTAACTATATTTTTTCTTACTTTTTTTTTCCTTTCTCTCGTCACACCTCCAACATGACCTGACAGTATTTCACGCACCAACGTCACAACATAACTGACTACTTTTTACCATTTTTTTTTTTCTCATTCTCTCTCCACCCCTCCAACGTGATCTGAAAATAAAAATCTCATTTTGACTAAAAAAAATTCAAATATTAATGCAACATACTAGTTTTTTTTTTTTTTTTTTTTTTTTTTTTTTGTAGATTATAAAAAACAACTCATGTGTGTTTCGCGTGTGGGCAACAAAAGTTGTGCATTTCACACACCGACGTTACAAAAATACGCACTTCTTTTATCTTTTATCTTTTTTTCTCCACACCTCCAACATGATCTGACAGCATTTTCACACACCCGCGTCACAATAGGACTGACTACTTCTTTCCAACTTTTTTGTTTTACCCTTCCTCTCTCCACCCATCCAATGTGATCTGACAAAAATATCATTTTGACAAAAACAAAAAAAAAAATCTAATCTAAATGCAACATACTATTTTTTTTTTAAGATTAGAAAAAACAATTCTAGTGCATTTCGCGTGTGGGTAACGAAAGGTGTGCATTTCACTAGGGATGGCAACGGGGCAGGGCGGGGGCGGGGAGTATACTCCCCGTCCCCGTTCCCGCGACCCCAACCCCATCCCCATCCCCGTCCCCGTCCCCGGCGGAGAATTGAAAAAATTCCCCGTACCTGTCCCTGCGGGGAATTTGGCGGGGACGGGGAAACCCCATCCCCGGTCAACCCATAATCAATGTGTAAAAGTAATACAATTTTTAAAAAACAAAAACAAAAAAATTGATATTCATAGTCAATATATTCTAATAATCTAATTAATTTTATATATACACATTCAATATTCACAGTGCATGCAATGTAATCAATATTCAATATATTCCAAATTTTAATTCATCCAATATATACATATTGTTTGAATAATAGAATAGTATTTACTGTGTTTTAAATTTTAATTTTTAAATCTAATAAAACTAATTAACTAAATAACTAATAATCTAATTCCTAATTCCTAATATATATATATATATATATATATATATATATAAAATATATAATATATATATTTTTTAATTTTCAGGGACGGGGCGGGGCGGGGAGGGGTATCCCCGTCCCGGCGGGGATTTTAAAAAATTCCCCATCCCCGTTCCCGTTTTCCAAAATTTTTTCCCGTCCCCGTCCCATCCCCTACGGGGACGGGAATCCCCGACGGGAACAGAGCACATTGCCATCCCTACATTTCACGCACTGACGTCACAACAAAACTAACTATTTTTTTTCATATTTTTGTTTTCTTTTTCCCTTACTTTCCCCACAGCTCCAACATGACCACAATATTTCTCGCACTGACGTTACAACATAACTAACTACTTTTTTTCAATTTTTTGTTTTTTTTTTTCCCTTTCTCCTTCCACCCCTCCAACGTGATATTAAAAAAATATCATTTTGACTCAAAATATTCAAATATTAATGCAACATACTAGTTTTTTTTTTTTTTTTTTTTTTTTTTTTTAGATTAGGAAAAACAACTCATGTGCACTTCGCGTGTGGGCAACAAAAATTGTGCATTTCACACACTGACGTCACAACAAAACGCACTTCTTTTTTTTTCCTTTTTTTTTTTTTATATTTTTTTCCTTTTTCTCTCCACACCTCCAATGTGATCTGACATCATTTCACGCACCCGCGTCACAACAGAACTGACTACTTTTTTCCTATTTTTTCTTTTTCCCTATTTTTTCTTTTTTCCCTTTCTCTCTCCACCCCTCCAACGTGATCTAACAAAAATATCATTTTGATACCAAAAAAAAAAAAAAAAAAAAAAAAATCAAATCTAAATGCAGCATACTAGTTTTTTCGCGTTTCGCGTGTGGGCAACGAAAGGTGTGCATTTTACGCACCGACGTCACAACAAAACTAACTACTTATTTCCCTATTTTTGTTTGTTTTTTTTTCATTTCTCTCTCCACACCTCCAACATAACCTGACAGTATTTCATGCACCGACGTCACAACATAACTGACTACTTTTTTGGTTTTTTTTTTCTTTTAATTTTTTGTTTTTTTCCTTTCTCTCTCCACCCCTCCAACGTGATCTGAAAAAAAAAAATCTAATTATGACACCAAAAAAAAAATCAAATATTAATGCAACATACTAGTTTTTTTTTTCAGATTAAAAAAAAACAACTCATGTGCATTTCGCGTGTGGGCAATAAAAGGTGTGCACTTCACGCATAGAAGTCACAACAAAACTGACTGCTTTTTCATATTTTTTGTTTTATTATTTTTTTTTTCATTTTTCTCTCCACACCTTCAGCGTGACATGACAGCATTTCACGCACCCGTGTCGCAACAAAACTATCTACTATTTCATATTTTTATTTTTCCTTTCTCTCTCCACCCTTCCGATGTGATATGACAAAAATCTCATTTTGACGCCCAAAAAAAAAAATTCAAATCTTAATGCAACATACTAGTTTTTTTTTTTTTTTTTTTTTAAGATTAGGAAAAACAACTACAGTGCGTTTCGCGTGGGGGCAACGTAAGGTGTTTGTTTCACGCACTAACGTCACAACAAAAATTGACTTCTTTATTCATTTTTTTCGTTCTCTCTCCACACCTCCAACATAACCTGACAGCATTTCATGCACCTGCATCACAACAGAACTGAATGCTTTTTTTCTTCTTCTTTTTTTCCCTTTCTCTCTTCACCCCTCAACGTGATCTGACAAAAATCTCATTTTGACACAAATATGATTAGTCTTCCGTGAGAATAGAAAGATATGTTACATTTCAACTAATAATTTAGAGGATCACTATCAATGAAATTTTCCTCATGCTATTCATATTATGTGGATGAGATAGACCTTGGAACATATATTTAAAAAAAAAAAAAACAAACAAACAAACAAACAAACAAACAAAACAAAACAAATCTTCCCCCAACATACTGGTTTTTCAATTTTCTAAATTAGAAAAAAAAAAAAATCTCTAGTGCTTCACAAAAAACTAACTTGCTTATTTTCTTTTTCTATTCACTCTCCACCCTCCAACGTGACATGACAAAATCCCCCACTTTGACACAAATATGATTAGTCTTGAGGGAGAATAGAAAGATCCATTTCAACTAATATTTTAAAACACCCTCATCAGTGAGTTTTCTTAGTTTTTTTTATGCAATTCATCTAATATGGATGAGGGAGGAGACATTGTAAAAGAAAAAAAAAACAGAAAAAAAAAACAAAACAAAATATTATTGCAACATAGTGGTTTTTTAATTTTTGAGATTAGAAAATTAAATTCCAGTGCGCTTCACGTGCAGGCAGTACGAAAGGTGTGCATTTCACGCTTCCACATCACAAATAATAATATCATAATCATTGCACTATGCTTACTTCAGTTCTTTGGCTATCTGGACATCCTTCACTGGACTTGGCCACATCCGAGGGGGACTGGACTTGGCCTGACCTACGCCCACATCCTGGGCGAAAGACATTGATTCGAACCCATGACCTCGGTTATGATATCAGTTGATGGATATTAGTGCTGCACTATGCTTACTTTCTAGTGGGTCACCCATCGGATGACTGTTGTAAGTCAAACACGCATAACTATAGAGTTATTTGGCTATCTGGTTGTTATATCCTATTTAAAAATCAATTAGTGATAAGTAGGTGGACATTAACCATTTAACCATATCCCTCCATGATAATTGATAAGCCACGGCAACACGTCTCGAATCGAGCAGGGGCTTAACTCGGCCAACCTGGCCGACGCCCAACAATGGTATTTATGTCTTTTAAAAATTATTTCATTTATATTCCTTTAACCAACCAAACATTGGAATACAATTCTTAAAGTCTATTCTTGAGCGAACCAAACAATAAAATACAATTCATGTTCTATTCCTTACATATTATATTCCCTATGTAATAGCATTCCTATTTCCTCAAAATTCATTATGTGAACCAAACATTCTGTAAGTGATCAAACTATTTCATATCAGTTTTTTTTTTTATATTAGTATATTATCTAGTATGTTTGTTTGTTTTTTTTTTTTTTTTTTTTTGTGTTGTCTTGCTGTAATTAGAAAATAAAAAATGCAATATTTCGCATATGGGAGGTCATGAGACCGAGCCTCAGTGAAGGCGTTGTTGACTCTGTGTGCTTTATTTGGTTGAGAAAGCATGTTCGAACAGATACTACAATGTAATAGAGTCAATAGCATTTAGGAAAAAAAAAAAAAAAGTAGTACCGTTGTTTTTTTTTTTTTTTTTTAAATTATAAATGGGGATATGAATCGAAATTGCTAATAGATTGAAGACTTCAATTCAACTTACGGGCATGGAAACAATAAAGTACTTAAATTCATAGTATTTATTTCAACCAGTAATATTTAGTGAACTTGGAAGCAAAAACAATTTTAAAGTATTAGCTACACTCCAATAGCCAAAAATGGGTATGCTAACCTTTTTTGAATGCTACTAGCTCTATTACACTGTAGTATCTGTTCATATACTTTCTCAACCTACTGAAACACAAAGAGCTAATAACGCCTCCACTGAGGCTCGAACTTACAACCTTCCAAATGGAAGTCCAACCCGGGTACCATTGGACCACATAGTCCTGGTAATGGGTATGCTAACCTAATCGATTAATTAATACAAAATGATATAAATAAAAAATAATTAATTTCATTTTTTGTCCTAGATTTATAGGTGACAGTCTACTTTTAGTCTCTTTTTTTTATATCCTAATATCCATATTTGATCTTAGTATTATTGTGGCATGACCACTTTTTGTTCTCTATCAACAAAATTTTTTTAATGACATTAAATACAAAGACATTGCGGTATCCAATTACTTATTTTTTTAAAAAATATATATACATAAAAAATATAGCAGGGTCAAATCACTTTGTATAAAATGATCGAAATGCCTTTGTATTTAACGACATTTCAAGAATTTTGTTGATGGAAGACTAAAAATGATCATGCCACAATAATACTAGGACCAAATATGGATGACTTAATAATAAAAAAATGACTAAAAGTGAATTGTTACATATAAATCTAAGACTAAAAATGAAATTATTAACTTAGAATTTTAAAATGTATTATTTATATTAACAAAATTTGTTATTGGTAGATTAAAATGGTCACTTTACACACAATTAAAGGAAAAAGTGTTTATATGATAATAATTTATGAATTGAGTTTATAATATAAGTATAATTAATAGACTAAATTATCATTTTCTCTTTTAAATATTTTATTCTCAATGGTATATAATAATAATAATAATAATAATAATAATAATAATAATAATAATAATAATAATAATAATAATAATAATTTGAAATTATAAATGTATAAAATATTGACTAGACGTACAAGTTTTGATTATTGACTGGGCTTCGTATTTTACTTGATGAAAATGATTTAAAACTTTAGTGCTGGATAGAAAATTCTTAATTTTGACTTAGTCTACGTGAGGGTATTTATTTTAATTGGCATAAAGTATTTTATAAGAAATCTACTCCGTAATTTAATTTTCACAAATTAAATATTTTCTTACTAAGATTTCGCCCTAGCATGATTAGGCCGGGCTTCTATGTATTTGTATGTGTCTCCACTTGGTTTTGAGAAGATTTGTTTAAAGATAGGATTGAGTTTCCTGGTTTGCTGAGGACTATTTGTCGACATAGATAGCTAATTTTTATAATATTCGCGTTAATATGAGAACATCTTCCCACATAAAAACTATAGACAAATATAGACTCTTCATTTAGATGATGTATGTGGCCGTGAGATGATTTTTATTTTGTTTTTAAATTTCGGTAATTTTCAGAAGAATAATTTGAATTTTTTACACTTATTTTAAATAGAGTTAATTACCTAAATGGTCATTTGACTATAGCGAAATTATCAATTTGATCCTTGACTATTTTCATTGACCAATTAAGTCCCTCAACTTTAAAAATCTTAACTAATTTGGTCCTCCGTTTGTTTTGCCGTTAGACATCCGTTAACTCGTGATTAAATTGGTAATTTCGCTATAGTCAAGTGACCATTTTAGTAATTAACTTTTCGAAAAAAATGGTGCATGCGATGACCGAAATATATATATATATATATATATATATATATATATATATATATATATATATATATATTCTGAAGATACGTACAAACACAATTTCCTGAATCCCTACGCCATGATTTGAATTCAAATAATGCAGGAAAAAAATATTATAAAACCTTTGAATTTGTTACATTTTTTAAAATAAAATTGTTTGTCGGGTATGAACATAATGTATTTGTTGACAATAATGAATTACCCGAAATTAAGCCTCAACTAATTCAAGATTACAATAATATTCCGACTCAAATTATTCTTTGTTCACATTGATATGACCACTAGGGTTTTCTAGGGTTTTCTCTCTCTCTCTTGTTTATCGAGATTTTCCGGCGCAATTCGTGCGTTCTCTCCGGGTTCTGCATCGGCGTAACAGTGATGGAAGGGGCGGAGCAAGTAGCGGCAACGCAGCAAGCTGTGGCGGCGTTGGGCCGGCGATGGGCGGACGTGACCTTGAACGACGAAGAAGATGATATTTTTGTGCCGGCGGTGGAGGAGGGTGCTGAACAGCCGGCCGAGACAGCTCCAACATGGCGGCTAGTTGGTAGGTTCCTGACTACCAAGCATGTGAAGGCGGAGTATATGAGCCAGGTCATGGCTTCGGTTTGGCAACCGGTGAAGGGGGTTCGGGTCTCGGAATTGCAACCAGGGCTGTTTCTCTTTGTGTTCTTCCATGACACGGACATTCAGTTGGTTCTAGATGGTGGTCCATGGTCCTTTGAGAACCACACTTTTGTTTGCAAGAAAATCCACGATGGTGAGATACTGGTCTCGGTGCCGTTGGATTCGGTTGATATGTGGATACAGGTGCATGACCTGCCGTTGGGCTATACCTCGGATCTTATTTTGGAACAGGTGGGAAATTTTTTGGGTGTTTTTATCAAGATTGATGATAGATTCGCGAATGCACCTTGGAAGACGTTTTACCGGATTAGGGTTTCAATCTCGGTCTTGAAACCGCTAAAACGGCGTATGAAACTAATGAAGAGGGATAAAACGACTTGTTGGGTAAATTTCAAATATGAGAGATTACACAACTTTTGTTACTTCTGTGGTATGATGGGGCATCTTCATAAGTACTGCTTGAAGGCGCGGGATGCAAAGATACCGGTAGAGCAATATCCGTATGATGAGAATTTACGTGCTGGTTTTAGAAAAGGATCGTGAAAGGTGGGTGCTTCGTGGCTACTTGATATGAATGGTAACCCGATGGCAGGAACACGGCCAGATATGGTGCATAGGCCACGGGTTGATGGGCAGGAAGGGGGGCCAACTGAGCCTTCACGTGACCAGGTGGAAGGTGATGTGGTCACGGCTGCGAGCAAGAGAAGAAGGGTTGAGGCCAATGATGGGGGTAATGTGAGAGTTGGTGGAGATGTGATTATGACAGAGATCCAAAAAAACTTGTCCATGGCGGGTTCTGGTTCCCAGACCCGCCCGTCATTATGAGTACTATCAGCTGGAACTGTCGTGGCTTGGGCAATCCACGAACAGTTCGAGAATTAACGGACCTTGCGTCCAAGAAGAAGCCTGATTTTATTTTTCTTATGGAAACCATGGTGCAACGAATACATGCTGAAAGAATTCGTGTCACCCTTGGTTTTGAGGGACTTTTTTATGTTGATCTGACACCGCAGGGTGGTGGTGGTTTAGCACTACTATGGCGAAAGAATAATACGGCGAGTTTATTGAGTTACTCTAAAAATCACATTGATATTGAAGTTAAAATGTCTAGCTTTCCGAGGTGGAGAATGACATGTTATTATGGCTATTCTCAGCACCATAGGAGGGCAGAAGCATGGGAGTTGATAAAATCCTTTGCACCCCGGTCCACCTTACCATGGGTTATGATTGGAGATTTTAATGATCTCCTATTCCAGCACGAGAAGAGAGGAGGTAATCCACACCCTAATAATCTCCTACGCGGCTTTGGGGAGACTATTGACCAGTGTGGCTTGACTCAGTTGCCTATAGAGGGTTACCGGTTTACTTGGGAAAAAGGAAAGGGTACGCCAGCTTGCATTGAAGAACGTTTGGATAAGGTATTAGCATCTAATGATTGGCGTGACATTGTGCCTGGGGCTAGGGTGATTAATAATCTAATGAGGAAATCTGATCATTCTGCATTATTTTTGAGTGTCTATGGAACTTTACAAAACGGAGGAGGAGGAAGGAGAGGGTTTCGGTTTGAAATGGCCTGGTTATATGATGACGGATGCAGGAATGTGGTGGAGAAGTCATGGGAGGAGGGGAGGAGTGAAGGGATCCAGGACTGTATAACACACTGTGGGAACAAATTGTCCAGATGGGGCGGAGACCGGTACCATAAGTTTGGTGAAAAAATCAGACACCTGCGGAAGCAACAGTTACATCTTAGGGGTCGTACTGATTTGGCATCCTTGAATGAATTCCAGCGCCTGGAAGGAATTCTGAGTAATATGGAGATCCAAGAGGATGCTTACTGGAGGCAAAGGGCCAAACAACACTAGTTAAAGAATGCAGATGCTAATACGAAATTCTATCACAGGTACGCCTCTCATCGTAAGAAGAAAAATACTATTTATAAACTTATGAATGATAGTGGGGATTGGGTGGAAGGTGATGCTATGAGTGCAGTTATTTTGGATTATTTTAGCCATATATTTTCTTCCTGTAACCCATTGAATGGTGACAATCTATTTTTTGGAGTATCCCCGGGTAACCCAGGATCAAAATGAGTCATTATTACGTCCCTTTGAGATATTTGAAGTTAAAGATTCCCTATTTGCGATGGCCCCTGACAAAGCTCCTGGACCAGATGGTATGAACCCAGGATTTTATCAACAATTCTGGGATATAGTTGGTAGCGATGTTTCGGCATTTATAGTGAATTGCCTAAACAACCGAGTTTTGCCCTCCAATTTGAATGATACAGATGTGGTACTCATCCCCAAGAAGAAAACCCCTGAAGTGGTAGCAGATTTTCGCCCGATAGCATTAAGCAATGTGATATACAAGATAATGGCTAAGATGGTTACGCAGAGAATGAAGCCGTTAATGGAAAATTTAATATCTGCATCCCAGAGTGCTTTTATACCAGACAGGCTGATTACTGATAATATTCTTGTAGCTGCGGAAGTAGGGCACTACCTGAATAGAAAACAATGCGGGGCAGTAGGGTGGAGTGCACTCAAACTGGATATGGCCAAAGCTTATGACCGCATGGAATGGCCCTTCCTCCGTGGGATGTTGTTAGCTCTGGGCTTTGATGATAGATGGGTTGAGTTACTTATGATGTGTGTGACCACTGTGTCGTATAGCTTTATGATAAATGGCGCTCGCAGTACCTCCATTACACCCACGCGTGGCCTCCGCCAGGGAGACCCATTATCTCCGTATTTGTTTATCATATGTGCAGAGGGGCTCTCACTATTATTGCAACAGGCTCAGAATAGAGGTTTAATACATGGTTGCAGGGTTGCTAGAGGTGCACCACCGATCTCTCACTTATTTTTTGCAGATGATAGCCTACTGTTTTTTAGAGCAAATAGACACGAAGCATCTGAAATAAAGAATTGTTTACAGTTATATGAGAGTTTATCTGGCCAGAAAGTAAACTATCACAAATCCAGCATATGCTACAGCAGGAATACAGGGCAGAATGATAAAGATATGGTGGCACAAATACTGGGTGTTACACAAGCCCCCAACTTTGGGAAATATCTGGGGCTGCCTTCTTTTGTGGGACGGAACAAAAAGGCGGCATTCGCATACATTGAGGATAAAATCAAGCAAAGGATTGGATCTTGGAATAAGAGGTTGCTAAAGCAGGCCGGGAAGGAAATATTGTTGAAAAGTGTGGCCCAGGCAATGCCAACTTTTTCAATGAGTGTTTTTCTTCTACCAATATCTGTTTGTACGGCTATTGAGCGTACTATGAATCGGTACTGGTGGGGGTCGGGTACGGATACTGGCATACATTGGAAAGCCTGGGATAAATTGTGTATCCCAAAGAAATATGGTGGACTGGGATTTAAAGATTTAAGGGCATTTAATTTGGCAATATTAGGAAAGCAGGCATGGAGGCTGCTCACTAACACAGACTCATTGGTAGCCAAAGTTTATAAAGCAAGATATTATCCAAAGGATACTTTCCTAGAGGCAACTATAGGAAATAATCCAAGTTTTTGTTGGCGCAGTATCATGGCAGCAAAGGAGCTAGTATGTGGTGGCGTAAGAAGAAGAATTGGGAATGGAAGTTCTACCTTGATATGGGAGCATCCCTGGCTAAATGATGAACTGGACCCTATGATTCACACGGAAATGCCGCAATATCTGTCTGGGGCCAAAGTAATAGGGCTAATTGATCATGATACAGGCACCTGGGATCCGCATATATTGGCAGATATTTTCCAACCGAGTGATATACCCAGAATTCAGAGTATACCAATTGCCCCTGAGTATGATGATATATGGTATTGGTATGGTGACCCTAATGGATGTTATTCAGTCAAGAGTGGCTACAGGCATATAGTGGGGAGTTATGAGCATAATTCTAATGGTATTTTTAATGAATGGTTAACCCTATGGAAATTAAAAATACCACCAAAGTGGAAGACATTCCTATGGAGAGCTATTTGTGATATCCTTCCTACCACTAACAATCTGCTTATAAAGAGAGTGGATGTTAACCCAATGTGTGCCATGTGTGGAAATGTGAATGAAGATACCATGCATGCATTAGTTTTGTGTGACTATGCACACTCCATTTGGGCAAAATCCAACCTTCCAATCCCCAATATTGTCACAAATATTTTCCATGAATGGTTTAGTGCAATCTTGAATGTTCTTGACTTTGATGGAATTGTTTATGCAGCTGCAATTTTATACCATCTTTGGAGGGCCAGAAACGGAGCGGTTTGGGATGCCTGTCTACCAACACCAACGAAATTATTGTCAGTGGCGGCAGCCACAATGAAAGCTTGGAAAGATATTCACCATCGCCACTCGCCGTCACAGCCACGAACGGCCAGCCACCACCTTACTGCCGAACAGCAGCCACTGCCGCCGTTGGGACCGAACGCCGAGCCTGCCGGGAATGGACTGCCACCGCCGCATGCTGCCACTTCGGAATCCGTGATTGGCGAGATGATGACATCCGTCAAATGTTATATGGACGCGAGTTATCATCGAGGAACCAATGTTGCAGCTGTTGGTGCGGTACTCCTCGATGCCAATGGCCACTACATATCTGCCTTCAGCGCCCCGTTAGCAGGTTGCCACTCACCGCTCATGGCCGAGACTTTGGCATGCAAAGAGGTTTTATCATGGCTTAAAAGGAGGAATGAACTATCTATACGGATTCATACGGATTGTCAACAGCTACAGTGTTACTTATCTGGGCCACCAGCCACGTTACGCTCGCATTTAGGTTATGCTATCGATAGTTGCAGAACCTATATGTCTACCTTTAATTATTGTTCAGTGCTTTATATTCCTAGATTACAGAATTTATTAGCTCATACATTAGCTACTTCAGCACTTAGTTTCAATACTGCTATGTACTGGGACAATGTTCCACCAGACTCTATTTTAACTCTTCTATAAATACAACCGCCAGGTTGACTTTCAAAAAAGATTACAATAATATTCTAGTATATTTAAATTAGAATAAAATTACATAAAACAAATTTGTTTTTGCTCATGTGAAATAATCTACAAACCACACAGAAGAGGTAAACTACACTAGGAAAATTATGTTTCACCGAGAGGGTATTGGCAAGAATCGAACTCGTAACATTTTGGTACGAAAATTATGCTCCACCTATTCTACCATCCTTTCAAGATTGTACTTGGTATTAGGATTCTTGTATTTGAGTCATAGTATGACTCCTATTCTACTCTGCCTATGAATTGTATTTACAATTAATAATATACAGTTTCCTACAATTCTCATCTGGTATCAGAACAACTAGGGTTCTTGACACTAATGTTGGTCGGCACGGTAGACTTTCCTATAATAAAAGTGAAATAGATTTCTTAATTGGTAATATTGCAATTTGAATATTATTGAATTGTAAGAAAAGGGTAGTAGTTTTACAGCTGCATTGTATGACAAATTGCCATGGGTGCATTCTGCACAAATCTGCAAATGCCAAATCTCCATGGGCACAAAACAATGGCCTATAACCTAGGACAACCTCAACCTCAAAACACAAAAGCATAAACCAAAAACAAACTAACCAAATTTCTCTTTTACCTATATATATAAATATAATGACAGTATGAAGTTATGAACCTGATCATTTTCTGCCTAAACAAACAAACTCATAAGATTATTGTGTCTTGGAACAGAAGCTTTTCAAATGTTCCTGCTGAGAAGGCAGCACACCATGAACTCCGGCAAGCCTACACGAGTGGTTGGTGATGAGATTATACGTCGATGCCCTCTCCCAAGGAACGATGCCAAACTCGTCGTTGTACTCTTCCATCCTTTCCACGAGGAACTGCCAGAAGACGGACCCCGCCCCGGATTTGTTGTGCTTTGCAGACTTGTACATGATCTCGAGAATAAGCTTGAAGAATCTGTCGCGTTGGTATGGCTCAACTTCCTTGGTTTCACCTGCCAATCCAAATTCGGTGAACATGATAGGCTTTTTCAGTGCCCTCTCGCCATCTTCGATGTGGGAAAGGATCCACTTCTTCGTAAACTTCAATTTGTCTTGAAAAGTTTGATTCTTGAACCTAGCATAAGAACCAAATTCTCGTGAACTCGTGTTTCAGAAGGCCAAAGGGAAAGGGGGAAAAAACGAAACACGTGTTTAGTCCAAGCAATTATTATCATCAATTTCACGAGGGCATTGCAAATTTCATATATCGGCTTGGTAGCATATGATCATTGTTACGAGGAAGGCAGTAATAAGCTCACCAATGATCTGGGTATACATGAACAGAGGCGAAATCTATGGTCGAGAGATTTGAATTCCGAATGAAGTCAGACCCGAGATCAGCAGCCCATAATTCTGGATTAATTTTCAATCTTTTGGGATCTTTTGGACCATAAAAGCCTTCAAGGCCCACGGTCAGCAGATGATTCTTGTCGATTGATTTCACAAAAGTCGACATTTCTTCAATCCAGTCCTGCAAATCTAGCACATACAATTAATTCGTATCCACGCAAAATGACAAAAGAAGAATCGTCTTTCTCGAAGATTTAATGAACGAACTTGAACATGCAAAGACAATGAAATACGCACTCAACTGATATGCTTCAGGTATACAATAGCTTCACAATAAAAAAAAAACTGCAAAACTGAATTTGCCAATCATCTAGAAACACTCTAATAGCTAGCGGGCAAATACTATAGGAGTGGCATCTTGTCCCATCGAGCACCATGAATTCAATCCAGATTCTCAAATCTTGCTTTTAAAATCATAAAGCATTAGAATTGCAATGGGGATAGAGGTCAAAACTTACTTGGAGGGTGTCACCTGTAGGATCCGTCATGCACCTAGGTTCGTTAATCAATTCCCAGGCAAAGATCGTGGGATCATCCCTGTATTCGAGTCCAGTAACTGTGTTCTTCCTTGTAAGAACCGTCTGTGAACAAGGTAAAAAAATAAAAATAAAAATGCATGAGAACAAGGCAGTCCTCAACTCCTCATGTAGAAACATGCATTAATACAAGAAATGAGCGTATCTAGAATCTTCAACAGAATACTGTCACTCACGTATAGATGAAAGCAATTGAGAGAACAAGACAAAAAGATTACCTTCACATAGTTCTTGAAATAACGTCGGATGTTCGGGTCATAGAAGAATGAATCATTGGAAGGGCTTAAACCAATACCTTCTTGCCACGCCCATTTCACATACTGAGTCTTTCCACCATATGCTTTGAGATTATTAACCAAGCAGAGTATCAGCCTAATTCCATGTCTTCTGGATTCCGCTATTACAAGGTCTAAGGCCTGCCATTAGTCACGTGTGCAGTAAGTGAAAAGTTCAAGAAGTGGAAAACAAACTTCTGAAGCTTCTCTGAAATGCATATAACCCGGGACGACATTTCTGGAATATGGTATCTATCTGGGAACATTTTGGTAAGAGAAGCTGGCAGCTTGATGTTTTGAGGAGCTACATAGGACTTGGAAGTTATTCATAGGACAAATAAGCATGATAATAATTATTAAATATCACAATTCCTAAGAACTTGCCCACAAAAGGGAAAACCCCTCGTCCCGGCCCCCACACCCCGGCCTGTAGGCAAATTGATAACTCAGCGGTCCAATAGGTGGGAGTACCAGCCAACAAGGCGCCCACCAAATTGAGTGTGACTCCCGGCCCACATTCTGTCACCTAAGAACAAACTGAGCTACTCGTGCGGGCTATAATTCCTAAGAACTGGTTAGAGTATTAAACTGAAAGACGAAATAATAACAGGAAGAAATATTGAAAGCAAATCATCTTTACCCTAAAGACTCTTTCATCAAATTTGCCAGGAGAAATCTGCAGAGCATTGTATGCACCATCATTGAAGGCCCAAGTTCTGCACACAGTCATGCCCATCTTAGCAGCAGCTTGAAGCATGGTTCTAACCCTTGGTCTTCTGCCAAAATCCACAGCATGCTCCATAAACCAGTAAGAATTCCAGCCATTAACATAGAACACTTGGCCATCAGCATAGAACTGAGTCCCATTCCTCTCCACAAAACTCAATTTTAAAGTTTCTTCAGGATAACTCACCCACAAATCCCCAAAAGTCAAGTATATAAAAGCAAGAAATGCTGCAAACCCAATAATGGGGTAAAACATGCCATTTCTTGCTAGCATTTTGCTTCTCCGTGATTTAACCATAAAATTGGCATGTGGCAACCATAGGTACCAAGATGGTAACTTTAGAGCACCAAATCAAAGAAACTGATGCTTTCAAACAAACAAAACTGATCCAGATAGATTACCAAGACTGAGTCTTTATACACCGGGTCTCTTTATCTTCCTAAAATGTCAGAATCCCAGATGGAAAAACAGATTTTGAAGGACACCCAGATCTCCTTCCTCCAAATTGTACACAGTTCCAGGTTGAATAGAATCCAAACGGCCCAGAACCATCAATGGAACCTCAAAAACCAAGCACCGACATCAAACTCCATACGGCTTGCTGATCTTAGAAGTGGGGTATGGGTACATTGGTGTGTCCGTGCCTTCTTGTGAGGGGAAAGAATCGAGAAATGGATGGATAGGATTATAGGAATGAAGATCAAGAGTCAGAACTTAGAAGGCCAAAGAGAAAAAGAAAACTCACAGAAAAGCAGAAAAAAAAAGTATACCTAACGTGCAACCCAATCAGGAAAGCAAGTGAAATCCTACAATTAAAAGTAGAAGATGAAATCGCGAAAGAATACACGTTGCGGTGGTTGGATCTGCAATCGCGATTTCTCTGTTCTTGAAAGAATTTTGGTTGTAACCAACAAGTGCAGCGCCAAAACGGCACAGCCCACTTCACGTGTGTATATATGCAGGTAAAATTATCGGGTATCGCTGTATCTAACTGTAGGTTTCCATTTCTGGTTCAGCTGTTCTTATAATCTCGCACGCTCTAGTTTACATCCATTTTAGCGTTCACGTCAAAAGATTGTAAATAATGTTTTTCTACACTCAATAGGGTTTGAGTGTGAGCAACAAGAAAGACTCGAGTGTCAATATAACACATCTTGTATCACACAAGAAAACATTAATTTAATAATGTGGGCCTATGCGGGCTTAATTCACCAGCCCAGTAGACAGTATTTAAAAAAAGAGACTAATATTCGAATCTCGGAGAAAATATAAAATCATACTCAAAATGAACAGATTCCCTATGGGCACCGATATTTGGCCCTGCCTAGTGCTTTAATAAATCACCTTGATTTACATTCTCTCAAATGCTCTATTGGACCAGGGTGTGGGGACCCTTAGGGTTGGTGATTCAACCTTTTGAGAGAAGAAGAAAAATATGGATATTCGGTGGTGTAGTGGACTAGTGGTTTACGAGCTATTATATTAGAACAAGGTTTATTTGCTTGTATGGACTTAGTTCAATGGTTTAGTGGGCAGTATTTGAGAGAAGAGTTTAAGGTTCAAATCTCAGTGCCTACAATGGAGAGTCAACCTTTTGAGAGAAGCACAAGATTTATTTAATCTACATCATTTAATAATGGTTACAAATTTTCTCCTCCTAACAAAAAAAAAAAAAAAAACAATGTTGTGGAGCATAGGTCACGAATTCAAGTTCAAATCATGCATACATTATAGTATATAATTTTGTCTAATTAAAGCGTACCAGAGTAATAAATTCATACATGATTCTATGCTTGTGAAGTTATACATTATGAATTATGATGTAAAAAAAAAGATATAAAACATAACTAATGTAGATTTATATTTAATATAAATAAAAATATTATAATAATAATTAAGCACATTTCAGTTATTAGTTGCAATTATTACTTAAAATAATATTGTAATTATTAATTTCATAATTTCTTTCATTTTTCATTTTCTAAAGTACTTATGTGTAATGCATGATAAACTTTTTTAACTCAAAATATAATTCAACGGATTAATTAACTCAAAATTAGTATATAAATTCTATCTAATATATTAATCAATCATATCTCACGATTAATAATTTTAATATTTAAAAATATCAAACATTTATTTTCACGCATTCATGTTTAAAAGGTTTATATATTAATTAATTAATTAATTAATCACTTTTCATTGAATTTGGCCGGGGATTTGTCAACAACGCAAATTATGCTGTGCAACCGAATGCACCTTGCAAGGTGCATACGGTTGCAAAACGGTGCCGTTTTGGTTAAAAAAACGCGCGTCCCACTTAAAGAAGAAATCAGGTTCGATTCCCGGCAATAGCATTTTTATATATCCAGAAATTCATAACTATATATCCACAATTTCATAACTATATATCCACAGTGAATGAATGAAGTAAAAATCCACAATGAATGAATGAATGAAGTAAAAATCCACAATGAATGAATGAATGAAGTAAAAATCCACAATGAATGAACTAAATATCCACAATATATGATTGAACTAAATATCCACAATGAATGAACTAAATATCCATAATTTCATAACTATATAACCACAATTTCATAACTATATATCCATAATTTCATAACTATATATCCACAGTGAATGAATGAAGTAAAAATCCACAATGAATGAATGAATGAAGTAAAAATCCACAATGAATGAATGAATGAAGTAAAAATCCACAATGAATGAACTAAATATCAACAATATATGATTGAACTAAATATCCACAATGAATAAACTAAATATCCATAATTTCATAACTATATAACCACAATTTCATAACTATATATCCACAATTTCATAACTATATATCCATAATAATGCTATTACTGAGAGTCGAACCTGATTTTTTTTTTTTAAGTGGGACGCGCGTTTTTAATCAAAACGACGTCGTTTTGAACCGTATGCACCATGCGCATGGTACATTCGGTTGCACAGCATAACTATTGTGTCAACAATCACAAGCGCTTTTGGACAGAAGAAAATTGGGCTTTAGAATCTAAGCCAAAATTGTTTGATTTGACTAGTCAATTATTTATTTTGTTTGAGCCGACAAATCCAGGAAAATGTGCGCCACATATTGCGAAACCGGCAACGATGTGAGCAACAATCATGGCGGATTTCATGCGAGTGTCGACCAATGGAGGAAGTCAAGATTCACCAATCACGATTACTACGTTTGTTTTGTGTAATAATAAAAACACAAGCCCGCAAATCATACTACTAATAAGATTCTGTTACAAGTTCGATAAAAAAAATGTTGATAAAAATTAAACTCGTGATTCAGTATGAGAATTATGTTTTACTTACTCAATCATTTTTGGAGTTACCTTTAATGATAGGAAAAGTTTAACCACATAAAAAATTGAAAATTAAAAAAACAAACAAACAAAAACAATAGGACCTTTTCATACCAAAATAGTGTGAAAGAATTTGGGTTGTTTAAACTTTAAACATAAAATCAGGTATAACACTCAAATAAAAGTCCTATTTGGTAACATAGCAAGTTTATCAGTTAATTTTAATTTATTTGATCACTATTAACTTTTTGACTTGGTAAAACAATTTAATTAATTAGCTTTTTGTAACAACTTATTACTTCAAAATGCTAAAATTCAAAGAGTTGCACAAAGTAACTTTTTCGATCAGCTTTTTGAAAAAATCATTTTGAAAGCAATCAACTATCGACTAACAGCTAATTTACCAAACACTTTTCTACAATCAACTAATGCTATCAATTAATCAAACCTACTAATTCAATCAGCACACAGCTATTTATCAAACACCTCTAATATAACTATATAAGTTCGTAGTATTTATTTTAAAAAAATCAAAAACTGTTTTTTATTATATTTTAGGTTTACATCTGAAAATTACTTACCACCAAACATTTATTTATTTACTATAAAAATCATATTGAAAAATTTACATCTGAAAATAAGATGATTGACGTTTGGTTTATCCCTTTCGTATTCTTGAAGCAATGACAAAGCTGTAACTAACACCCAAAAAAACAAAAACAAAAACAAAAACAAAAAAAAAAAAAAAACATTACTTTTGGTAAAGATTATATTGTCTTGACAGCATTATATGTAATGCCAGAAATTGATGTTATGAGGTGGAGCTTTCCGTTAGCTCAGAGCTGAGCATATGATGGAGTAGCGCATCCACTCGCTGACTTCGTGTCTTTGCTCTGTAACATAATAACAACACAAATTAAAGTAAGAAACTTTATGCACTCAAATATATAAGATATTTGAGATGTTACTCGCACCACCTTAATTCATTGGTTCAGTAAATAATATTTGCGAGAAGAAGAAGATATTGAGATGTTCTCTAATCGACGTAACACTTTAAGATAGTAAGTAAGCAAAGAAACAAAAAGTATGAGGCATACCCGACAGTACGTGGCCGCCGCTTTCCTGTTTCTTCCTGAAATTGTGGAAACATAAGACACTTTAATCACAGTAACTCAACAGCTCATTATGTTGGAGGATCTGTGTCTGGTGCCCATATTCAGTGTAACTTTCACACTGCGGCTACCAGAGCTCGATCTTGTATTTTTGTCTGTAATCTACCACTCAAGAACTAACTGAGCTGTCCATGCAGGCATGATGAACTAGTCTACTTTCTACTTTAACAAGCTTGAGATTTTAAAAAAAGCTGTTCAAGGTTGTTTGATACTAACCTCTTCTTCTCCATTCCCAGACATTGCTGCAGTTTCCAGCTCCATCTCAACTTGGAAAGCCTCCAAGACGAACGCTATGATCTGAAATTAAATCATTCCGAAATGAATTGTTATTTTGCTGAACGATTTGCAACGACAGTTCCTCTTGATTGTCTGATTTTTCTTATCAGTCGTCGGTCTGGTGTAAGATTATGCAACTTTCATGGATGATTAGGTTCACAGAAAGTATATGGAACTTACCAAATTCAATAGCCACAATACAGATATGACATAAAAGCTGACAAAGTAGATGCAAGTCCACCACGTCCCGGTTAAATCTATGTAACTCTGAAAGACAAACTGCAGATTAGTAGCAATTCGAACCACATTTATGCTAGGAAAGGATAGGGTGATCATAAACGATCATAAACGTTAGTATACTTCGTTAAAAAAGATGAAAGAGAAGGGAAGATTGCCAAAACTACGGTACCTGCATCCAAAGTTGCCAGTTTCCCATCACCAATAAATTGAAAAGAGTCACCATTCCATTTGGGTAATCGTTGAAGTTGAAAAGCAAGTAGCTTCTCGTGTCAAGTAAACAAAGTTAATGACGGGATATAAATGTCTCGAGCATAATAAATGACATGATATGCAGTTAAAAGACTTCACAATTGACAAAAAGGATACTCATTATCAGCAAGATCAGTTTCTTTCAATTTCGAATTCCCAGAATTGACAAGCCCTCCAAAGATCTGCAGAAAAATTATAAGTTTTTATGTAAGAACAAGTTAAATGTCGGGATTATAAAAGAGTTGGCAGTTACGGGTACAAAGAAGCGTACCTGCAAGCCAAGAGAGCAATAGATGCATAAAATACAGAATACTGTCCCCAAGTATGGCATAAGGCTTGGCACGAGAGTCAAAAACGTGGCAACAAAGGCACGATAGCTTCGAACTTGCAACAAGAGCCTAATTAGCCGTAGCATTCTTGCAATAAGAAGATACCGGATCCTGCAAAAAACACAAAGACAGCAGCCTTAAAAGACAAATGATTGATGTCTAACGAGATTTTCAACTTTTACTTGTTTTAGAGCACATGGTTCTAAACGGGTTTCGACTACTAACGAGATTGAATTGTCATTGAATGGTAAATGGTAACTTCAAGAGCAGAAAAATATGAAGTTAAAATATCTCTACCATTCTCCGTTTGATAGAAAGGTCAGCCCATTGGGAGCAGCAAAAGTAGCCGTTTCTCCAATAACTGCATAATGGCAATGGCAAGTTGGCAACCATCCATATTATAAGTAAAACCGGCAATTTCAAAGAAAAATATGAACCAATCAAGGCCACTTCATAATTCAAGAAAACACAATCGCGAGGAAGAAATAGTTTTTTTTTTTAAACAAAAGCCTTAACCTACCTATCACCCAAGTGATAACGAAATCAAAGCGGTTTTGGCCAATCCTCCAATAGTTCTCAAACCCATAAGTGTAGATTTTTAAAGCCATCTCAACCACGTAGAGCCAACCTGTTGGGCAAAATATAGACGGTCATGAGCCCTTCAAAGTAAAACATATTTTTGTTACTTCAATTCACAGCTACAATATGCTGCAAGTAGCAGGACAGTCTTAACAACGAGAAAACAGGCTTTACCAAAGACAAACTCTATCTTCTGCCAAAAGGTTTGAGCTGAACTATCCGCTATATCGAGCTAAAATGTATAGGAATAGATTATCAGCACAAGCCATGATCAAGAACCAGCCAGGTTAAATAATACTTGGACAGAATACACGAAACATAGAAATGACGATGCATGGGTTGGCCCATACCGTGCTCTCAATCACAACAGCAACAAAATTGATGACGAGAATGAACACTATTGTGTATTCAAACTTGGAGCTTCTTACAAAGTCCCGCAACTTCTCTGATGCCGGTGAATGGTAGATATTCGAATATCTCTCAAAACATGGTAGCTGTAACACAAAAGTGAAAGGCGAATAAGTTAGAGGGTAAAAAAAAAAAAAAAAAAAAGATATCATTTGTTTAGCCTCGGTTGAATAGGGAAAGTCCAACTCACAGAATCCTCCTTCTGAAATTTTAGTGCAATCGCTTTGGTTAGATCCGAAAATTCACCCAAATCAACCTGCAGAGGAAAGTTATGAATTGTAAGATTGAAACACAATTGCCAACAAAGAAAATAAGTTTGGTGTAATGTTCACCGACTCTCGAGTTTTGTATAATTTAAGGAAGTATTTTATCTATACTAAAAAGACGAGGTCACAATTCGAAAGATATGTGAAATTGATACACAGAAAAGATACCAATGTATTCAAACTGTTACTAAAACATTTTGACAACCAAACAACCGCACTCCATCAAAACATAACAACAACAACAATAATAACAAATGTTGGCACCTTGAAGTCACGGGTATCATCCAACTCATCAAATATTAGCTCAAAATCCTCTCTCGATATCCGTGGCAATGTCCTGAAGACATTAGAAAAGACAGCATGCTGAAACCCATATATTCATGCAACAAGAAGTACAATACAATCCATAGAAGGATGAGCATACCTGTAATTGTTCAGTTCCTCAAAAAGACGGATACATTGTTTTTTGTTGAGAAATCCAGAGTTCTAGGTCCCGAATAAAAAAAGAAAAAAAAAAGTATTGAGTACCATAGAAGTAACTTTCTTGGTAACCGATACAGAAGATTGAAATATGTTAGTCACAATATCCCGCTTATAATACATTTAGTGAATTTATCACTAAATAGTTATGCAAAATCCCCTAGGTTGATATCATGTATAGCCCCGGGGCAAGGATGGGGAAGAACACATGAATATGATTTCGACAAGTTTGTTCTCCCTTGAAAAAAAAAAGAAAAAAAAAAAAGAAAAATAAACATACAAATGAGCGACCAACCACTCACATCTTGATCAATCAAACTAAATGCTTTCTTCAATATCCTCAGCCTCACGCTATCCTTATGAGCCACTTGTTTCACAAGCTACGACAAAAAAGGAAGATATATATATACACACAGGTAAAACATAATCCAGAAAACAGAACGAAGTTGGAGGAATAAAATAGATACACACTTAACCAGTATATAGCGAACAGTGAGAAATTAAATGCTTGCAAGGCAATTGGCACGGGAGAGGAACGAAGTTTATACCTCACACTTGAAGGAATCATATACAACAGCAAGTATCAAATTGGTGACGAAGTACACACCCAATAGCACGTATAGAACAAAAAACAGGCAATACCATCGTGACTCCCTAAAACAGACAAAATAGCAGAGAAATTTCAGTGTGAAAGTAAATAATTGGCTACTCCAAAGCTCGAAAGCTTGCAACAATGGAAAATTACTAGTTATATTTGTGCAAAATCGCTAAGGCAACTTACTTGTATGCAGCAATCCACACATCGGGGTTATTAGATGTAGTAAATAAAACAAACATTTGATACAATGTTTTGCCGTATGAAGTAAATACAGTCTTCCCCTGCAGGGTGTCCTCAAAGATGACATATCCTAACCAGCTAGAGAACAGAAGAAACAGAAGTGACAGAACCTGCAAAGTAGAGGGCAGAGAGCTTGAAGAAAACCGTGAATTGTAATTAGCTGAAACTTATGGGTTTCGAGTTTTTTACTATGTTCGATGTGGAACATCAAATTATTGATTGGAATGGTATAAATGTAGACGAACCATGACATTAAGATAGGTAAGAGACATTCCAGCAAGGATGTAGATGCTGTCCCTCAACTCCCTAGATTCAACAAAAATAAATTTAAGAATCAGACTAGTTAGCCAATATGGAAATCATACTAGACCGCAATTTTAATCCAAAAAAGTTGTCCCATGGGCCAAACACAATAAAAGATTGAATCCAATCAATTAGCTGGTCTAACCTATGGCCTTATAAACCCATATGCTTCTCTCTTATTTTTCAGTGTGGGACTCTTAACATATACTAATAGACCATTATATTGGTCTGCTATTTTGGCACATTCGACATCGATGTCTTACAGATCATACCTGATATTTAAAATGAAAAATGCAACCCGGAGATACGGTGCAACTCTGAATGGAAGATAATATACTCCAGCTAGAGCCAAAACGTATGCCACCAGATCCGCAATAAAAACTAACAACAATGTGACCTAAGATTGAGGGGAAAATAGATATAGAAATTGAAATATTATCACAACACTAGAATAAGCACCAAGCAGAAAAGAATTTAATGAGTAGCATAAAATAAAACAACCCGAGTAAACTAACAGAACCATATATATATATATAATAGTAGAACTGGCTACCTTCAGCTTATTGAAGACATTTTTCCAGTAGATCTGGAAACCTTCATATGATATTGGATACAAAACATGTGTCACGAGAATTACAAGAGTAACAACCTGCGAAGGTTAAAGCAAAACCAATTCACAGTTAAAAATTGTCTAATATAATATAAGGTAACCAATATTATGAAAAAAGTAAATGATTTGTAATGTTAGATAAATTTTCTCATCTAAGTAAACAACTCTTATTTAGTATCTGTGTTACACGACAATAATGGCAAATCTAATCTAAAGCCAGCATAATTACCCTTCCACCTATATTAACTTTAGCTCTCTACAAATCAGTGAAATAAATTTATAAATCCAAGATTCAAAATTTGAAAATAAATCGGCCATTTATTTGAACCTGACCTCATATATGAGTGATTCGGTGCCTGTCAAGTAAGGCAGCTGCCCTAGAAAGTAGTACTCTCTGTCACTACAAGAATGCGACGACTGCTTGGAACACCACAACGGTTTCTGGAATTAAGTCAACAACAACATAGATAAGTCAAGAAACTTGCACTCAAACAATAAACAGAGTTCCAGGAAGTCCTTGTTTTTTTGCATGCAAAAGATGAAGATAAAGAAGCAGATAAGAAATTGTACATACCTCGAGGAAGTTCAAGACAATTAAAGCGAAATAATTTAGGGACCACAGTAAATCAAAATTTGTAAAAATGAAGTATAGCTTTGCAGAACTTGAAAAGTTTGGTTGCTCAAGGATTTCCTCAGGTATACCAACCCCATCTTCAGCCTGGAAAGAAAGATCAATGTTTTACTCACCAGCATAATCTTCAACTTTATTAACATTTACCCATTTGCAAACTTCTCATGAAGTACCATTTTTAGCTTAACTATTCAAGCCTTAGGAATGATAAACCCACACTGTACCAAACTACCAGTTTGATCTATTTTCATGTTTTACTACTTTCACCATAGCTGAATATGGTCTGCCTGCACGGGCAACTCAGTTGATTTCTAGACGATAGATTGTAGGTAAGGACACATGATCAAGCTTGTCGAAGTGTGGGAGTTACACACTTACACCCAATGTGGTGGGCCCAACTCCAGATGAGATACCTAAATTGTGGGCAACGACACAAGATCAAGCTCAACAGCCACAGTATGGGAGCTACACCTCACCTACCTAATGCGTGATTTACGGAATTATTCTGTGGACCGGAGTCCACCTTGCAAGGTGGACCCGGATCCAAAAATACACAATTTACCTACGGAATCCCAAATTTACATACTAAATGTTTACAAGTTACATACTAAATGTTCAGTATGTAAATTGTATATTTTGGACCCGGGTTCATGGTATAATTGTTGGTGATTTACTGATCTACTATTCTGTCGAACCCGGATGTGGGGTGTGGGAATTTCGCATTTTGGGCAAACATAGCTGAATATGAATAGAAGTCGGCTTTACTTTACTTTCACCACCCACCAGCATGATCTTCAAGTTCATAAATCTACCCATTTCCGAGTTACTTACAAAAAAGCAAAATTCACTTCATAAACTGTTCTATTCCTTGCAGAATTTCAAAACCCAGAGACGAACGCGTTTACTACGAAACACTCAACCCGCCACTATGCACCGATGGGTCGTATCGAACCCTTCCAAAGAAGCTAAAAGCAACAAAAAGAGTAGAGCTTAGGGAGAATAGAGGAAACTAGCGAACGTACAAGATCAACAAGAGCAGCGGCCTTCTGGTAAGACGAGCCGTAGACAATAGCATCGGAGCGACGATTGAAGCCACCTCTCCGGTAGAGCCAACGTGCAGTGGAGCCACCGCCCTCTTCACCCAGCAGAGCCGCCTCCATCTTCCAATCCTCTCTCTCTGAAGTCTGAAACTTAACGGTTTCTTCCCCAGGTAGGAAACAAAGTAGCAGCAGTGCTTATGAGCAGCAAGTAATGCCAAACAATAATCATTTAGGCCAGAGATATAAAATTATGTTCAGCTGGCCCAACGTGAAAACTGCAGAATCGACGTGGGAGTTATGCCTTGATGAGTGATTGAATTGATGCAGATGTTGAAATCATTATTTAATTCTTGATTCTTACAGTATATTTTTATATGGAAAAAAAAAATAAAACATTACACTAAGCATTTCGTAACATAATTAGCTTATAAGTCAATTTTGATTTTTGACGTTAAATAATTTATGAGTATTTGATTAATTAGTTTTTTGTAACTGCTTATTTTAAAATTTAAAAAGCTGTTCAAAGTAACTTTTTGATCATGTCATTTGCATGTAATCAGCTATCAGCTAATTTATCAAACATTCCCCACTAACCTAATCAACTAATAGCTATTTACCAAACACTATCATAATTCGTGTTTAAAGGAATATAAAAGATTATAGAATTTGATTTATGTCACCACTCATTTATTATAGAATTCGAATTCGAATTATATTATCGTCATTTTTATCGAGTTCATCGCACAAAATTTTTATAGTGCGATTAGTTATAAATCAAAAGAGGTGGAAATTGTAAATCCTTGTTAAAATATTGAATTAGTTAATCCTTGCAAGCTTGCACATGGCCATGTTTGAAAAAGAATGAAGAACAACTCAGCGACCAGAAGGAGAAATGGAGAATGGCCTGGCAACCGGCAACGTACCACAATTAAATAGAATAAAAATAAAATTTTAAGATCAGGATTTATAATATTATAATACCTAATCCACTAAAACTTAGAAAATGAAAGATTTCAATTTTCATGCATTCATTCCATCATTTTACTACACACTACAATGCTCCTTGTATATATACAATCCAATAATATCACATAATGTGAAATGATAGATACTAAAAATGGCTCTTTGACAATGATATAATATAGTTTTTCTTTGCTTCAAAATAATATCAAATGAAGATATTTTGGAATCATGAAATTAAAAAAATAAAAAATAAAAAAAATACTCAGATAAATAATATCAAATGAGGATATTGTTCGAGTCTATCATGTCATGTCACGTCAAGCAAAATGGATGTACAAATGGTGGAAATTAAAGTCAGAAGGACCACACAAGACAAATAATTGAACTGCCAGACAACAAATGAATTATGAGACAACATTCACAGTAGGATTTCTGAAGAAACAATGAACAAGAAGATGCCATACTATGTTTACTCAGAGACCAATGTTGAACTGAAGAGCTATATCACACAAAAACTGGGGTTTACACAAAAGCTATTACAAATCGAATAATAATTACAGTGGTCAGAGAAGACGAAGACAGGAAGGTCAGATCAGATGAAACGCCCTCCTCATTGCAGCAGAATATCTATATAGCCTCTATGGTAAAGCCTCTACAAAATGGAAAATGTAATCTAGCCTCTTTGTTTTGTACTGTATCTACTTCCTCGAGCATACCCAAAGCCTGCATTCACCATAGAGCAGTCTTAAAATCGAGTTGAAACCGGAAACTTTCAAATAACTGAATTCTCTTTTCTATGAATAAAAGGAAAATCCAACACTAATACAATGAAAAGTTGGCCCTCAATGTGTCATACTGTCATGCACACATTGCTATAATGGTATTGCTTGTGCAGAAACAGCCAAATTTTACTTTTTTTTTTTGTTTTTTACTTTTTTTTTTAATGTACTATCCCTCGAGCTAATAGATACACTGCAATTAAATACCAAGAAATAAACCTACGCACACTTTAATTTTGCACTGACAAGTTCGAGTGAAAATAAGTTTAGTTTAATTGTAAAAAACAATAATAAATAAAAGGTTGTTCATATCACACCTTGATTGTTATCAGAACATGTACTGGAGGGTGGTAGTCCATTAGTCCACAGAGCAATCCTTTCACGAATTGGGAGTCTATTGAATACAGAGACAAAAAGAATTGTGGTTAGAGAAGAAAACACTTTCAGCAATCAAGGGGAGTAAGGAATAGTTTTAAATATTTAAAAGAAACATAAATAATGAAAATAATAATGGCAAGAAAGAAAAAGAAATCTAATGACATAGATATATGTAGTAGGGTAAACTTTTGGAACAAGAATAACTCAAAAAAAAAAAAAGATATTTGAACAGGATGTATATTGGACCAAAGAATTGGAACTACAGGGTAAGAAAATAAAGCAGAATATCATAATCATTATCTATGATCCAACCCTTGGGTATTGGAATAAAAAGTTAGCTTTAAGTGTTTACAATATTGCTCATGGATAATTGATGAAAATATATAGTAAGGCAGCTTTCAGAAGTCTAAACATGAAAAGTTCCAATTAAAAAATAAACACAGAAGAGAAATGTTTTTTTAGCAGAACATAGAAAGCATTCCACATGGTGGATATATACAGCTTGTGCTAGACCTAAAGAGTGTTTGACATTGACAAGGTCTACAAAAACAAGTAAAGCGAGTAACGAATGGGAAAAAGTTCACATTATACCTCAATCAGACATCACGCTTTGTTTTTTTTTGCCCCGGTCACAATCTGGAATATCCGCAGGCCTCTACTGAAAGCATCATTGAATAGGATCCTTGTCTGCATGGGTTGGAATCCAGGCAACCAGGATAATAGTGCCACGGGTATCAAGACAATCACTCCAATCATGATTTCATACAGTCGAGCCACAGCAAGAACTGTCCCCCAGATAAAAGTGTTTTGCAAAAGGGGACGTAGCACTTGCGCAAATGAGAGGAGACCCCAACCAGTGGGAACGAAAGCCAGCATGCTAGTGAATAGATCGATAAATTTGAAATCTGTGAACTGGAGCAGTGCAATTAGCAGAATTATGAAAAGAATTATAACTAGGAACTGAACCAGACGATAATATATGTGCTCCTTTGCAGCATACTTATCCCGAGCATAAGCTATAATGGTGTAAATCCCAAGAGCTACCACCACATAAATCCAGGAAAGCAAGTAAACTGCAATGCTCTTGCTGTCAGCAGCAATGCCTAGCTGATAAACAATTCCATACTGGAAAAAGAAGAAACGGAGGTCTAAAATTATTTCCAGTATCTTCCCCCAAAGACCAGTTGTCCTTAAATGATCCTGTTCTTCATGCCACCATTTTTCCCAACTTTGTTCAGCTTTTGCAAAAACACCACCTCGGTACCATATCCAGCTCATAAACTCATCAAAATCATACACTGTCTTCAACCAATCAAATCCAGAAGGATTAAACACAAAGGGTGCCAAGATCCATGACACCACCAGGAACCAACTTGAGATGGTCAATGCTATGTATGTAAAAGTTTTGGTAGCTACAGGGCTGTATGAGGCGTATATTATAAGTATGAGCCCAAGTTCAATTGCCTTAGTAAAGTGGCTACGAGCATAAAGTCTATAATTTTCAGCAAAACTCTTGTGTTGTACCACAAAGCCACGTCCAGTTGCCCGGTACTTGGCACCACCATGAAGAATAGTTCGGCCAAAATAGTGGGCACGCGTTCCCATTGAGAAAGTGTAAAATACAGAAGAAAGTTGGAGTTGCATTGTTATAAATTCCCAGATAGAAGTAAGAAAACCATGCTCAAGAGAATTCTCCACAATCATAGGTAAAGCAGTGAATAGACCCAGCTGAATGATGAACTGTTGGTTCAAAATTGTACCAAGTGCTCTGTTGTCATTGGTATCACCTTCAGCAATAGAGCCCTCAAGCCCGCTAAGTGCCAGGTAGAGTCTTCCCCATAAGAATGCATAAACTGTAAGAACAATCATCATTGTGTTGAAATAAAACCCAACAGTTGTATAAAAAAATGAGAGCATTCTGAAGAAGTCAAGCCTATGGCCCAACCTATAGACATCCCTACTCAGAACTTGCTCGCCATTCCCACTGGCAACCTTGGCTTCAAACATAGCTATTTGATTCAGTCCAACATCCCTTCCCTTGCCAACTTGGATGTATTCATGGTGGGTAACATTCCCACCTCGCAATGTGCAGTTAAAGCCAGCAAAAATATCTTCACTAATGTTGATCACTCTAGATGCTTTGCTAAGCCCTCCCCGAGTCAAAAACCAAAACCTGTCAAACACATCTGGGTGCCCATAGTGCATTCGGATTTTCAGAGGGTTAGCTAAGACACGTTGACCCAGAGTGACAAAACTCATTTCTTGAGCTGACATGAACCAAGCGAGGGATGAGACTGAACCAGTAAAAATGTGTTCCCTAACTCCCAAAATTTTTGGCTTGCGGATTCCATAGTAATGCTTGAATTCCTCCAACAGATTCCTCATTTTCAGTGCCTCCTCAAAGTAATTATCTTGGTTCATATCGATTGTCTGGACTGCATCTCCCCGGGTGAAAATAAGAGCATGATTCTGATTTTCAGGCTTTCCCTCCCCAAGCTTCAATGGACCAGGCAACTTGACTCGATAGATCTCCACTTCCTTCTTCAGTTTTTTGTCGTACTTCACTAGCACAGAATAATACTCTATCTCATCCCTTCCTCTTACAACCTCATCAACATAAGCAACACGAAGAGCTTCATTGTTTTCCATCAGCTTCAAGATGTCTTCAGCGTGGGGATCCCTTTTGGCCTTCTGAGTACCATAAATCTGACAGGCAACCACATAAGTGAATTTCATTAAAGAAGTCCCATATTCATGACCTTTAAACAACAAACTCACAGAACTATCAGCTCTGCTCAAACTTCTAGATGATGGTGCCCTTTCTGAGCTCAAACCATCAGGTCCCTCACTACGCCTCATAGAAGCAAGCTCGCGTGATCCGTCCTTTATGTCCACCTCAGAAGCTGAATCCAAAAAAGCCAGCATGTTAAGAGCTCGGTAATAATACATCATTCCTCTCACTGTCCGTGCAAGAGTCTGGCCTCTGTATGATGCCCAAAGCCTAAGATCTTTAAGCCTTTCTGTCCACAACTCTCTTTTCTCATTGGTCATTCCTTCTCGTCGCATTCGCTCCAAGAAATTCTCCCACTCATCAGCATAGATTGTCTGTAAGTAATAGAGTATGGAAATACCATCTTCGTTTTCAGTTCGAAGTTGTTCCTTGCTGTACAACACTTCTTCATTGTAGTATGGGGTCAAAACACTGAAAGCTCTCATTTTCTCAACATGAGGAGCATGTGGCATGTTCATAAAAAGAGAGTTGCTAAAGAAGGCAAGTCGACGTCTTGCCTCAAGATTTCTTGGAATGTTACTCATAGAGTCACGAGAAGTAAGAATAGTGTGTAAGCGCCGAGCTTGCCGATAGAAGGTCTCATTGTCAGGATCAGGAAACACAACTGCATTCTGAAAAAGCAATTTATCCCCAGAAGTCCGAGGTGCAAGACCTTCCTCTCTTAGCTGATCTGCAGTCATCTTCTCCTTGAGGAAATCCCGGGTTGCAATCTCATACAGGGCCTGTAGAACATTCACCACTTTGTCAATGTCCCTTTTAGGATTGAGACTTAGATTGAGAAGAATGGTCAATTTGTCACATATTTTGGGAAGTGCAGTCAGGTTGTAGTATTTTGTGAACTTTTCCAGCCTAACCCATTCATCAATTTGCTGAAAGAAAGTGTTGAGAATGGAGTGTTCCTCACTATTTGATGTGACAATCTCCCGTAACAAATGTCTGGTACATTCATAAGCTTCAATAACTGCACACCGCCTGTATTCACTCTTGCTAATCTTAGACCAGAGCCACTGGTCAGGAGCATCTACCAACTCTTTTGCCTGACTAAGAGCAAGCAAAAGCTCATTGCAAAGCAGTAAACATGGCCAACGTATCACTCTAACATCCCAGGTGTTCTGGGGCAGCTCCAACAGCTCAACCTCATGATCACTGACGATATCTTCTTCTCTAAATGTCAAAATTATCTCATTCCATATCAATGCAAATTTGTTAGCCTCTACCTGGCTGGACTCAAGCTTTTTAAATGGCCGACCAAATCCATATCTAAGTTTCAAGCGGTGAATGGCATCCTTGAACCTGCTCTTAAATGTTCCATGAGTATTCAATAACTGCTCCTCTGGCATCAGATTGAACTGAATGGCACTTGCAAAGAACTGGAACCTCAACCTCAGCTGTTGCATGTTCCGAATCTCACCCAAGTGGTCAAATAACCCAACTGCCGCACCAGTAAAGGAAGAGTAGATAGCATACCATATCTGTATATCCATAAGGTAGATCAGAACTACAGGAAGCCAAAGCAACCCTACAGCAAACCTATTGCTGTTGCCAAAAAATTGATGCCATTCATATGTATCGTTATCAATCTTAAGACGTAACAGTGTCTTTGTTGGAGCAATCATTGGTTTAATCTGTAAAAAGTAACTGAAAGTAAACTTAGTAGCAAGCACAAGCACCCAGAATAGGCTATACTTTATATTATCAACAAGCCCTTCCCTAAGTCCACGACCCACAAATGTCCGGCTCTGGAACCACCACAGCAGCAAGTGAAATATCTTCCAGTTAGTATTCTCAAGAAAATTCCGAACCCAGGGCAGAATAAAGAAGGCTAAAGCCAAAATCTCAGGGGCAAGGAAAACCAAGGAGACCTCAAGGAAATTCACCACCCTCCTGTTAGCCTCGCCTGACCAACCCCGATCGTTATTCCGCTGGGTCCAGATCCTGCCATAGAACACACCAAAAACCACAATCCATCCAGCTGAAACGATGGCCTTCAACACCATTCTCACACCATGCCATGGTGTCTCTCTTGAAACCAGTCTATACTGCATCCCTACATCAAGCAATGACTGCACGAACCTCATCCCACTCCATGTGAAGAACACAGTCAGAACCTTCACTTGCACCTCTCTACTCTCCAAAGCATGCCATGGATACCCCTTTCCCTCCCAAGCCACAATAATTGCAGCCTGGAGGAAGAGAGTAAGCATGATCCACAACTTATCAAAGCTCCTAAACAAGTTCCAAAAGGACCTCTGCTCCACAAACCCCGTCTTCCCTACCTTCTTCCCCTTGTCTGTGGTCACGAAAAAGGTGCTACCAATATCAATCGGCCACTTCAACTTCTCAAAGCACCTCTTAGTCCAGAAATACTCATTTATATCATCATAGTTCCTCCAAGCAGAGTGTGGGGCAGTGCCATTTCTACTATTCTCAACCTCAGCTCGTATTGTCTCATAGATGGGCTTCACAATTCGATTCAGATAGGCATTCTCACCCGAAATTGAGGGTAAAAATGGACTGCCGGTGTTTTCATCGATGTAATCTTCCAAAATTTTATTCAATTCCATGGCCATATTATGAAAAATATAGCTAATGCACTCAGGAACAAAGCGGATATTAGCGGACTCACCCCAGATAAGGAGGTAGAGCGACACGTAGAGTAGCTCGCGCCGGTTGTCGGAGGCGGAGTTGTGTCGCTCCGAGAGCCAAACGTTAGATTTGAGTCCGAGGAAGGAGCACCACGAGGTGTAGTTCCTGAGGAGCTGACGGCGGAAGCGGCGCAGAACCCCGGGGTCGAGACAATCGATGTTGTCCGGGGGCGGGGTGAGCCGCATCTGGGCGTTGGCGAGGTGCAGAACCAGGTGCTCCCTCTGGTTACGAACACTGGAAGCCTGGAAGCCGAAGAAAAGCGCGAGCCAGTCGAGCAGATCATACTCCGGCCTCCACGGACAGAACGGCGGCTTCCGCAGCTCCCCTACTGACCGCAGAGCAGCCGCCGCGGCTCGCACCTCCGGGAAGCGCAGAGACGGGTGGTCCGCCAAGAGGTTGTGGATCGGAATGATATTGTAGGGCTGCTCATCCTCTCCTTGAGCTTGAGCCCGCTGCTGTCTGGCCGGACCTTGCTGCGCCGGCGGCGGAGGGCGTTGCCGGTGACTCATTGTAGCATTTGCAGAGATCTAGCAATGGCGGTATACGGTAGTGGTATTTCAGTGGTTTTAGGGCGGAGAGAAGAAAGGGGATGGGAACTGGGAAAGTGGCGGAAGCGCGTGAGATTAGATTTTGAAAAGGGCAGAAACGTTGGGACTAAGGTGTAAAAACCAGGTCCATTTCTAACGGTCAAAGGAAGCTCGAAACTCAAAACCTCAACATTTTTTAAGGACTAATCTGTAATTTTTGACAACTACAAGGTTGCTCTTGTAGTCCGAATCATAATAAATGAAATTGCCCCCTTTACAACTTGGATTCCTAACCAAAATTAATAGTCCATAATGAAGAAAAACTAAAATAATGTGACGATATTATGATAATTTTGAACCCAACAAGGTAGTTCAAGTGGCAAATAAGCTCTTTTTATGGGGGAAAATTTTGGTATAACTTGGGTTTGATTCTCATAAGTGACGATTCTTTTTGGGCTAGCTCCCGTGTCTCTCGGAGCGAATCGGGTGGACCTGGACCGTTAAACAGACAGAGAAAGATCCGGACCTCTCGGAGCGAACCGGGTGGACTTGGACTGTTAAACGGACACAGAAAGACCCGGACCTCTCGGAGCGAACCGGGTGAACCTGGACCGTTAAACGGACAGAGAAAGACCCGGATCTCTCGGAGCGAACCGAGTGGACCTGGACCGTTAAACGGACAGAGAAAGACCCGGACCACAATTTGTGGTTTACACCAAAAAAAAAAAAAAAACAGACATTATGATAATTTTTAATTTTGTGTATGTTTTTTTTTGTTGGGTACATTACGAAAAAATAATTTTTTGGATTCTAGATGCATAAGTTTAAAGTTTAAGGTGCATCACTTTCCAACTAAATGTGTATGAATTTAATTCTTAAAGTGCACTTTTTTTTCCGTATGACTTCAAGACTTTAGGTGCTCGCGGAATGTTAGATTACCTTAAGGAATGTTAGATTCTTGTGTTTGGTTTAAAACGAAGATATGTAAATAAGACAACACTAATAAGATAAATTGATTAAAAAATACAAAGTCCAACATTAGTAATAAGACAAGGGAATGTGAGATTACCTAATAAATTGGAGGGTATCTCACATTCCCTTCTAATAGCTAAAAACTTAATGCGGAGGTTATATGACATTCTCTGGGAAAATTACATAACTTGAACCAAACACGTGAATCTTATATTACCAAACAAATATAACATTGGTTATCTTATATAACCTGAACCAAACACCCCCTAAGTATATAACTCTCACACACATCTGTTTTTTAAGATTCATCATACTATATCCTAAATTTACTATCCAGTCCACTAAATTGTACAATTTTATGCATAATGAATCGAACTCAAATTTAAATTCTCAATGTTCGTAATATGAAATTCAAGGATCGCACCCTCACTCTCACCATATTGTTAGAAATAAGGATTAAATGAGGTTTCTTATCCATTAAACCAATGCCCTATAATAGGTTATATAACAATGGAAAGTTGGTTTTCTGTAATAACCCCATATAAAAGATAATTATTCTAATAAGAATACCATGTACAATGAACTTAACTGAAAGGATATAATATGAATATACGATAATTATATTCCACTCATTTAGTATTTTTTTAAAGACAATTTTAATTATTCAAACAATATAAAAGAGATTCGACATTTTTTTACAAAATATATAAGGTATATAGCATTTGATTCTAAAGTAAGTTTGACTTGTCACTAAAAATAGTAGTTTTAGATTCTCTTTCCCTACAATCGGATTTTAGTTATAAATTTAATTGAAAGTTTATATTCTTATCAAAATATAATGGAATCAATTAATTTATAAGAAAATATATATGTTGTAATTTACATTAAATTATACAATATTTATGTGTAAAAATCCTGATAGAAGAAGAAGGAAAATAAATTTATAATAGGATTACAGATTACTTTCAAGAAGGCAATGTAAGATTTTGAGAATGCAACATTATCTTATGGAGTTAATTCGACTGGAGGTCCCTTGTTTTTGGTAGCAATTCTAAATTTAGTCCCAGACTATCATTTTTGTCATTTTACATCCCAGACTATTGTTTTTTGGACACTTTTAGTTATTCTCATGATTTTTTCTATTGTTAGTAAAGGTATTTTTGTCTCTTCATATTTTTATTTTGTTATTTTGTTGGTTTCAACCAGTTTAATTGGTTTAGAACTTTAGGTAAGCTCAGATTTTTAGTAACCATATTTTTCAACCAATTTTTAGTGAAGTCCTAAACCAATTAAACTGGTTGAAATCGAAAAAATAACAAAAGAAAAATATGAAGAGACAAAAATGTCTTTATTAAAAATAGAAAAATACATGAGAATGACTAAAAGTGTCAAAAAAATGATAGTATAAGATGTAAAATGGCAAAAACAATAGTCTGAGACTAAATTTGAAATTGTCACTAAAGACAAAGGACTACGGGTGGAATTAACTCTTATCTTATGTGTTTGGTTTGGATTGTGAAAAAATATAATATTACATTGTTTGGTTAAATGTTATATTTTACTATTTTAGGTTATATTAATCAATTTATTATAATGTTCTCAATAATGTGTGTGTGTGGGGGAGGGGGGGGGTGTATGGTGTATATATATATATATATATATATATATATATATATATATATATAATTTAAGGATTTAAGGATTAGTTAATAAGGGTAAAGTTGGAATATTTCAATGTAATCTTAGATTACTTAAGAAAATGGAGATAATCGCATGGCAGCCACATCAGCTTTGAAGTAAGGGGTCACACTTGTGTGAGAATGTCTTACGGATATTTATTCATAAGACGAGTCGGGTCAATACGCATAAATAACATGTTTGTTACTTATAAGGGAAGACATAATACTTTTAAGAACAAATATAATATTTTTTATATTTTGATGTAAAAGTATTATGTTTTTCATCAAAAGTATTATATTTTCCATTATAAGCAATGCAAAAGTATTACATTTTCCCATATAAGTAATAAACATTTTATTACAGAGTATGATTTAGTGTTACATTTGCTAGTATAAATATCACATTTCATCTTGACCCGACTCTTACGAACAAAGATCCGTGAGACATTCTCGCACAATTTTTTTGTCTTAAGGGAATATAACATTACTATATAATCTCATTTTTTTTTAGTAATACTAACCCTGTTACAATGTAGTATATGTTCATAGCTACATTCTCAATCTATTGAAGCACAAAGAGTCAACATAACATTACTATACACAGGGACGGAGCCAGAAATTCGATTGAGGGGGGGCGAAACAGTACAGACGGATTCAGAAAATTTTTCTAGAAAAGGCGAAACATTAAAACAAAAGAGATAATTTAAAAATAAATAAATAAACTACATAAGAAATATAATTGTAAATATTATTGGATATGGACGAAAAATAAAACGAATGGAAACTTTATAAAAATATGAAACATAATTAATAAAATAATTTGAATAGAAAACACATTATAAATTACACATCTTATTATAGAGTGTGTGTAATATTAAAAAAGCTATTAAAAAGAATTGTAAAACTATGTTGATGCTAAGATTGGAATCCTTAACCTCATTATTTCCAAAGTTGTGCTCTACCACCTCTAACTCACTTCTTATTAATATTTTATAATTTTTTTATACTAATACTGAAACATGTACTATATATACATATATACATACAAATACTATATATGAGGTGGGGGTGGGGTGAGGGGGGAGCCGCCCCTGCTCCCCCTCTCCCTCCGTCCCTGACTATATAATCTCATAATAACTTGACCAATATAACATTAGCAGACTCATATTACCTGTGTAATTTAAAATTACCTGAACCAAATACTCCCAAAATATATATTATCTTGAAAATTGTGGGATGGAGAGAAAAGATTCATTGAAGGAAGTGCAAAGGGTAACACATGCGAAAGTAACAAACCAAATCACCAATATGGGTGCACATGAAGGTCGGCAGCCAGCAGGTAGCTTTCCAATTTGAATTACTCCCTAATTAATATTTTATGTCTTTTTTTTTTTAATATTCAAAAAAAAAAAAAAAAATCTTATATGTCTTCTTCCAAATGGAGTGCCATAAACGGCGCCCAAGGAGATACCCATAAACCCAGTCAGCGCTACATTAAAAATATTATTAGAGTCTATAATATAAGATTTCTTCAAAAAAAATATATATAATATAAAGTAGATCATGATATATAATTCTATATATGTGACACTCAGTTCAACATAACAATTTACACTTGTCATTGTTCTTAAGCAATTATGGGTTTGCATTGGTTTGATCTTATGTCCATTTAACTATAAAATCAACAGACATAATAATAATTTTTTATTAAAAATCTTTCAAGACACTATAATCGAAATCAATTGAAACTATCATGTGAACAAGAAGAAAAAAAAAATAAAAGAAGAAGAAGAAACTACTTGAGCAATAATTTTGTGTATCTTTCACTATGGGACATCATCTAGCATTATATTAATTTTTATTGCATAACTTAATTAGTCAATCGATTCTGTTCAAAATAAATTTATAAATTTTACTTTGCCAGTATTATATTATATTATTTGTTGACGTTAACAGGCCGTTTGGTTGGAAGGAAGGAATTGTAATTCGGTGAGAAAAGAATAAAGTGGGAATTTAAATTACATTGTTTGGTAGGAAGGAATAGAGTGATGGGGAATTGAGAGGGAAGAAGTAAACAAATACTAAAATGCCCTTATATAATATTAATATAATAATGCTAATGAGGGTAAATTAGTAATTTATAATGAGATTGCAATTCCACAAAGCATGGAATTGCAATTCCTAGGGTGGAGGCATGAATTGTAATTCAGCAAAAGGAAGGAATTGCAATTCCTTCCAACCAAACAATGTAATTTCAGCTTTCATTGAATTTCAATTCTTTTACAACCAAACCACATCGTACCAAACAGGCCATAAGATCAAGCGACGACTCTTGCTCATAGCAAATACGCAACTCTATTTATGTATATACCGTCATTATATTTTTAAGAGGTATGTAGGGGTGTTGGGTTGGACTTGATCCTTCACCGACTTCTACTTAATTAACAATTTAAAGCTATAAATATTGATGATGAAAAAATCCACTCCATATTTTCTTAATCTGCACGGCTAGATGAAAACTTATAAAGTATGGATTCGATCGATGAAGACCTTTTTGTCGTATCAACTCATCATTTAAGGTTCATTTGCTTATGGCTTAAGAATGTTATATGCAGGGGCAAACATCAAAGGATTCGAAAAATATATATATAAAAAAAAAAGTTCTCTCTCTTTTTTTTTTACAGAAAAATTTGCAGTAGCTAAACAAATACCTTGCACTTAGATGACACTTCTGTGGCTGCCCTTGAAGGAATGTCACAAGATCATACCCCGGTAAGGTATTGACTCTTTAGGCCATAATCCGTAAAGAATTATAAATGAGTAAATCGGCCTAGGTTACGTTGTCTAACTACATATAAATGTTTCGAATTATATATTAATAATGATGTAGATTAATGCAATTATGTACTACACTTTTTATTAATAAGGAAACAAATAATGAATACAAGATGGTATAGAAAAACCAAATACAAGAAGAATCAGTATGGGAATCGGTGAGCCGAGTAAGTGAATGAGTTAACAGATTCACTGACCTACGCACATAGTAGAAGTACACTGAGTCAAAGTGCCTAACCACGGCTTGACATTGACTCATTGAGATAATGCATCATGCATACGAGAGATGAGAAGATGATTTGTTAAGAAGATTACAAACATTGAGACAATTCATCTCAACCATGTCATGTCGCCAACCACATTCCAGCATCCAACTTGCGCTTCTTTAACTATCATTGCTTCTACAATATGAGAATCATCCAAATTGATTTATCATGTGGTTACATAATTTAAATTTTTGGTAGTGCAAATATACCTAATGTATATTTGTTAATGAATAACTATAATGTTGCCTATAATCACTAACTATAATGTTGCCTATAATCAAGAGATTGTAACAATGGAGATTGATTAAATACAATCAATTGTCAATTGTGCTATTTATAATCTTATATGAAACACTAGTACCTTTTGTATAATCTATTTGCGACATGTATTGTAAACGGGTGTGTTGAGTATGTATTGACCATATATGAACAAGGAAATAACATCTCTTATTTCAGTAGTTTACTTATTAATACTAACAGAGATCATAATTTGATATCTTAACACGTCTTAAATCTTTTGCCAAAAAAAAAAAAAAACACGTCGTAAATTTCACTATATACATAATGTGGGTCCAATATAACACATCATCCATTATACTTGGGTTAGCTCGTCACAACAAACACTTCATTTAAATTAGTACAACAATCTAATTAACTCATTATATTGATTCGAGTAACATCCTCAAAGCATAACTCAATTAATTTATCAATCCAAAATAAGTTAAGAATACTTGATAGTTTAATTTTATTTACGATCAAATAATACATTTGAAGTTGTGGACCATATCAAGGCAAAACTCCTTTAATTAATTGGGGGTGTTGGGGACAAAGTGAAAGTTCACAAAGTGTTGTCTTTACACTTTAATCCTGAAATCCTGATTTTGTGGCAGTCTTTTGGTCTTTAAGCTTTTTTATCCTCTGTCACTAAACAACATAATTTGCTTAACTAAAGCTGCTTCTAAAATAAATAAAGTCAAACGCCCTTGTCGTCTTCTGATTTGTTTTCTTTCTTTACAAACACAAAATATAATATTTACTATTATCAATGTCATAAAATATTACTAATTTTTTTTTTATAAGTTTAAACATTAAAAGTAGTCATATTTTCATAATAAAAAGTAATTGGCTCAAAAGTGTGTGTGTATATATATATATATATATATATATATGATTCATCTTTTATTATCTATCCATAGATTGTATTTATGATTTTAAAATTATTTGAATGAGAACTCATGGAGTGGTACATAATTGTAATGCATTAGAGCAATTACATTATGATTTTTGTTCGATTTTTAAGGAAGAAAAAAAATAAAAATTGGTTTTTATCTAATAATAGGAAAAGAGAATTTTTGACTAGATTTTTCTCTTGCAAATATGGTTTTTGAGTGGGGTCTACTTTTGAACGAAAAGAGAAAAACTTGCGCAGATTGCTGTGTGTGTGCAGCATTCTGCGCTTGCGTAATGCCTTTATTTTATTTTTTTGGTCAGAATTTATTATTTCCTTTGTTTCTCTTCTCACTTGCTTCTGTCTCTTACATGGTCTACAAAAACTCACAAAAATTTACAACTATTGAGATTGTTCTTATTCTGTTTATTAAATTAATCGAAAAGAAAAAAAAAAAAGAGAGATTTTTATTCGAGTTTTTCATTTTCCTTATTTCTATATTATTATTTGATTGTGGAAAATGACCCTTTTTTAGTATTGTGTATATAATAATATCTGAGGAGGAAATGACCATTTGGCCTAGTGGATAAGTGGATTTAATTACCACCCATTAAATACAAATTCCATCAAACTCAACACGCAATTTCAAAATCTCCATGACAGACAACACAAACGTTGCTTTCTTACTACGAATTCAAAAATTTCAAACGCATTATAGCAATACCTTATTTGCTAAGTTGCTTAATAAGAACAAAGCTTAATAGTTGTGGGTTTTATAAGGTTTTTGTCATATCCATATAGAAGAGAGAGAGAGGGAGAAGAGAAGAGGAAAAAATGATCGATTTCTATTCAGGTAATAATTGAGGGACCAAATAAGATATTAACAGCTTATGTTAATGTCAAATTTTATATCCTATATCAATAATTTCTATTCAGGTATGACCTCCATCATTTAGGCAGCTATTTTTATCGTAAAATAAGATTTACAATTATATCAAATGCAATATGCCTTAGTTAAGATTAAGATTACTTGACTTTGAAAATTAGCCATTCTTGAGATTTGACATAATATGGCACCCATTAATTATACGGCGGATAGGGGTTGTTGGCCTACTCTTTCAGCTTTCAGGAAAACCAAACACGCGCAAACATGACGCACCTTTTCAGGACTTCGTATATTTTCTGTAAATTACATCCATATTTACTTGTGGATGGATTTCAGGTATTCAACAAGTACGCGTTTGGTTGAACCAGTTTTATACTTTTATGCTTTTCTTATTCTGAAAGTTCTGTTAGGTTGATGTCACGCCCCACCACTACGGTTATCTTTTTCTGGTAGATGATTTTTCTTGTGGGGCTATAAAGTATGCATATGTTATCATCTTGAAGTCTGTCTTATAACTCGTACGGACAACTCAGTTGGTTCATAAGTAATAGATTGTGAATAAAGACACAAAATCAAGCCCTAACAGTCACATCTACATGTAGTGAACTCTTTGTGGGCACCAGACACCGATACTTCAACCTAATGAGTCACTGCATTAATATAATTGATAAGCTCAAGTACTATTCATGACCGCCATCCACTATCCCGTCAGCCCGAGGTGTAAGGCCTTAAAATGAAGAAATTTTGCCTTTATGAACAAAATAAATCAGTCTAGACTGTCCATAGTTGATAAGCGCAACCACTATTAATGATGTATTCAACAGGTTCTTATTATATAGGCATTTGCTATTTCACTTCAGGTTCATCTAACATCATTTTATATTTATCCGAATTTAATCCCATGTTTTATACTGTTATAATTTTGTTTGAGATGAAACCAGGATTCATAGTTTAGTACTCCGAATCATAATTTGGTCACTGAGACAAAATAAAGGTCAAATGCAATAGATATCCAACAAGGTTTCTGCTTGCAGAAAAACACAGCAGTTAAGGTTACAACCATGTAAACAACTATGTAAGAAAGCTGGGAAAGAGATGACAGACAAATAATACTGTGCATCTCTTGATCAAATATATACCGAATTCCAATCACATTCATAGAGAATTTAATTTAATGCGATGTATAGTCAACCCATGTCGTGCATAGATAGATCACAACGATGATGGGCTAAGACGATTGAGCGAGTGTCTCGATCTCTGCGAGAACCAATCCAGACAACTAGATAGGTTCAGATGGTTACTCACCTTTACCATCCTTTCTGAGAGCCTCCGGAGGAATGTCCGTTTAGTCGATCGAGCACAGCGTTGAAATCAACAGGCTGACCGCTCTCCTCCATCCTCTGGATCACGTTAATAATGTGATCCACCCTGTAACCCATGCTTGCCAGTTTCTCAACCAGCTCGTTGTAGGGAGGGGGGTTGCGCATGCCTTGTGGTGGACGAACCATTACATTAGTGTTGGCAGGCTGTGGTGGATTTGCGAGAGAGAAGCTGGATGGAGGATAAGCGCCTTGGGGGAAGATAGGTTGTTGGGGTGGATGACCCCTCGGTCCTTCACTGTCATACATTACATAAGCATTTCCGGGGGCAAACGATGGGTGTGGTCCACTTACCCCGTAGCCATCCCCGGGGGCACAAAATGCAGGCTTGAGATGCTGACCGGGTGCCTGCGGCTGAACTGGCCTGCTGGCAACACCGCTACCATACGGCATTCCCTCGGGGCGGCTAGCGACTGTTTGAGTCATTCCAGAGAAAGGCACTTGCATTGACATGTTATTTGGAACCATCTCGGAAGTAGGATTTGGTTGACTGGGCAGATAAGGGGGATAAACAGCAGATGATGATGGTCTAGCCTGTGGTTGCATAGATGGTTGTTGTGGCTGTGGTTGTTGGGTCTGCTGAGGTAACTGCGGCAACCACGGCTGCTGATATGGAAGTCCCGGTTGAACCGGCGTGGTCTGATTTAGTTGAGCTTGTGCAGGTTGTGGTGGCAGCCTAGCAACTTCTTGCATTTGGGGAGTCCGGTACTGAGACTCAGATGGCATGTATTGACCTTGAGACAGCGGCATCTGGGTCGGTGACAGATAGTATCCCTGTGATTGCGTAATAACTTGGGATGGAATTGGCGGGACGGATGGCTGTTGTGGCTGCTCCATATGTCTGGTAGTATGTGAAGTTTGCGGTGGTGCTACTTGGTGCGGCAATGCAAGTGCCAGTTGCTGCCCGTGCAATTCACAAGGGCTATCACTCCTTTTGGTATCGGAAGCAGGTTGAGACGCTCTCTCCTCATTCTGCTGAGAATTGTTAGCTGAACCCGATTCCTTTTGTGCAAGCTGAAGCTTCGCCAGTTCCTTCTGGGCATCAGCAAGTTCTTGCTTATCTCTCAGGATTTGTACAGACCTGTGGACCTTCGAAGCAGGAAAATAACAAGCCAATCAGTGTTAAGTTTGTATCAATGCAATGAAATCAGTTGCCAACAAAGACATTAAAGCATTAGAAAATTTCTGGAAATACCAGTTCCACCAAGGAAAAGTGAAGAACAGCAGTTATTATGTTGTTATCTCCAACATACAGTAAGAGATGAGACTACCATATTAAATATTCATATGCATATAGGATTAAAAACTCACCTCCTGGAGATGTTTCTCAAGAGATTTGAGTTTGGAATCTGTTTCTCCATGATCATGAACCAAATCAGAACGCATTTCTCCAATGGATTTATCAAGATTGTAACAATATAATTCCAACTGAGATAGGCGTGAACTAAGCCCCTCGAGGAAACGCATGAGATTGTCCGCATACTTCTTCATACTCTTCTCAACAGCATCAATAACATCTTGATTAAATGAAGAATCTTCGGGGGGAATGTAAGCCGAAGTAGGCATCATAGATGATCTCGTCATTCTGCTTTTGTGGAACTCCTGCTCAATACAAAGTTTGGAACTGAGATTAAATTTGATCCCTCAAATTCCTACATCTTTAACCCCTCAACCCCACAAATACCTCAAGAGCGCAGTCAATTTGTCAAATGCAAAAGCAAAATCAATGTTACATATCCAATCTCTTTAGAGTTCATCACTTGTAACACTCATCATGAAACTTTCTATGACAGAATACATTCAACATTGGATGATATTGGCAATTTGGCATCATTTTACAGGTAAATAGCACAGATATAAAGCTTAGTAATATAAAAAAGATGTCATAACTCATAACATAATCACTTCATGATAATTTCTAGTAGAATTAAAATATTCAGTATGGCACAGAGTATAAACTGGATAACTTATCTGAATAACTATCTGAAAGCACATATTGATCATAGAATGACTTATGGAATTTCAAAAACTTGCCTTAACAAAATAGGCTCATAGTTTATATTATGACATGTTTAGAAAAATATGGACAGAATCTCAAGCATCTGGTAAGGCATCATGGTTAGTGGGGTTCTAATTGAACCTTTGCTAGAACAGAAAACCAAGAAAACACAACGGACCAATAGAGGGATAATATTCCTTAGCCAGAATTCTATGTGGATACTGGATAGTGCCCACCAGGCCCCAGCATTTTCCTCCCACAAAATGCAGTTGCAGCTCCCTTCACACTGCAAAATCTTCTTAACATTGTCTTTAACTCAATACATCCCTAGTTTTATTAATAACAGCTGATATTCCTCTGTCTTCCTGAAATAGAACTATACAAGCATAGAAACTCAAACATATTATACTAGGTCTTACTTCTCACCCCTTTTTTGCTACCTTGCTTTCACAAAAGATTATCTCTGTAGCATTAGGATATGCATATTGATGAACCTCACGGATTAAAGAAAAAAAAAAAAACCATTCTTTTGGTGTTTCCTGCTCTAAACTATACACTCTATGTCATTCCCTTGCGGGTTTCCTCTCCATCTCCTTGATTGCGAGGAGCCAAAGCATAACCAAACAACTACCATCTTTATACAATCCCAAAACTAAAAATACGAAACATAAAGCACACAAAAACTCCACAAATGCAGCAATTTTCAGCAAAACCCAGCAGGAAATTCCCCCAAACTTTACCCACTAATCCCACAACCCTAGCATAAAAACAACAATATCTCCCCCAAAAAATAGAGAGATTACCTTGGCAGAATTGGAAGCAACCGCGGGATCAGAGTGGCTCCGGGCAGACTTCTCCTGATTGCCGTAGTCTTCGTAGGAGCAAAGGATATCATCGGAAGCGAAATCAAACACCTTGGAGGCAGAATTATTGGGCAGGCCAGACGATCCAGATGCCATTGCGAATCGAGAAGCTACCGGTTTCTGAGAAGTTGCGGGCGAGCGGCTTTGTAGAGAGATCAATTGGAATTTTCGTCAGCGGAGGAGAAGTATTTGTAGTTTGCTTAGCTTCGACTGCAAAGCGTAGAAGAAGGATTCATTGTACGTTGTTGAATACTGTACACATACGTATACGTGCGTATTTTTCATTTGTTTACAAAAATTCGTAAATTATTATATTATTATTTTATAGCGAGAATCATGGATTTGTATTAAGATAGGCAAAGAAAGATGAGCCTTCAGGATAGACCTCACCGACCATAATCATCGTTTTCCTCACTCCTATATAAAAAAATATGTCAGAAAATTTTTATAATGTCTGAAAAAGATATCGTGTATATTTTAACATGTTGTAGGAATAATTAATTTCAATAATGGTTGAGTTTTATTCGGCATCAATCGTGTTGATCGAGTTCAGTCTCTATTCAATTTGAGATATGATGATGTTGCTTATTATAGAGGGATACAGTTAAATGGTTAATGTTACCTACTTATCATCTATTAGTTTTAAATAAAATGACAATCATAGTCAAAAAAATTATATGATTAAGCGTGCCAATAAGTTTTATTTGGAAATAAATTTATATATATATATATATATATATATATATATATATATATATATATATATATATATATATAGGTTGAGATCAGGTTCTCCAGTGACGTTGTTGTAATAATATTTTTCATATTAATGTGATGCAAGTTAAATAGGGTCTGGTGACAATAAGATTGTAACATAAATAATGGTTTCACTTACAATAACTTATAATGATGGCACGTAGAAGGTTTAAGTATGATCATCCTTTTACTCTTGGTATAGTTCATATTACACTATCTCGTTGCACTGCACGTGAGATTAAGTGGTAGACGATTAATCCCTTGAAATTCTTGAGGCAGTTTTACCATGAAGATATTGGCTATGAGCCTATGACTATATATATGCTCGATTGTGCGATATATGTCCGATTCTATTATTTTCTCTATAAAAATTATAATTTATTGTATTTTTTTTAATGTACAATACATGTATATAATTTTGTATATGTTTGACTATCGGTTATTAATGATGGTAGAAATGTAGAATTATATAATTATTTATAAGAATGTAATCATCATTTGTTAACATGAATATTGTCTTACCTAACATTTCATGTTAAGTTATATTTTAACATAAATTTGTTTATTTGCATCTAATTGGATTGTTCGGTACACGAATTAATTTAAGTCCTTTTCACAAATATAATATTTTAAAAAAATTTTGTCCTTAGTTTTAAGAATCAATCATCTTTGATATTTGACATTTATGAGGTGTCACTTTTAGCCTATTTGCTACATATAGAATATTTTGTAACATAAATAAAATGATTATTTTTTCACAATTCAACTACCCTAGTTGCAAGAATCGAACCGGTGAACATTTGACGATTGATTGATTAACATACCATATTAAGTGTGATTTATGGTGTCAAATACATAATTTTCTTTGTTTTTATCTATGATTATAACAGATTTAATCTCAGACTCTGAGCAACTGAGCAAGGCAATTGACAGAAAATGGCGGCCCTTTCCATCTCCTCACTGTCTTCTTCATCCTCAAAACCCCTCAGAGCTTCACCAATACTCAACCTTCAAACCCAACAATGGCGTCCCTCGCTCACTCTCAAGAAACCCATTTCTATTCACTCTCTCAAACCCCATCATCCCCTTTCCCTCCGATTCACCCAGCCCCGGAAACCCTACCTACTTTACTCCGGACCCCTCCCGATCAAATCCCTCTTCACCGGCATAGTCGAAGAGATGGGCGAAGTCCGACACATCGGGTACGAAGATCCCGAAAGTTTCACCCTGAAAATCGGCGCAAAAACCGTTCTTGACGGCGTCCATCTCGGCGACAGCATCGCCGTCAACGGAACTTGTTTAACCGTCACGGAATTCGACACCCAATTGTCGGAATTCACGGTCGGGTTGGCCCCGGAGACCCTGCGAAAGACCTCTCTGAGTGAATTGGAGCAGGGATCTCCGGTCAATTTGGAGAGGGCACTGACGCCCAGTTCAAGAATGGGCGGCCACTTCGTGCAGGGCCACGTGGACGGCACCGGCGTGATCGTGGGGCTCGACCCAGAAGGGGATTCATTGTGGGTGAAGGTGAAGACGACGAAGGAGCTGCTAAAGTACATTGTGCCCAAAGGCTTCATCGCCGTCGACGGGACAAGCTTGACTGTGGTGGACGTGTTTGACGATGAGTGCTTCAACTTCATGCTGGTGGCTTACACGCAACAGAAAGTGGTGATTCCATTGAAGAAGATGGGGCAGAAGGTGAACTTGGAGGTGGATATACTGGGGAAGTATGTAGAAAGGTTGCTTAGCAGTGGGTTTGTAGATTCCATCAAATCTGCTTGAGCTGAAACAGGTAGCCCCTTTCAGTGTTGCTCCATTTTCTATCTTCTCCCAGTGATCTTAAATGTTGAATAAAATGTTATTTGATTTTGATTGTCAACATGTTTGAGCATGATCTTGATAAAGGTGTAATCTTTTTGGTTACGGGGGGAAACCCGCATCCACTACTTAGTATGCAATGAGTAAAATCCTGCCTTACGATCCTAGTCAAAGGATCATAATGAGTTAAACTCGTCTAGATTGTTCATAGCTGACTGGCTCAATCATCTTGATAAAGGTGTTATTTTTTTGGGTTACGGGGGGACCCACATCCACTACTTGAGTATGCAATGAGTAAAATCTAGCCTTATAAACCTAGTCCGCAAAGGATCATAATGAGTTAAACCAGTCTAGATTGCTCATAGCTGACTGGCTCAAATCAAGAAGGCCAGTAAGAGAAGTTGAACTTATAAAATTGTGGTTATCAAGTTCCAGATAAAGGTGTTATTTTTAGTTCTTTATTTCAGGAAGTTGTTTAGCTCAGAGCACTAATACTCAACAACATAAGTTATAGATATGTGTTTGGGATTGATTGTGCCATTAGCCTTTATATTAAATTGAGATAAATTAGTTAAAAGAAGAAGAATGATTCAAAGGTCTTGGCTGAGATGCTGAGAATGTTCTGAATTGAGTGGAAATCTTTTATTTTTTGGTAAAGGGTAATGAGTGATATTCCATTTTTTAAAATTATGATGAATAAACATAGAAAAGAATAATCTCAGTTTCTCCAACCAAAGAAAGCCACTTTCTTTGGTTGCCCAATATTGTATCCATTGCTGCAAATCTTGTAGTGTTGCCAAAAAGCTTCCTATTTGAGATGAGACTGTCACCCTTTATACTCTACTGAGATTGGACTGGACTGTCAGTCCACGGGGCTAGCTCAGTTAGTTCGACCAATCACCTTAAAATCTCGCTCCAGTAACAGTGTAGGGGTTCGAATCCCATGGAAACCTAGGTGTCATTGTGAGACCTTGACCTGATGGGGCTACTCGCAATTTACTTCCTCCACGGGCTCTGGGAGCTCAGAATTAGTTTAGTTTAAGCTGGGATACCTAACGTTTCAATAAGAAATGTTGCAGGAAAGCACTTTGGATTCTCCTTGGGGATTTGATGTTAGTGGGTTCAAGTAGTGGACACAAAGCATGCTGCAAAGTTTCTGTAGTTTTTACAATCTGGGAAAACTTCTGTAGTTTCTCTCTTTCTTCAGTGTTGACAGTTCTATAATTTCCTCTGGACTTCAAGAATTGATAAGCTTGGTGTGCAACTTTTAGAAACTGGATTAATTAGTCCCTTCTAAAATTGGACAAAAATGTTAGTCATGACATCATTGTTTGTCTCACTAAAAAAACAGAAAAACTTGGATGTTAATAATGTCACCATACTAAAAAAGTGAATTTATTTCATTCAAACAATAGGGAAGGAGTGGATAAGAATTGTCACCACACTCAAAAAGTGAGTTTATTTCATTCAACATTAGGGTATATCCTCAATTCCAAAGTGTATTTATACTACAATTAGACAGATCAAGTAAGATTAACATACCAAGGGGAAACGCTGCAAAATCAGCGATTTGAAGCCAAATTGCTGCTCCAAACCTGATTTCAAACCGCTGATTACCAAACGGCTTCTTTTAGCGGTTTGACCAAGTCAAATTGTTAAAGATGGTCAAATCCGTTAAAAATTTACTGCTCCAAACCTTATTTCAAACCGCTGATTACCAAACGGCTTCTTTTAGCGTCAAATCGCTAAAGATGGTTAAATTAATCAAAAATTGGCGGATAAGCTGTTAACCAAATAAGACCATAGTAAAATTTAATATTATTTTAAACCTATGATATTTTGGAGTGATGCTTTGGAAGCGATGAAAGTGGCAGCACTCTCTGTGATAGATCATCTCTGTCGGCGCCTTTATTCTTATCATTTTATCATCACACCTCTCTTTCATATTCATATATGCCTGCTTTTGTTTACACTCTTTTAACCCATACACAAACAAAATTCTTTGCTTTTCATTTGATTTGAATGCGCCATTTCTTAATCCATTGCTCCACCATTTTGACTCTTCACTTCAAAACCCATATCTTCAACGCATCTGTCATTAGCAAACACCAATTATGTTGCCCACCGTGGGTGAGATTAGAGTCGTGACAATGAGATTGAAACGATCTATTTATATGGTTAGAATGGTAGATCATTTTAATTTGTCTAAATGACTTTTTGGAGAGAAACCGATTGTCCTAATGTAAAATAACATATCATCCATCAATATAAATTTAATTATCAAATTTTGTCAAGGAAGATATCAATTCCTCGACGATGTGCGCAGAAAATTGTCGCTGTCAAACACCCCTGGCTGGTCTCCGGAAACAACAGAGTACCATGTTCTTAATTTAGTAAATGTCGCATGTCTTTTGTAATAGCTTAATAATCTTTTATCCATAAACTTTATCAATATCACTATAATTTTCAAGCAATTAGAGTATGCATCCAAACAATATATAATTATAAATGAGATCATTCTAGAGCACAAAGAAATATATTCTATTGAGTAGTCTATTTGATGAATTACATTGACGAGAGGGGTCGACTCAAATAACCCAATAATATACAACAATAGTAGAAAATAAAGATATAAAGGTAATAAAATGGAAAAGACAATGAATTACTAGTCACGGAAACAACGTTTGTATTAATGAATTGTGTCAAGCTATTACAAGAAATTGGAATGACGTTCTAACGAGACAAGGAGGAGTGTTTTTATATCTGAATATGCACTCTAGGTGAAACTTGCCTTGTGACCCTAGCTGACAAAGGATCACAAAGAAGTAAATCAGTATAGCCGTACAGGTTGTGACTTAAACCAAAAAGACCAATATACAATTCCTACAAAAAATCAAACTTGAAATATTGTGATTACCCAACCAACTGTTCTGCCAATTATTCCTTCAAACAGTATAATTGAGACTTAAGAGCACCATAAGTTTTGTCCCGAGCCCCACTAGAATATCTACTTGGCGTATGAATGGGTTGGTTGCAGCTTATAAATTCAAAAACATTGACTTACTTTCTATACCAACTCCCCATTTTCCCACTTTCCACTGCACTTTCTCTCACTTCCTCCAACAAAACAGAAACTGTGTTCTTATAGAAAAAACCGAAATTTCCAAAAACATGAAGAAAACAAGCCTCACCGCAGCTTCCATGGCCGCAGTCTCCGCCGCTGCTCTCTCCTCTGCTTCATCCAAAGCACATACCTTTCACACGGTAACACTTCTCTACTTCTCTCCTAAATGACAAGGCTATATTCTTTTCCGTATGCTATATTTTCTTTTGTAAATATTGGATTGTAACTGGGTGGTGGGGATTATTTGATCAGAATGATGATGGTACCGGGAAGAAGAATGGAAAATCATCATCGACAGCAGCAGTGCCACCCCGGTCTGATAAGTTTGCCCCGAGGTTTGATGGATTGAGGTTCATAGAGACACTGGTCACTGCTCACAGATAAAGCTTCATCAATTCATCAGATGAACCTGTCCTATTTTTTCCAAAAAAAAAAAAGAAGTGAACAGTTCCCTAATTAGTTCACGAGGAGGAATCAGAACTGTATGGTTTTGTTGTTATCTTTAAGTTGGTCATTACCTTTTTCATCTTGCTTTTTTGATGGGATTTTTTCTTTTGGACTAGTTCAAAGTAACCGTAGAATCTCTAAGGGCAATTGGTATGTCAGCAAAATATCACGTCAGCTTGTTGTGATTTCCAAGGCTCTAAGCTCATTCACATTAATGAAAATTTACTTAGAGATCAGTGAATGCTATAGTATATTAGTATGGTTATTGAACAGCAAGCATGAGTTTTGCAGACTTACAGAGTTAAGGATGAATCTGCTGTCGTAGTTTCCCTGCTTTTCCCTTTCTGATGTAATCTTCTAATCTCTGCTCAAACTCTTCGGAGACCATATCCCGCTTTTTAAGCAATTTTATGATATCCTCGGCTGCTTGATAATTTCCATTGGATTCCAAATATGTCAGGCAAGAAGCCAATAGGCGCAGCGGAAGTTTAGCTTGTGTATGAGCTGCTAAGATTGTTTTCTTCAATGCTTGCACTGCCTTATCCATCTGCTTGTTTTCGCAATATCCACATGCCATACGACTCCATGTGTCTGCTCTGGCTTTCTGCCCACTCTCGACGATTCTCTCTACAATCGCCTCAGCTTTTTTCAAATTACCCCTCTTGCAGTAAACAGATACGAGGAAATTTGGGATTCGCTTGTCAAAGTATGTCTTGTGGGATTCCCATTCCTCCACTATTTTCTCCATGGCATCAAGATCATCGAGCTTTTCTAGTGCACTAATCATAGAGAGATAACCACTATTCCGTGATTTTCCCACTCCCTTGTACTCATTCCAAATACGGTACACATCACCTTTCCTTCCCATACTACCATAGAGAGTAAGTAGACACTCATATTCCCTCTCAGTCCTCTGGCGCCTAGTTAGATGTTCACATTTCTTCACTGCTGCCAAAGCCTTATCAAAATCACCAGCTCTAATGTACGCATTGGCAACTATTGTATAACAAACAACCCAATCAGCAATCATCACGTGATCTGCCTCCATCTTCTTCAAAAGCATTTCCATCCCATCCACATCACGAGCAGTTGCATATGCATTTAAACGGATGGTGTAGAAGAATTTGTCAACAATGACTCGTGTTTCTTCCATCTCTTGCGCTAGAGAGTGTAGCTCCTCAAATTTTCCCACCTTGGAGTACAGATTCATCATAACAGTGAACGCCAGACAATGAACATAACCAAACTCCTTTCTCAGCTTCTGCATGACACATTCTGCTTTTTCCACCGCTTTTCTATGAGCATAGCAGTTCAAAAGAGCACCATACACCTTATCAGCTCTCAAATGGATGGGAATGCTATAAAAATACTTCTCAGCCGCTTCCAGACCACGGGTTTTTTGTATAAGATCCACTCGTACTGCAATATCCCTGGGCGATAGTTGAAGGCGGTTTGACACATCAATCCATTCAAAAATCTGCAGTTAAATGGAAAGAGAAATCAGGCACCAAAACAGTAGTTTCTGAAGAAGAAGAGATGAATCAGTTCAAGCCAGCTGAGTATATTTGCAATGCTAAGGTCTTTCCTTGTTTTCTAATGTTCACGAACGCTAAACAAACAAACACATGTACATGTTCATGATCATAATTTGTTTGTGAGCATGAAATAGTCTATGTTCAAGAACAACGATCAAATAAACGACAAAAACAAAACCTACCTAATGAATGAGAGCGCCGCAGGACTGAAGAAGTGGTAAGAATTAGGAAAAGATAATTCATAAATCATCAGTGGTAGACTGGTAGGATCGTTGAAAAAATCAGAATTAATTTTTTTAAAGGTTAAACTAAAGTACTATACTAGTATCTTAAAAATAAAATAAAATAAAATAAATTGTATTTAAATGAGTGTGTTTGTGAAGAATCTTAAACAAACACTAAACGGACATATTCGTGAACATTATTAGACGAACATTAACCGCGCTTGTTCATGGATATTATTAAACGAACACTAATGAGTTTGTTCACAAACATTATTAAACAAACACTAACGAGCTTGTTCATGGACTCTTAGCAAACGACCATATAAATGTTTAGACTTTTATTAAACAAACTTTAAATTTTATTTATTTATGTTTATTTACTTTAATAAATGAATATAAACGAATACTTATCAAACACGAACAATTTATCAAAAACTCTCTGGGTAACACCCCTACTCATGTATCTATAAACATGATAAAATAAGGTGAAAACACATGCTCATGTGCTAACATGCAAACAAACCTGAAGTGCACGTAAAACTAAGGCCAATATAATGCATAAAAGTTAAGCTATTCAAAAATATCCTTCAAAAACTATACCTACAACAAATTCTAAATGTGCAATTTAAAATCATTATCAGTGCACAAATTCACAGCTGTCCCAAGTTTTTACTTGATCGGTTCTCTCTCTCTCTCTCTCTCTCTCTCTCTCTCTCTCTCTATATATATATATATATATATATATATATATATATAATTTCAATTAACGAATACTTAATTCAGTAAATTTTATTTTGATTTGGCAAATGAAAATTTGGCTAAGTTGGGCAGGGTTAATGATTAACTGAATAAAAATGGGCAAAGTGAAAAACCTGGAGGGCATGTTTGGAGCGTCTATGTTTACGGAGTCCTTTGATGATATGTCGAAGATTGTCAAGCTTGATTGGGTGACCTTCCCCAACCCACTCCTCTAATATGGGGACGATTGAAGCCCTGTTCCTCTCCACTGCAATGAGTTGATCGAACAGAGCGTCATCCGTTGGTGGAGGAAAAAACGAATCCAGGGTTTTTGCTTCATTGGAGAAGAATAGAACCCTAGGTTTGCTGTTGAAATTCCAGATACATTTCGAAATTGAGCTCGGAAAAGGAGTAACGTACTGAAAGAGCAGCTTCTTCATCTTCAGATACACTATTACGCGGTGACATGAAAGAAAGAGGGGGAAGCAGGTGAAAATAAATGGGCTTTATTCAGGCCATTTTATGTAATTTGGGCCCAATTCCAATATAAAATCTGTTTTAGCATGTAAAAATTATTTTTTAATTTTTAAAAATTATATATATATATATATATTTATAATTTATCATTATGATGTCATATTTTACCATAAACTTAGAAGTAACCTGTAAAAAAAAAATATTATTTGCACAACTTTTATTTATTTAATGTTCAATTGCACATTTTTTTTGTTTGGTGGTTCAATTGTACAAAGTGTAAAAATTCAATTGCCTATTTGACCTTTTTCTATAATTAAATATCATTTTTTGGTAACTACAATCTAGGGGTGTAAACGAGTCAAGCCGAGCTCAAGCTCGACAATTTTCGAACAGTTCGGGCTTGATGAGAACCAGCGTAGCTTTGTCCGTTCGTCGGCATCAGCTTCGTCCGGTCTCGACTAGTCGACTATTGGGCAACACTGCAGCAGCTTCGTCAGTTCGTCATTGTCGGCAGGCAGTCTTCCAGTGTCTCTGTATCTCATCTCCGTGTCGTCGTCGTCGACAATCTTCCAGACTCCAGAGTTAGGGCTTGGGGGGAATGAGGGCGGGAGTGCGAGACTGCGAGAGTACTGGAGTAAGGTAAACCTTAGAAGGGAGTAAAATTTTAATTTTAAATAATAATAATAATAATAAAATTATTATTATTATTATTATTATTATTATTATTAAGGCTCGCGAGTGGCTCGTCAAGCCACGAGCATAAGATATGTGAGCTCGGCTCGAGCTCGATAAGTAAACGAGCCAAGCTTTGACCGAGCCTCTCGCGAATGACTCACAAGCGGCTTGGCTCATTTATACCCCTACTACAATCTAACATATTTATAGTACCCCACTCAACATGATTATGTTTAATTGAGATAACCTCTCATTTAAAAAAATAAAAAATTGTAAGGCTTCTTTTTTACCCTTTTGAAGTTAAGTATACGTACACATTAAGAAACAAATAAGCAAATATTATATATACAGTATTGCGTACACATTAAGAAACAAATAAGCAAATATTATATATACAGTATTGCTGAAATCCTCTAATCCAACTTACCGTGTATTGCTTCAAATTAATTAGTTCAACTTTCATATTGCTTTAGCTATGGACATCAGAGACGAGAAGTGGAGAAAGGTTGCAGAACTCAACGGACTGTTATCTGACATTGAACGGTAACTCTTTATTTTACAAATTAGGATAAGAGTAATTCACCAGGACTATGTGGTCTAATAATACCCGGGTTGGACTTCCATTTGAAAGATTATGAGTTCGAGCCTCAATGGAGACGTTATTGGTTCTTTATTGGTTCTTTGTGTTTCAGTAGTTTGAGAAAGTATATAAACAGATACTACAATGTAATAGAGCCGATAGCTTTCAAAAAAAAGGATAAGAGTAATTCTACATATTCTTTCAATTTGTACTCCCATTTTATACTCCACATCTTTGATTGTTCAATTTAGTAGGATTTTGAAATTACATCAAGTATTTTTCTTAGGATAATTAAGGACTCAACTTTTTATTAATTACATACTCCTTCAGTGTTGTTCTCCTCAACTCATGTGATCTAATTTATACTCCGTATTAGGTTCTGACGTGAGCATGCTCCCACATTTATAAAACGTGGAGGATTAGTCTCATCATCTATTTTTATAAATTAACGGTTAAAGATTGTTAGAAAATTTGTCACAAGAAAATAGGTGATGATAGGTTTATAAATATAGTAGAGTTTCAAGTTTGTAATATTACAAAATTGACCGTGTTTTTTTTTTTTTTTTTTTTTTTTTTTTTTTTTTTTTTTTTTTTTTTTTAACTTAAAACTTTCGACCAATGCTGAACCCATAATGGTGATTAATAATAATATTACAATTTTTTTCATGTTTCTCTTGCCAAGCACATTGTACTCAAATGGCACATCTGTGGTCCCTTGAGGGAAGGTCACAGGATCGAACCTCAATGGTGGGGTATTAACTCTTTGGGTTGCAATACTTAGAAAAAATATAGATTTAAACCGATGCACCTTAAACTAGAAAAGTGACGCACTTTAAGCTTTAAATAAATATACACACCTTAAGTTTTAAACTGATGCGCCTTAAACTAGAAAAGTGACGCATCTTAAGCTATAAAACTACACACCTTTACTTTTGAACTTATGCAAAATTGTCACAATACCACTGCGTTTTTTTTTTTTTTTTTTAAATTTTCTTCAATCTAGACTGTTGATTTTGGCTAGATCAAGGGCTGAGATTAACCCTCATCTTTCATCTGCAACTTGTTACCGCACCTGATCCTTTATATATATATATATATATATATATATATATATATATAACTTCTCGTGCAGTGGTGCGGTTAACGCACCTTAAACATTAAAACAAAGCACCTTAAACACACAAACAAAGCACCTTAAGAACACAAACCACGCGGACCTAAAGCTTTAGGTCGACGCACCTTAAGTACACAAACCACGCACCTTAAAACACAAATCATGCATCTAAGGTTTTAAAATGGCGCACCTAAGTTTCAACAACTCACGCACCTTAAACATACAAATCACGCACTTTAAGAAGGAAAACAACGCACCTTAAGAAGGAAAACCACGCACATTAGCAACCGCACGGGAACCCATATATATATATATATATATATATATATATATATATATATATATATATATATATATATATATATATATATATATATATATATATATAAACATTTCCATGAGTACATGAAACCAATCTAGTGCATAAAAAATATAGATTTTTATTAGATGAGATTAATTTAGAGAATTAAAAACGAGTGTGTGTATATGAAGCATTATGATGTGTACAACATAGAGACATGTTTAATATGCACATATCATACTCATGGAGGAAAAATAATCTTTTTAGTCCCTTAATTGTGCCCTAACGAACTGATTCCTTTAGTTATAAGGATGACCACATTTAGTCCATGAATTGTTTCCGTAGTGGCCATTTTAGCCCCTCACCACAAGTATATGTTAAAATCTAATGCAGATATAAGAACAAATTTGAAAATTAATTTGTTTCTCCCAAAACACAAGTTAGATAATATATAATTTAATATGAAATATGTTGTAAATATTTTCGATAAACTAAATATCAAAGAAAAATATTATAGTACTAAAAAGCGAGATTCTCCACTACCATCAATCCAAATGGTATCTATGGATTCATGCTCTTCTATTTCCTTCTCTATTTCTCATGTTATCTTACCTCTAAGATTTTTAACAAAATTTTCCAACCAATTTGGCTATGGCCAACTGGGCAACTCCCAACCTGAAATTGATCATCCAAAAACACCATTCCTTAGAGATGAGCGCAGAGCAAATTGGAATGAATTTGAGATGAAAAATGTGGATTTGAGAAACACCATTTTAAAGGTGGATTTGAAATATCTCATCCGCATCCACATTCACTAAAGGTGCAAATCAAATCAAATCAAATTCAATTCGCTAATGACGGATTTCGCAAAAATAAAGTATATTATAATATGATATTTTAAGTATTCAAAAATCAAAATCACAATTTTAAAAATGTCCAATTAATTAGAGGTGACCAAATCTTGGGCTCGGGCTAGGGTTAGCACAGACCAGGATCAACCCAGAATAACCTGGGGCGGTCCCGTGCCGAGCCTACCAGGCTCGAAATTTTTGTAGTTATTTCTTTTTATATAAAGTAATTATAAATTTATTTATTTTTGTTTGAAATGAGATTAGAACCTTGACCTCATAATTAATAATCAAAGTTCTTTTCAATTAAACTACTTAAATCTTTTGATATAGAAATGCTAATATATACCCTAGGCTTGGTGAAGCCTAGGCCCGTTTTTTTTTCCTGGGCTGATTCAGGACTGGGGTTCGACCTTGAACCGACCATGGCCACGTCTAAGTCCATTTAAAAAAACTCACACACAAAGTATCCAATTTTAAAAATAAAAATAAAAATAATTAATTTAAAACTCAAACAAATTTAAATTATAAATTCTTCATTCATTTTCAATTCTTTATGTTATTGAGTTTGTGATTGTGACACAGTGAAGAAAAACAAATCTGACTTGAAGAGTGAAGAAGGGGGAAAGTAAAAAACGACAATTGAAAAAGAGAGACTTGAAACCCTGGACTAAGTGTAGAAAACTTTAAATGATTATATCTTTATATTTAGGTTATACTGGTCGTAAGACACTCGATAGTGAGCTACTAGGTGTGCACGTGTGTATATATATAACAATAGCGGATTGGATATAACATACTTTGAGAAGTCACATCTCCATCTAATCCACTAAGTGGATCCACATCCCATCTAGGCATCCATTTTAAGTGGATGAGAATTGGATGGGAGTGATTTGACGAATTTGGCGTATTGGAGCGGATTTGGTGGATCCTTGCTCACCCATACCATTCTTTCATCCTCCTCCTTTTTCTTGTAGTAAACAACAATAAAGAAATGTCATAGATTTCTCGCGTAGTAGACGTTAAGAATTCTTGTACTGCTTAGGAAAACTTCTCTCTACTATTAAATTTTAAGCATTTTGTTTTTGTGTGTATTCCCGTGTTTAAAATCTTGAACTACATCCATATTGACACTCTTTTCTCCCCAATGTATGGCTTCTCAGCCAGACTGGTGTTTGAACACAATTTGTTGTAGTTGAAATTGTAACCCACTTCTTGCATATGAATGTAATATATGTTACTTTCTTATTTGTCCTCTATGTAACTTAATGTAAATGAATATCCATATGTAACTTTGGCTCTGCCATAGGCAAATTATATCATGGACCAAGGTTCATAGTGCGCTGTTGACCCTGATCTAATACACAATATTTGACTTCATAATGCACATAAATCATGTTCATAATACACATACACATAAACACGATATAATGATGTGCATTATGAACATGAATTATGTGCTTTATGTTCATTATATCGTGTTTATGTGTATTATGAACATGAATTCTGTGCATTATGAACATGAATTCTGTGTATTGGACCTGGGTTCACAGTGCACTGTAGACCCTAGTCCACGATATAACGATTGTCTATCATATGTGAGTGTGTATTAACTTTGGCGTTGTGTATTTGGATCAGGAGTGTACAGTATCTAGATACAATGGTTGAGAGAAGTGAGAAGCCTTTGGTTATAAATATTGAAACCAATATAAGCACAGTAAGATATTTGGTGGCAGCTTATAGGCTCGACCCTGGGTTCATTGCAGAACACCTTCATGGAGGGCTAAAAGGCATAAAAGATGAACTTGATGAAATAAGTAATCAAATTTCGAAAGTGGCTACAAGAAAGATAAATCAGCTACTTTCTGAATGGTTGGGAATCATTGTTAAGAAGACAAATAAAATAAAGTTGTTGACTTCTAATTTTGGCGAGCTGCCACCAGATAAAAAAATAGTGGCCATCGGGGCCGAGGCATCGACGTCAACCCGTGGAAAGGTAAAAATGCTGTCAAATACCCGACAATGCATTGATTTGTGCGTTGAAGAGAGCCTTTTGGTTTCGCCTATGATCGCCAGTCTTAAGAAGAGCTACGACCGTCTTCCTCTCGAACTGAAGCTGTGCTTGCTCTGTCTTTCGGTGTTTCCTGAGAATTTCGTCATTAAGAAAAGGCCATTGGTGTACTGGTGGATGGCAGAAGGGTTCCTCACTGACGAGGATGATGATGGGGAAGGAAACTTCATGGAGCTTATCCGTAAGGAGTTCATACAACCATGCTATCATGAAGGAGGTAACATGGCCGGGAAAGTAGGTGCTTGTAGAGTGCAGCCTTGGATCCGAAGAATGTTAGTTTCAATTGCTTTAGAAGCCCAGTTCTTCGAATTTTATGGCGGAAGGGAGAAGAAAGATGGGATTTGGGCGCGGCTATGCTTATGCAATAATGAAGAAGATCTCAACCACGCCATCACCAGTAAAACTGAAATGGTGTTGGATGATGAAAGTACTTTTCAAAGGTTAGAAATGGTCGCAGAGAGGTTAAAATGGGCAAAAGCTAAATCTATCTATTATGCAAATAAACTGGATCGTGCCATTGATATGGGGGCCTCTAATATATCAGGGGACCCGGAGGTGAATGGTGAGCAGCAAACCAACTATGTTACCTCTGATGCTTTAGATGACTTGTGCCATGGTTGTATATATATACTGGATATTTTGATTGTTATGGTGCACGATGATCGGAAAGTAATCACGTTGGGTCATCTTAGGAGCCGCTGTCAGTGGATAATTGATAATAGGAAGAGATATTATGATGAGTTTGGTGTTTGGTCGGATAATCTTCTTCCTCAGCAACGCAGTCTTAGTAAGGAAATAAGTGATTTGCAAGAGGAGATGCAAGGTACCTATGCGACTATAAAACATCAACTTGAGGCCTTGAGAAGTTGTTTAAACGATTGCATGCGCCATGATGATGAGCTCTACAACAGAAGAAAGAACTGTGAGTGGTTGCAAAAACACGACGACATGTTTAGCCCATACCACGACCTCACCCTGCATTTCCCCTCTCCCATGAAGAAAAGGGATGATGGTGAATACTACTATGAAGGGGGTAAGGTATTTGGGAATCATTAATGTCAACCAAGATAACCCAAATTTGGAGGAGAAATGGTTTGGGAGATTAAAAAACCTTCACACTTTTCACTTGGGAAGGTGGCAAGACTCTAGGCCAATCCATCACATTGATGTTCAAAATCTTGGATTCTTGAAAGCCTTGTTCCAAGTAGCCAAGCATTTGAAATATCTGAGCCTCAGAGGAGTTTCAGGGATTAGTGAGTTGCCTTCCGCTATTTCTGAATGCTGCAACCTCCAAACATTGGACCTCAAGGCATGCTACAGTTTGGAAAACCTTCCTCCACAGATTGTGTCGCTTGCCAAACTCACTCACTTTGATGTATCAGAATGCTACCTCCTTCCTCAGAACGACAGACTATGGAGTTCAGTACTCGAAAAGCTTAAGCTGCTCCGAACGCTCAAGGGTGTGAAAATATCAAAGAGGTTCAAAATTAAGAGTGCTGGGAAATTAAGGAAGTTGGGCGTCATCTTCACTGCATCCATGGAACTCACACTTCCAACCCACTGTTTTCACCACCTTCGTGTTCTAACATTGACATGGAGGACGACTTCCTTTGAGAAACCTAAGGTCACATTTCCTCCACAACTTCTTCAAAATCTAAGCAAATTAGATCTGAGATGCTATCCTGAGAAGGATTGGCCGGTTTGGCTTCATCAACTTCCTGCTTTGGAGACACTTTACATCACCGGAGGTAAAATTCTGAGCTTCCCAACTGATTTAACCGACTTCAAGTTCCACAAACTCCAAGTTCTGCGTTTGAAATATTTAACTAACACAATGCTGGGTTTTCCAAGATCTCATCGGCAAACCAGTTTTCCTTCTCTCCAGTACTATGCAGGCCTCAACTTTATAAGTTGATTCATGCAACCTAGCAATTCTACAGTCTGATACATACTGTTTATCAATTCCATTTTACTTCTTCCATATGATTTTTTTTTTCTTGTAATTAAATAAATCAGTTGTGTTGATTTAAGAACCTCCACCAGTGGTTCTCTAAATGCATGCAACCTAGTAATTCTACCTTCTCCAAACGCACAGTCAGTAAGTACTTTTCTTGTGCGTGTGTGTGTATCAATTAATTCAGTAAATTGTATTTTGATTCAGTAAATGAAAATTTGGATAATTTGGGTGGGGTTAATGATGAACTGAATAACAAGAGTTTATGAAAGTGGGCAAAGTGAAAAACCTGGAGGGCATGTTTGGAGCGTCTATGTTTACGGAGTCCTTTGATGATATATCGAAGACTATCAAGCTTGATCGGCCGAGCTAATGGGAACGATTGAAGCCCTATGCCTCTCCACTACCCTGAACCGATCGAACAGAGCGTCATCCGTCTGAGATGGTGAAGGAAAAAAAAAATCCATAGTTTTTTCCTTTTTTGTGGAGAAGAATAAAACGCTCAAACCCTAGGTTTGCTATTTGAATTCCAGATACGTTTCGAAATTGAGCTCGGAAAAGCAGTACTGTACTGAAATAGCAACTTCTTCATCTTCGGATACTGGGATACACGGTGAGATGAAAGAGGGATTTCGAAGCAAGTGAAAACCTTTTAATAAATGGTGTCCTTATTCAGGCCATTTTATGAAATTTGGGCCCAATTCCAACAGATTAGGCATTATCGCATACATACAAATCATTCTTCCAAATGCTTGAACCCCAACCCAAGGGCCCCCACACCTCGTCAACATTTGGAAGGATATAAATCATGGTAACTCAATTGAACATGAACCACAGAAACTAGACATTTGCTCATTGCGTGCTCATTGCGCACAAAGAACCCTTCACTTTGAGAGATTGCTCCCACACTGTCACTGCCACTGCCGTTGCCGCATACATACAAATCATTATTCTATAGACTATGGATTATTTTGTAAGGTGAAGCGCTGGTATAAGACACCACTTGTTAGGATCGAGCGTTTATCACTCACACCAAAAAAACAATAGCTAGTAGTAAATGTGTAACTTTTTTTTTTTTTTTTTCTTTTAGATAGTCATCACATTTTTGAGACGTTTGGTGTTAGACTTGATATTTACCCTTTAATGGCATCCGCCTCATAATCCTCCAACCATCGAGTTCTAGACTTTGCCTTTATCGACCTCCGCCCAACAGGAATAATGAGCATTAGCCCATATTTCTCCCATCAAGCACAGTCTTAGGGTTTATGTCGGGTCAACCTCAACAAAACCAATAGAAGATTACGAGGCTTACCGTTAATTTTATTCTAAAAGAAAAATATGCTTAATGGATATATTAAAAATGGAGCAAATCGACACGAGAAGACGGAACAAGGAGGACTCGAGCAGACCCGAGGTCTCGAGGTTGAGCCCTGTCCTTGACCCGGACCGCCCTATGCCATGGGGCCTCGACTACGAGGCCTTGGCCATGAGGGCTTGACTATGAGGCCTCAGCCGGTCAATCCATAGGTCCGGTCACACGGTCGAAGGAGGTTGTAACCGTTCTCACCGTATTAGGGAGACGGTTAGGAGGTTTCTTGTGTATAAATAACTTTGTAATTGTCTCATTAAGACACATTCACAATCATTGTCCTAGTCTAACATTGTAATAGCATTACATTCTCTTTGTAATAGCTTAGCAACTACAAATTAATACAACATTTGGTTTTCAGAATCTATAACACTTGTTTTCATATCGTTTTGCCTATTTCATTATCATTAATTTATCGGGTTTAATAATTCAGACCACCCGAGTTAATTAAATCCATCAAGGCTATTCAACAATTAGCTGAAGTTTTCATCACAATTGAAGCATTCAACTACTTCATAGGATAACAAATCAATGACTAGGTAAATGCAATTTGTCTGAGGATGAGAATCATCACCTGTTGTAAACAAATGAATCTTCCCCTTAACATCAATTAGGCTATAACCCAACTCTTTTCTGCTTTCTCTTTCCCTCTCCATATGCCTCCTCATCTCTGCAACCTCCTTCCATTTCCCAGCCAAAGCATACATGTCAATAACCATCAAGCATGCACTGGAATTATATGGTTCAAGTTTCAATATCTGATCTGCCACATAAATTCCCAGATCCAGATTGCCATGAATCCTACAACCATTAAGCAGTGTCCTCCAAAAGATGGGTGTTGGATCAAAGGGCATGTTCAGAATTACCCCGTTCGCCTCTTCAAGCTCTCCAACCCGCGATAGAAGGTCCACCAGGCCTGCGAAATGCTCGGGTCCTGGTGAAATCCCATAGTCAGTCTGCATTGCATGAAAATATTGTCTCCCTTCATGTACAAGTCCACAGTGGCTGCAACCATGAAGGACTCCCAGAAAACTGATTCTGTCGGGCAAAAACCGAGCTTTTTGCATCTGTTGGAACATAACCATCGCTGCTACGCCATGGCCATGCTGTGCATAGCCCATGATCATAGAATTCCAGGTGACGGTGTCAGGTTTATCTAGCTCCATAAACACACGCCTCGCGTTTTCAAAGCTGCCAGTCTTGATGAACATAGAAATCGCTGAATTCCCAACGCGGGTGTTGGTGTTGAACCCGCGTTTGTAGAGCTGGGAATACGCCTGCTCGGTCATGGAAAACGAGGCCGAATCAGTACAGGCAGCTAAGACACTGGTGATTGAATGAGAAGTTGGGTGGAATCCAGCCACCAACATTTCCTTGAACACATGTAAACTTTCCTGGGGAAATCCATTTTGCTGAAACCCTGACACAATTGAGGACCAAGAAATCGAATTAGCTTCTGGCATTTGCTTAAACAACCTCCACGCCTCTTCAACTCTCGATGCCCGGCACATCCCGGTGATGATAGCAGTCCAACTCACAACATCTTTCCCCGGCATAACTGTAAAGAGCTTCAATGCAGTGTAGAGCTTGCTGCCCTTTATGTAACCCATAATCATAGAATTCCAAGAATATGAGGTTCTCTCAGGCATTTCGTCGAACAGTTGTCTTGCATCATCTAATCTGTTATTTTCTATATACGACTTGATCATAACATTCCAAGAAACGGCGTCTCTGTGACCCATTTCATCGAACAGTACTCTTGCACGTCCCATGTCCCCCTTCATGGCGTAAGCTGATATTTGCTTTGTCAAATTCACTAAATGCTTATTCATTGCTGTACAAACTGCATATGAACTATTCACTACTGGATATATATATATATATAAATTTTCTCCCCTCAAACTCTGGAAGTACGAAATGCAGCTGAAGAAAACCTTAAAGAAGGAAAAGATAAAGAAAATGATGTTGCTGCCCAGGATCGAACTGGGGACCTTTAGTGTGTAAGACTAACGTGATAACTACTACACCACAGCAACTTTGACGCTGAGTGTCAACGCTTTAATGTTTATATAGTTATTTGAATTACTTATCGATTTGAATCAGTGGATGAATTTCTGCCACCAGCTTAGCGTGAGAGCCGGGACAGTGAGGGAGACGAACAAAATCCCCGAGAGATTCACACACACATATACACAGAGGAGCGTCTCGAAGAACTTGAAACCCTAACCCGCTTGATTGATTTCGATTGGGTATAGGGTTGGGGATTTGGTTTTCCACGCAATTTAACATCGAATTGAATCCCTAGGAAGCGCAAAAAAAAAAAAAAAATGGCATTAAGATTTGCTCGGAGCTGCATCCAGTCGGTGCTGAAGATCGTGAACTCGCTATTAGGGATGGTTGGGATCGCCATGATCATGTACGCCCTTTGGATGTTCAGAGTTTGGCAGAAGCACATGGCCGGCCCCTCTCCTCCCCCCTTCTTTGGACCCAGTGATGCCCCTATCCCTTGGTAACTAACATCTCAGCTTTTCCTCTTTATATCCTTCTTTCTTTGCTTTTTGGTTGTGGGTATGGTTGTTGAGAATTGAATCCCCAGATGTGATATTTCAGATTCACATGAAAGTTATTTGCTTTTTCTTTTTATTGTTTTTGAGTTACAAAGAAACTATAGCCACTACTTGAGGGTATGCCCTCCTTGTCTTGTAACCCTAGCCAACACATAGCCACTACAATTTCAAATTGCCTTTCTGTAAGGTTACATTTCATTCTTGGATATCTGTGATTATCCATTGTTGCTTGCTTTCTGGAAATTTTAAATCTTAAGGTGAATGAAGAAATGGGAAATCTTTGCCATTTTGCATTAGATGTTTAAGCAGTGTGACAGTGTCCCCTTTTATGCCCACAACTGTTGTTTTCTAATATGGAGTATTGATTATTACTCCATCCATTCATACCAAATGGATCTTCCCAAAACTGTCATCAAATGAACACTGTGAGTCTGCACTTTAAGAAGTAATAGTGTGCCTACTTCGATGTCCATGCTAACCTTTCTTGAGTGTTCATCATTATTTGAAATCATTTTGAACTTATCTGATATGAGTTTGCTTTCCTTTGTAAATATTATGCCAGGTTCATTTATACTATTCTTGGCCTGGGTATCACTTTATGTTTCATCACCTGCTCTGGTCATATTGCTGCAGAAACTGCTAATGGCTGCTGTCTGTATATCGTATCCTCTTGAGTAAATTCTCGTGCCATTGGAAAGGCCTATGAATTTTTTGCAGTTTTTTTTGTGTTTCTTGAGTTTTATTTTTGTCTTCATATGTGGTAGTCTGGTACTTCTCTTTCTTGATCACCGCATTGCAAAAACATGGATGAATTAAAGATGCCATTTTTTGTCCTTAATAATGGTAGTACATCGTGTTTGTCTTTCTACTTCTCGTGTTGGAAGCTGCAGTGACGGTGGATGTTTTCTTAAACAATGACTGGGAAGAGGTATTCTCGGATGACTTCTGCATTGCAATGGTTAGCTTCATAGTTGTTTTATTCACGGTTTTCTAATTGACCTGGTTGGAACAGGACTTTCCCGAGGATACAACCGGGAACTTCGATGATCTCAAAAGTTTTGTTAATGACAACTTTGACCTGTGCAAATGGATTGGCTTGTCAGTGGTGGCCGTGCAGGTGTCTGTCTCTATTCCTATTAATTTTTCAAACCGATTAGCTCCTTAATCAAACTCTATGGAAGTCATGCAGAGCTTCTCCTTTGAGAACGAACTGATGGAAGCGGGCTTCTCTAATGTTTCCAACTTTTTCTTCTTCTTTTTTTGTTAAAAAAAAAAAAAAAAAAAAACTTTACGGGACCTCGGTTAACGTCTTATATTGCCTAATAGCTGTTTCTTCGCATGCAGGGACTGAGCGTGTTACTGTCAATGGTTCTCAAAGCTTTGGGACCACATCGCGAGAGATACTATGAGAGTGATGATGATTACACTCCAGATGGAGCCCCGCTTTTGAAAAACTACGTCCCCCAAACTTCATACGTTGTTGGTGACCCCGTATATGGGTCCAAGAGCGATTCTTGGAATATCCGGATTAACAGCAAGGTAACATGCACTTGAATACACTTTATGAGCTTCTAGAGTTACACTAACATTTATTACTTTCGGTTAAATTGCTAATCTTCCACTGTTTTCATGTCAATGAGCCGAATCATTGGTGTGATATCTTTTGTACGTTCAATTTAAACTATACCGTTCTTGGCTGTTTCTTGTTTCCATAGTACTAGTCAAGTTATTCTCTTGTTTTATGATACATTGGCGTTCTACCTAACCTTATAGTCAATCTAACGAACTTGCTAGCGAAGTTGTGCATTATTCCTTGATTGTAAATATCGTTTTCATTGATTATAACACCTGTTGCAAAAATTGGCCTAGGCAGCCGTCTAGGCGCTAGGCTCTCCTAGGCTGTGGCGATTTCCCCCTAGGTGGCTGGCCGCCTAGGCGTCCAATTTGGCCGAGTTAGCCGAGTGAACTCGGCTGACTGACTCGGCCTTGCTAATTTTTTTTCATTATATATATATATATATATATATACCCACACACGTGAACTGTTTTTTTGTTTTTTTTTTTTTTTTGTTTTAATTAGCCGTCTAGGCGCTAGGCACTACTGTAGCGTCCGACTAGCGCCTACTGCAACCATGATTATAACCCTTTGCGTTTGCAGGCAGCCAGATGAGCAAAATCTTCTCTAGATTATGGAGAATTCAGATTGGCGCCGAACTTGTACAAGGTTGGAGATGGATATTAGCAGGCTTTCGATTTGGTCGTAGGATTCATGTAATATATATGCAGTTAATGTATATTCTCCCCATCCACTAAACCTTTTATTTTGGTCTATGTTGTCACTGCAAATGACATGTAAGTCTTATGAAGATAATATGTAGATCTACATTCTACAAATGCCGCTTCTTGTTTGGCAATTGTTATAATGCCAGATTTTTGTTCAATATCTCAAAGTTATCAAGACAAAAAAAACGCCTTTCAATTTGATATCAGAGCAGTTTAGTTGGTCTTTTGCCCTACCTAATAAGGGAATATGCTGCTCACGTTTTTGAGAAAGATTTTCTTTGAGTTTTTGACTTTTTGACATAGAAACATAACTGATAGGATTATAGAGTAATCAATGTTCGAACTCTTGAAAAGTTTTTGTGTGGACTCTCGCTATCAATGTTTGAACCCTTGAAAGCTGGAAAAGTTTTTGTGCATTGTAACAACAGTAGAATAAAATGATTTTATTCAATGAATTCAATCATATTCTTGGGCAAAGTTACATATGTAAAATTCTCTATTTTGGGCGACGAAAGAAACCCACTGCTACTATCCGAGAATGTGCACGGGATAAACTCCGCCTTGTGCGTGTAAAATTCTGTTTTACATATATCTATTCTTGCTTGCTACCATAGAAACAAGATGCAATGTTAGTTTTCCCTCAATACTTACCACAAAGATCTGTGCTATTACCATATTTATATGCTCACAGTTGATGTGAAATGGCACCAAAACTATCCTCCATAATAGAGATGAAAGAATTCTTGCAGTCAAGTAATGACACTCACTCTTTCTGCACATCTCTGAGCTGCACTTCTTTCTGCACCAGATGTTCAGCATCTCCGACACGGACTTCACCGATGGGCACACCCTCGTGTCCGTTTTGGAACAACGACTCAATCTGCTCGAGCGATTTGCCTTTTGTCTCGGGGATGAATTTATAGGTGAAGGCGACAGCGAGGGCCGAGATTGCCGAGAAAATGAAGAAGGTACCGCCCACTGTGATTGCCCGGGAGACCGAAAGGAAGGACATCGCGACCAGGCCACTGCACATTCGGTTGCCCACGGCTCCCAGTGCAGACGCTTGGGCGCGAAACTTCAACGGAAATATCTCCGATGTCACAACCCAGCAAACCGGGCCCAACCCCACCGAGAAAAACGCCACATTGCCACAAACAAACAGTATTGCCAGTGAGATTCCAACCGATCCTTCCCCGAGGAAAGTAAGAGAGAACGCTAAACCAAACAGGCAAGCAGTCATTCCTATAGTGCTCGCGTACATCAGTGGCTTCCTTCCAACTCTGTCGATGAGAAAAATGGCGATTAGTATGAACACGGTCTTCGTGACCCCCACAGCAACCGTTGCAGCTAGGAGCTTCGACTCGCCAACAATCCCGGCTGCTTTTAAGATCTCGGGACTGTAGTAAACCGTTGCATCAATCCCCGTTATCTGCTGGAAACACTGGATTCCAAACCCCGTGATTAGCATCCTACGAAGGGCGGGGGAAGGACTCAAAAGCTCACGCCACACTGCTTTCTCTTCGTATTTCTCCCCGTTCGTTACTCCCCCAGCAGCTAACTGTATCTCTGCAAGCCTCTCTTCCACTTCTGCATCATTATCGTTCGTTTTCATTAGCACTGCCTTGGCCTCGTCCACTCGGTTCTGCACAACCAGCCATCTCGGTGACTCTGGGATGACGAAGAGAGCAAACGCTATAAAAACCGAGGGAAGAATCCCCACAGCCAGCATTATTCGCCAGTTTATATGCGCTGGGAATCCAGAAAACGCATAGTTAGATACATAACCGAGTAGGATCCCGAGGTTTATAAAAATCTCGGGGAACGACGTTAGGGTTCCTCTCTCAACTGTCGGGGATATCTCCGCTATATAGACAGGCGCAATCATCACGCCAAATCCAATGCCAATCCCAGCAAAGAATCTTCCTATCATAAGTACTTTAAACGAAGGAGCAACTGTCATAATCGCTGCTCCCGTCTGGAAAATAATCGAGGCCAATCCCATTGTCCACTTCCTGCCAATCGCATCCGAGGTTCTTCCCCCAACTAAGCTACCCACGAGCGAGACGATACTCAAAATACCAACCAGAACTTCTTCTTGCACCTCTGTTATCTTTAGATCTTGTTGAATAAATAGGATTGCTCCACTCATCACACCCACATCTGCAGATTCAGACACCATTAATGGGAGCTTGTCACCATATTCAGATCAATTAATGATTGGTATTCTTGATTAAAAGCTCATAGGAGGAACTATGCACTATTGAAATTAAACAAAATCCATATCTTTAAGTTCTAATTTCATTCTTGGATCAATCTAACTAACTTTTGGCTACTAAAATCAGACAGGAATCAATAATAAACAAAAGAATCTGCCATCATTCTAAATCTTCATCTGTTTGAGTTTTGACCTTAAGATTCAGACATTAACAGCCTCTGATATGAAATCAATCAAAACCCAGCAAAACAATCAAGAAAGTGAGGAAAAAAACATTACCATAGCCAAGGAGGACATTATTAAGCGATGCAAAAACAGCACAGGCAAAAACATATTTCCTAGTACTCTTCCTCCTCTTCTCAAGCTGATGATGATGGTGTGAAGGATCATTATCATCATAATAATCTGCCACTTCAGACTCCATCCTCTTGTATTTGTTCTTGCTCCCCAGAGGGAACTCAGACATCCCCATCCCCATCTCCACATTCCCATTCTCTTTCAACCCCATCTCTCCCTCCAAGACTGCGCCTTTTTCAGATTCCCAACTGCAAAAACAGAAATTTGGACCAACCCAGAAGCCTTGAAGGTTAACTGGTTAAGATTCTGGACAGTTTTGGGAACTTGGGCAAGTCAAACCCAGATCTGGGGTGGAAGAAAGACGAGCAGGAAAAATGGCAACTTTGGTCCACCTTTGGATTTGTCAGCAACACACTTTTAGCGACGAAAGGGTAAACCACACGCGGCCTTGACTTCAATTTTAGAATTTATGGAGCTTTCAAGGTAACATCCCATCCTGTAACAGCTGGATTAATTTTGATAATTTTATTTAGTTTTGCATAAATTAAGGATTTGATTATTGCTAATCAAGGTGCATTTTTTGGTAGCACATGCACCCTGACAATTTTTGTTTGTTTCCACATTTTTTACCCCCGATAAATATTTTTTCACAAAAAGCTTAACGCAAATAATATAATTTAATTAAGTTCAAATTCGTGTGCGATATTATGGGGAGCTGTCGGTGGAACTAAATTAGGGCATTAGTTGTTGAATCTTTGGTTTCCTTGTTTGTCCGATCCGTTCAGTTTCTCCAACGTTAAAGGAGATTCTGTCTGCAAGACAGCATCCTATCCTATATTGCATATAATATCCGCCTCTTTCTCATGCACTCTTGCATTTATTGACAATTGATTTAGGTTCACTTTTTCTTATTTATTTCACTTGTATCATGAATTTAAGATGGAATTTTATTCTTTCAATTCTATAAAATTTTGCCCCGCCAACTTAATAATGTGATAAAAAGTGAGTAGGGGATGCACTGGCTTAATTCAATGGTTTAGTAAGCATTATTTGAAAAAAAAAAAAAAAAAAAAAAAACAGAGTAGGGAGGGGAACTCGGAATGTGGTGCATCTAGTGCGGCAACATCGTTGTTGACTAATGTGTCCCGAAAAGGGGTACCCAAGTAGGTGAAATATGATTCTTGTATTTGAAAGTCATGGGTTTAATTCTTACCAACACACTTATGACTAAGTTTGTCGCATTGGGTTTTCTAGTGTGATTTATTTATTTACAGGCTATTACATAAGAACAAATGAATATTACTAATATATAAAATTTATATATAAACTATATTGAAAGTACTCTTAAGCAAAAAAAAAAAAAAAAATTATTATAAGAAAATGTAAAAAAGAAAAAAAAAGAAAAAGAAATACTCGGTCAAAGTTAGAAGGTTAGACGATTCACTAATAAATAGGGAAAATGGTCAAATAGGCCCTCGAACTTTAGTTTAAAAGTCAATTAGGCCCCTAAACTTTTTAAAGGTGCAATTACACCCATCAACAATTCATTTAGGTTCAATGAAGCCCAAAAACAAGTTAATGACCTGCTATCACAGGTCATTAGTGTTCAGACCACCTTCCGGCGAATTTTCTGATAAAAAAAAAAATGTGACCAGCAACCGATCCAGATTTGTCAAAAATTTCGCCGGCACTTCTTTTATCGAAAATTTCGCCGATCACTTTTTTTGTTTTTTTTGCCGGAAAATTCGCCGGAAGGTGGCCTGAACCCTAATGACCTGTGATAGCAGGTCATTAATTTATTTTTGGGCTTCATAGCACTTAAATGAATTGTTGATGGGTGTAATTGCACCTTTAAAAAGTTTAGGACCCTAATTACTTTTAAGCTAAAGTTCGAGGGCTTATTTGACCCTTTTCCCTAATAAATATTAAACAAAACATGTAAAATGGTATAAAAAGGATAAAATTTTTTGATACAACCTGTTAATTATTCGTCCTCTTAAAAAAATTAAATTCATTTCATCATTTGTATGCATGCATATATTTTCTTGAAATTCTTTATTTGACAACGACAACATGCCCTCTTCGATAGACACAGTGGAACAAATTGAGTGCATGATTCCATTCCAGATATTTATTTATTGCAAAATAGACAAAATAATCATAGGTGGTGCCAAACTGAAATAGTAACAATTTTTGTTTAAAACTTCCTCAATTTGGGTTTCTTGAAATTAGTATAACAGTTGACCTGGAATTCGATCTGGAAATGGCCCAATCTAATAATCTATATTGGTAGATTAGGCCATGTATACGGACCTAACAATAATGTCCACCGTACTCTGTACACCACACCGTCAAGAGAGAACTGATGTCCAATAAAAAATTTGAGAACTCATTTTAAGCGTTGATTTGAAAAGATGAATTAAATTGACCACGACAACAAACTTGGGTTTACCTTTTTTTTTTTTTTTTTTTTTTTTTTTTTTTTTTTTTAAATGACTAATCAATACGGACTGCATGCTAAAACTAATAATGTCCGTACCGATTTATTGCTAAATTGAATAGTTAGAGGAATGCAAAAGTCAAGATTGGTGTATGATATGCTTAATTTGCAATGAGAATGATAAGATTTTGATGCTTTCATTATCAGCAAAAAATATTGTATGTCTAGGGACAAGCAGCCAACTTTTAGACATGCATATGATGTTTTTAAAAAGAGATTTTGTGGAGTAGTTAGCTTTACAATGTGTTGTCATGCATTATCTTTCTTTGATATCATATAAGTTCCTAACTTCCAAAGTATATATCTCTACTATTACCTTATAATTAATTAAGTAAGAAATAAACTCAATTTATTTTAAATAAGATTTGAAATTTAAATTTTGTTTAGGGAAAATAGTAGGGGTGCAAGTGAATTGATGAGATGAGCTCCAACTTAGGTAAAACTCGAGTTTGAACTTGAAATAGTTAAGTGGCTAGAGCTCAAGCTCAAGCTCAAGCTCGCATAAATTTTTTATCTTTACAATCATGTCCAAAATGTATTAATAGCTAATTATTTAAAGCTAAGAATTATTCAATATTAATATAATTAATTTTGTTAGTGAAAGTAGTATGGACTAAACAAGTTTAGTCGAGCTCAGATTTAGATAGACTCGAGTTCGAGTTCAATAAAAAATTTAGACTTGAATTCAAATTGATAATTTTTGTAAAGCTGGAATTCGACGAGTCACGAGCTGAAATATTTTAAACTAGAATTCAAATTTGATCAAATTTGAATCAAGTTTCAACTCGTTTGCACCACTAGAAAGCAGAATATACATGATAGAATTCCTTCATTGGGTTTGATAGGCATCTCGATTCCAAATTAATTGAAATTTAATGTGACTATCAAATATCGAAAAACTACTCAATTAACATAGTAAATTTAAAAAAGAAAATTGTACATCCTTGTTGTATTATTAGAAGAAACAAATTAAAACATGAGAAAGTGACTTGATTGTATGTGTTGTTACCATGCATGCATGAATCTAAGAGTTAGAAGCCGAAGGCTCAAGCAAAAGGCCATTATTAAGCTTTAACACCCTTTTGCAAGACAACATCATCTAGGGCTACATATAGTGGAATATTAGAGCAGCAATTCTTGCGAGCTTTAACACCCTTTTGCAAGACAACATAATCTGCTTTATGGCATGCATATCTAAAAATGAGGAACATGGAAAAACACTATGCAGACATAAGTCCTATTTGCGAATTAGTTGTTAACGAATTGTATTAATTGATTTGACTAGCTAGTTAACAGTATTAAAGATTTATATGAAGATAATTGGTAAAAAATGTCACTACACATGTCTCTCTTAAAATTATCTTGAATAACTTTTTTTTCAAGGGGATAAGAAGATTGGAAATCACACGCTAGCTCTCATATAATAAAGATGTCTTGACAAGAAAGTTAATGAATATGTTATTTTCTCACCATCTTAATATCTCAATCACTACTCGGAGCAATTTTTCAAGGTAAAAGCAAATTTATTACTCCATAAATTTATGCATATAGAGTAGTCATTTGAAATTTAAATTACAAAATGCATGCTATTATATTCTATGAGTACCACCATTGGTAGAAGTTTTCTTTTTCCATGTTTTTTGTCGACCATATATAAGAGTATTATTAAGAGGATTTAAAACAAAAAGAAAATTTCAAAAACAAAATTAGAAAGTGGTCACTGGTTGGCGGCTACTTTAGAAATGCCTGGTAGGCGCGTGATATCTATCAATGGTGTATGTTTTTTTTTTTTCTTTGACAAAAATCACATTTTAGTAGAGGAACCCCTTAGCTTCCTTCTCTCTCGCTCTTTCAACATAAGCATGTTCTCTTTCTTTTCAAGTCACCAAAAAAAACTCCTCTTGAAGTGCTTTAGTAAGCTCATTTTATAAGTTTAAATTCTAAATTTATGAGTCTCCGCCTCAACACTCCCTTGAAAATTAACGGAATGTGTCTCAACTAGTTGTATACTATTGCCCACAATTTAAACCCTACACCTTGCTGCTATATACTATCAAAGTAAAGTTTCACAATTTATTTTAAAATGGTTGACCATTTTAGTTCTACTTGAACAATAAACTATATTTTATAATTAGTAAGTAGCATTCACTTCTCCCATAATTGGCTTAAGTTTGAAACAATATAAGTTTGCTTTGAAGTCTAACCGCAATTACAATAGTCCACCATCCACCTAAAACTTATTATTTTTCCCAAAATTAAAGTTATATATTTGCCAGATCTTTATCCTCATTCACAGAAGGCCTTTTCTGTGCATTAGATATTAAGCATGCAAGAAAGTCAGTTTAAGCTAGGCAACACTGAAAAAACTTCTGGGAAAAAACTATGATATAACTGCAGAAAACCAGACAAAGATTGGTGCAGTATTAATGTGTGACCTCAAAATTTAATAAACCTCAGACTAGTACAGAACTCAATGATTGCAGATTAAAACTGGGCTTGTGATGGAAGGACAGCCTCTGATCTCTTGAACTTCTGGTTTTTGAAATGATCAGATCACCAACAACTAAAGACTCTTGGCTAACCCCGTAATATGTTACTCCGTTCGAAAAGAAATGAACTTTGGAATCGAGACAGTTGGTAAGTGAACTGCTAATGTAACTTCAGCTAAAGGCTCGGGGCTAACGCCTGTAATATGTTACTCCATATTTGATAGAAATTGTTTAGAACTTAGCATTCGGGACTGATGGTAAGCAAACTGCTAATGTAACAACTGTAAAGTAGAAGGATTCAGTCATAAAAGTTGATGCTTTTTAGTTTTGATCTTTCCAGAAAAAGGGTTTTGCAGGGCATGAAGAGGAAGAAGAAGAAGATGGAGCAGTAGAATTGTCTTGTTTTTTAGGATCATCGGAATGGTGATGAAGATTGGTAAAGGGAAGATTAAATGGCATGAAATGATTGTTTGTGATGTATAAATCATCCCAAACTGGACTTCCTGGACCCCAACCGGCTGATATTGCGTTTAACCATTCTTCATTCATTTCTCCCCACATAAATTCCGATGATTGCTGCGCCGCCGCGCCGGCGGCGGCGGCGGCGGCGGCTGCAGTCTCAGAGTTTTTTTTAGCTTCGTCCTCTTTCTCAGCAGGAGGAGGCGGTGGCGGTGGCTCAGCCTCTGGCGGCGGAGATTTGGGGCTACCGGGAGTGTTTTCCGACGAACTGGGAGCTGCGGATGGATTTTTGTCTTTTCCGAGAAAGAGTTCCGGGAAATTGAGCCGAGCATTCTCGCCTCTTAGGTTATAGGCCTCGCGATCATACGCCATGGCGGCTTCCTCCGCCGTGTCGAAGGTGCCGAGCCAGAGGCGAGTCCGGTTTCTCGGCAGGCGAATCTCCGCCACCCATTTCCCCCAGTGCCGCTGCCGCACTCCCCGGTAGAGCTTCGTAGTCGAAACCGGCGGCATCGCCGGAGGCCTCACCGTCATCCTCCCTCGCGGGCTTAAATTCAAAGTATCATTCCAGTACCGCAGAAGCTGGTGGTGGTGGTGCTGCTGCAATGGCGCCGCCGCTTCCCCCGCAAAATACGGCGGGTAAGCCGCGCTCCGTTGGCGAAGAATCCGCTGATTCTGTTGCGGCGGCGTATGGAGCAGAGGAATCGCGTTCCTATTGTTCCATCTCAGTTGCTGTAAACTCTCCACGGATTGCTCCGCTCCATCCAAAGCAAAAGGAAAAACAAGCCTCGAAGATGAAGATGAAGAAGAGGTTGAAGGCGGCGGCGCCGCCGTATAAGCCGCCATGGATGACGGGAAGGGAAGAAGAGATTGAACAGAGCTTTTGTGTTCAGGACTTTTGATCCTCTTGAGAGGCCTACTCGACATGGAAGCATCTTCAAAAACTTGCCTCCATTGCTGATCATCTCTTTCAGAACCCGTTTGCTCCGTCACGGCCGCCTTCGACTTTCCACCGTCCTCCGACATAACCCGCCGCCGGCTCTACAGAAATCCAGGTCAATGAGCTAGCGCCGACTCTCTCAACAAAACAACAGAGACGGTTTACCAAACCAAAGAAGAATAGTAAACAAATCTGCAAAACCCAATCAGACAAATAAAAAATCTGCGAAACCCAGATCGTGAAATCAAGAACCTGGCAATCTAAAGTTACAAAGAAACAGGCTTTCTCTCATGTTCACGAAACAGTTCGGGGTTTCTTTTGGGGAGATTATGGAGTTCGAAGTTGAGAAAGTCGGAGTGTATATAAGCAAGAGGGATATGATGATAGGGAAAGAAAGAAATACATAATTGCCTGGTGTAAAAAATTGACCTATAGATCAATTTTAACTTATTTGATCATTATTAATTGTTTAATTTAGTTAAAAATATCATTATAAGTGTTTGGTTAATTAGCTTTTTGCAACTTCAAAATACTAAAATTCAAAAAGTTACTCCAAGCAACTTGTTCAATTAGCTTTTTCAGAAAGAAATTATATCAAACAACTAACAGCTAACCGTTAATTTTACCAAACACTTTTCTACAACAGCTAATGTTATCAACTAGTTATACTCTCTAATTAACACAATCAGCTAACAGCTATCAGCCATTTATCAAACAGAGCCGATATCAAATCTATGTGTTAACGACCAGCTTAGTTGGAGTCAGTGGCTGTGCACTCTCATCCTTTAAGAGATATCGGGAATTTGAACCTTCTCTCGGATGCAAAATCTGGCACCAAAAAAAATTTATGTGTCAACATCATTATTATATTGGTCCCTCCCTCACCTCTTCTTTTAGCATTTCCGTGGCTTCCACTCCAATCCTCCTCTGGTTTCCCCACTCAACTCCTCCTTTCCCATATTGTTGTCCTTTTAAAAATTATTACAGCACGAAAATATTTTAATCTGAAATCGAATTTAGAATTTTATAATTATTAAATTACTGTCTTGAATTCTTTCAATAATGTATTTGCGTTCTTGAATGGTCATGCAAATTAGGAGGCTTAATGTAATGTGGATGGTGTGATCGACAAATATATTCCGGACAAAAACCATTTTTGTTGGCTTTGTTGTACACTTGTACGATGATGAATGCAGCGAGCAATGATTGTACCCTGGACTAATGAACGGTCTGAGTTAAACCCAACATTAGAATCCACTTTACTTATGCTTTGCCGAAGCGTGCTTAATTAGCCACGTGTTTGTCGATTCCATACACATTTTCCAAATCTTTAATCACAAAAAGAGGTTTATAGAGTTGCACTCTTATTCCATACATATGACATTCGATCTATGGGTGTGTTTGGTTCCCACATAGGAATCAGAATCGGAATGAGTATCAAATACTTGGGAATGGTAATGAGTTTTGGTAAAAGTATTTAACATGTTTGGTAGTAGGGTGGAATGGGAATGGTTACTAATAGTAGTGCTTGAGAATGAATAAGGGAATAAAACCCTTATTGTATTTGGGTATGGATTTTTCAATTGATGAGGTATTCGAAATCCATAGTAGCGTTCTAAAAACCTTTCAACCAAACAACAACAATCACTTTCATACCTATTCCTATGGGCAAAACTCACCAATCAAACACACCCTATATTTATTTGTAGAGTATCACCCTTAGCTTATGACACGAACATAGAGTCCAGGGTAGCATACAACGTCTCGAGCCCCTTGTACCCTGCAAACCAACCTTATTCTCATATGTGTCAAATTAGTTTCGCCCTGCCATGGACTCATAAGGGGAACGACAATAGCTCCCGACAAATTGGGTCTTTCGAATCGCATCGATTCCCTTTATAATCAAGTCCAAACTAACGACAGACTCCTCAAATTTAATCTGGTTGGTGGGCCTGACTTGGCCAGACTTAAGCAGAACAACCTTAACGCTATTATTACAACTCTTTTACATATTTGACATGTTAATCAATTAATCTATTTATTAGGTCTTAACACAGTCACATTTGTGACACTTAGCTTACTTACGAGGTACGAGAATGTGGGTTATGCTAATATGTCTCACTTTCGGTGGACGAATTAAGAGTGCAACCATGGTCGTTAGTCGTTACCGACTACTTGCAAAATAGTCAAAAGCCTATGCAAAGGGCCAAAGGCTGTACACAATAGTCGGTGGGAATCGGCAAGTTGCGGTGGTCTATGCCTCTACGCTTACTTTCACGAGTACTATCAGCAATTGTGGGCTAATTAGTAATTACATTTCATTTTCGATTTCCATTTTTCGATTTACTATAAATCAGAATTTCAATATTTTCTCGTCTCTTTTATCAAATTGCACATAAAATTTTTTGTTGTCAATCGTTTTCGTCACCTATCTTAACACCTATCTTTTCTACGATATCTAATTTTCTATCTTAACACCATCTAATCTAAGGAGATTGCAAATCAAAAAAAAAAAAAAAAATTCAAGTTTTACTCAATCAAAAGATTTTTGACATTAAAAAAAATTATAGACATTGAACTTCTTTCGAATGTCTAGTAGATATTTATAAGGTGTAAAGGATCAATATGCATACTAAGATGAAATAATTATTGATGTATTTATAAAGTGTTTAATGTCCAATATCTAGTGGATAGTAAGCCATGAAAATACCAATAATACATGTATAAAATATTAATTCGTCATTATTAAATGTCAATTTCATCTATAATGTAATTAAGGACCAACATCAAAGTCAACTTTTTCTTTTCACATCAACTCATCAAGGGAAATAATACAATAAAAATAAATAATTATATGATATGATATATATATATATATATATATATATATGCACCGTTCAACTATCAATTTTGAATTTTAATTGAGATAAATTAAAACACATTACAAATTATTTAATTTAATATTAGAGTCAAATTTGTCAACGCCTGCATATAATATATATCATTCAACTCACGCATCTATGTATGTAGATCTAGTTAGACTTGGTCTTTGTTCTTAGTATTGTTTGTATGAGTTTTTCTTTTTTTAGGTTATGCATGCCTTGTGCATTTTGTCTACTATTTTGATTTGCATGTGTTCCTAACTCCTCGGTATTTGGTCGTCAAATTCTTGGATTACGCCCACAATATAATATTCACGTGGTGCATTAAAATTCAACTTATATAGGTACAACTAATTGCACATATGATTCCAATTCAAACAATAAAATTGTCCTTGTATATATGCATGCGATGCATGTTTTTTTTTTGGTGACGAGAGAATTCAAAACGACTACTTGAACATGTGTATTAGATAAACTCTTTTCAATGGGCTGAATTAAAAAAATATTGATAATTATTAAATTCGTGACCTTTAAATACTAGAATTATGTTTTACATATTGAATGTCATGTTTTTTAAGAAGTTGACTTAGTCTTGGATTGTGTCATGTGGATGCATGAATCCTGTTAAGTCTTTACTTTATTCCCAAGAATTAAATTTGATTTATTTCAAGAAAGTCAAACTCTTTCTACTTACATTTTCTAATTTTCTTATCCCAAAAGATTGAATCCCCAACCCTAAGGGCCCCCGCTCACATTCCGACCCGACAGAGCATGTGGGAGGATGTCATTTTCTAATTTTCTTCCCCCATCTCAGGAGGTTGAATCCACAACTCTAAAGGCCTCCCACACTTCGGCCCGACGGAGATTTGAGAGGATGTAAATTACGTACAGTGGCTCAATAACTCATCAAATAAGGTCAAATGTTGGTGCGCATAAGGGATCTGCCCACTTTAGGTCGAACTAAAATTTATCAATTACTTTTCTCATTTCTAAATAAAATAACAGGCATTAAAAAAAAAAAAAAACTCTTATTTTATAGATGAAATTACTAGTGTCATGAAAACTTTCTATAAAACATTAAACCAAAACTCAAATTTACCAACCTTTATATAAGATTTTAGTTTAATATAACTGGGGCTAAAGCATTTAAGCATGCAAGAGTTAAAGTTCCGTGCTGCAGAAGCAAGAATCCTTTTCTTTGACTCTAATATGCATACCGAATATATGTGTCTATATCTATATATAACGTGCATGACAATGTCTTATTAATTGGGAATAGTAATCATAGGACATACCCATAGTTTAGGTGCTTTAAGGAAGTGGTCCATATGGTACGTGGACATTTTGATGACAATGTCTACAATTCATTTTTCAACTTTTCTGACCACTTTAATGACTTGTTCGAAAATAAACAACTCTAATAAAAAAAAAAAAAAAGCTTACACATTTACTAACGTGAGAATTTATCTAATTTTTCAAAAAACTTAAAGAATTATTCGAGAATAAAAAATAAAAAAAAAAACAGAAAACATGTTTACTAACACAATTTTTCATTTTGAAAACTGGAAAATTATTTTCAGTTTCCAAGAAAAGTGAAAAGCTTTTAAAATTTATTTTCTAAATGGAAAACATAATTATCTATGATCTATTGACTATATATCACTATATAATCACATTCTCACAATTATCTACTTACATATTTATTCATTAGTATGATTACATTCATTATCATCTTCTTTTACTTATCACCAATTTTTTTTATCTTTTTTTTTTTTATATTCGCATTATTTATATAACATAACTTAATTGCTAATTACGCTTAAAGTTAGACATTATTTAATTTACATTATCAAAATTAAAACTTGAACTCTACACCAAGTTTTATCGATTATTAGTTATGAGATTTTCAGTTATGTTATATCATAATACAAGTTATATCATAATTTCCTCTCAAAAAAATTAGTTATGATATTTTCAGTTATGTTATATCATAATACAAGTTTGGTCCTAGATATTTAAATTTCACATATATATTAGACTTCAAAGTAAATATATATGTGTATGTGTGTGTCATTCAAATGAATATATTTAAAAAATATTTAGTTAAATAATAGCTCAAAATTTTTTAATATTAACTAAACTAAATTTTAGGTGTACTTAATATGTTATTGGTTAGATATATATTTAGTTATGTCATATACAACAGATATAAATTTGGTTAGGATATAAAATGTAAAAATCTTATATATACTAGACTTAAAAATAAAAATTATATTTATTTCATTTGAATCAAATTTATTCAAAAATATTTTAAATATACAGTTTAAAAATCACTCAAAATGATACTTGTGTTTATTTTATAACATTAATCTAAAAAATAAATTTAAAAAAATGTTAATAAACAAGTTTTCTAAATAGAAGGCAGAAAACAAAGAGCACTTTTTTGTTAGTAAATGGGATCGTAGCGTTGTTGGTTGAATTTTCTTCCACTTTTCTAAGTACTAAGAAAGGAGAATTTATTTATTTATTTTTTTTTTTTTGGGGGTGGGGGGAGGTGGGGGGATTATGTTTTGTTTTGTTTTTCTTTTTTCTTTTTTCACTCACCAAATTGTCTGCAACCCTGATTTTTTTGATGGGTCTAACTGTCTAAATTTGTTGACAAATTATTTTCGTAGTTAGTGTTTTTAGCCACTTCGATCGATAATATAAAAGAATAACACATTTTTTTTTTAGATTCATATTCAGATAGTTGGTCAAAAACTCAATTTAGTAGCTGGAAGCTGATGTCTAACCACTAAAAAAAAGTCCAATTACTAACTATTAGGACTCTATGTATATGAGTCTGTTTAGAACTTCTTATCCTTGTTACACTGTGACTCTCTACTTCTTATCATTGTCACACTGTGACTCTCTATTCTATATATTCACATCATCTGATCTCATTGTAATTAAGTTCAGAAAATATAATACAATCAGTTCTCATCTGGTATCAGTTAGCTAGGGTTTTGTGATTCATAAAATTAAGAAGATGCAGTGCTGCAATGACAACCTTAATTACCGTGGAGGTCAGCAACGTGGCTTCGATGATCCGTGTCAAATCTGTAAAGGTTTCGGCCACACAGGAGTCAATTGTTTTTGGCGCTATGATGATCCGTGTCAAATTTGTAAACGTTTTGGTCACACGGGAGCCAATTGTTTTTGGCGCTATGATGATCCGTGTCAAATTTGTAAACGTTTTGGTCACACGGGAGCCAATTGTTTTTGGCGCTATAATGATCCGTGTCAAATTTGCAAAAGTTTTGGTCACACGGGAGTCAACTGTTTTCGGCGATATTCAGGGGCTCCGGGTTCTCAGGCTAATTTTGTGTTTCAGAATGGTTTAGTTGCTAAAACCTCGTCAAATTCTCATACTTGGGTTCCGGACGCTGGAGCCACAAATCATGCAACTCCGAACATCGCTGCCATTTCTACAACGGAGAAGTACACTGGTAATGACACTTTACGTGTCGGTGACGGTATGGGTTTATCTATTAGTCATGTTGGCCATGCCTCTTTTAATACCCCTTCTAGATCATTTACATTGTCTGATATACTTCACGTTCCGCGTTTGTCTAATTCTTTATTATCTGTTCAGAAGTTTGCATCCGATAATAAAGTCTTTTTTGAGTTTCACCCCTCCTTTTTTGTTGTGAAAGATATCAATACCAAGGAAATACTTCTTCGGGGCAATAGTTCGGGGGGACTATACACACTTTCATTACCTAGTTCGTCTCCGTCAGCGTTTATTTCCGCTCGTGCCTCGGCTTCCACTTGGCACAATCGTCTGGGTCATCCTCATAACCGTGTTCTTAGCCATATACTTCGTTCTTGTTTGGTTAGTGGGTCTCGTGATAATATTCGTTGTCATAATTCTTTATGCAATGCGTGTCAATTAGGCAAATCTGCCCGTTTTCCCCTCCCCCGTGTTGCTTCCTCTAGTTCTCAAATCCTAGATCTTATTTACACAGACATTTGGGGTCCTGCGCCCACTTTATCTACTTCTGGCTTTCGTTATTTTGTGATCTTTGTGGATGACTATTCCCGTTATACATGGTTCTTCCCTATGAAATTAAAGTCTGATCTTTATGTCATCTTTGATAAATTTCGTACTCTTGTTGAACGGTCCTTTAATTGCAAAATAAAGGCCATTCAGTCTGATTTAGGTGCTGAGTACAAAAAGTTGCATTCTTTGTTTGTTCAATTAGGAATTCAACATAGACAATCCTGTGCCTATACACATGAACAGAATGGTCGTGTTGAACGAAAACATCGTCACATTGTTGAAACTGGCCTGGCTCTTCTAGCTCATGCCTCTGTTCCTTTGAAATTTTGGGATTTTGCCTTTGAGACTGCTGTCTATTTAATTAACAGAATGCCATCTTCTGTATTAAATAACTCCAGTCCTCATCTCCTGTTACATAAATCCCATCCTTCCTATCTTTTTCTTCGTGTCTTTGGGTGTTTATGCTACCCTCATCTTCGGCCATATAATCGTCATAAGATGTCATACAGGTCTTCTCCATGTGTCTTCCTAGGTTATCCTGAGTCCTTTAGGGGGTACAGATGCATGGACTTACATACTAATAAGATTTACACATGCAGGCATGTCAGATTTGATGAAGAAGTTTTCCCCTTTGCTACTAAAACTTCTTTACAGGATCTATCTACTCCGTTTTCTGGACCTTGGGCGGAATCTGTTCTCAGTCACAGCACACCTATTCCTGCCGTGTCCAATGATGAGCTGCCAGAACCGCCGCTACCTGCTTCATTCGAACCAGCCGTGGATCCCAGACAGGCTGCCTCGTCGGGTGATCCTGTGGAGCCTGTTGCTCGCCGGCGAAGCCGTCCACGTGGGCGGTCCATCAGGCCCAATGTTCGTACTCACTCTATGGCCACTCGCAGCAACGCAGATGCTCCTCTTTTTGCTCTAGCAGCTCAAGTGCATCCCACGGAACCCACATGTTACTCTCAAGCTGTCAAATATCCTGAGTGGCGTGAAGCCATGGACCAAGAATTCAATGCTCTCCTGCATAACCACACATGGTCTCTAGTTCCACCCACTGCAGGTATGAATATTATTGGCTGTAAATGGGTGTTTCGTACGAAGAGAAAGGCTGATGGTGCTATTGAAAGGCATAAAGCCAGGCTGGTTGCGAAAGGTTTTAATCAGGTTCCAGGTCAGGACTTCTTCGACACTTTTAGTCCAGTGGTAAAGCCTACGACTGTAAGACTCCTTCTATCTCTAGCTTTATCATCTGGGTGGTCTATCAAACAGCTAGATGTTCATAATGCTTTTCTGAATGGTAATCTGGCTGAAACAGTTTATATGAAGCAACCCCCTGGTTATATTGATGCTAACTTCCCGAATCATGTTTGTTTGTTAAAAAGATCTCTGTATGGGTTAAAACAAGCTCCCAGAGCTTGGTTTAATCGACTACATACGTTCTTACTATCGGTTGGCTTTCAAGCATCCAAGACTGATGTCTCTCTGTTCTATTACTCTAAAGACTCTGCTTTGGTTTATCTATTGGTGTACGTGGATGACATTCTTGTAATGGGAAGTGATCAGGGTATTATGTCTCAGCTCTTGTCCAAACTGTCTGCTACATTCAAAATCAGAGATCTTGGTGAACCAAATTTTTTTCTGGGTATTGAAACAGTTAAGAGTGACAATGGGATTATTTTATCTCAACAACGGTATATGAATGATATTTTAAAACGGGCTGGAATGTCTGAATGCAAACCCCTTTCTACACCTATCTCTATCTCGAAAACTGTCCCCTTCAATTCAGATCTATATGATGATCCCACACAGTACAGGAGTCTAGCTGGAGCACTGCAATATCTCACTGTCACACGACCTGACCTATCCTTTGCAGTTAATCAGTTATGCCAGCATATGCATGCTCCCACCATATCACACTGGGAGCAACTCAAACGGGTACTCAGGTATGTTAAGGGAACAGTTGATCATGGTTTACGCATACGACGGTGCTCATCTAGAGACATTCATGCTTTCTCTGATTCTGATTGGGCTGGTTGTCCTGACGATCGAAAATCCACGAGTGGTTTTGCTGTTTTCTTGGGGAGTAATCTTATATCATGGGTTTGCAAGAAACAGAGAACTGTTGCCAGGTCATCCACTGAGGCTGAATACAAAGCTCTTGCAGATGTTTGTGCTGAGGTTCTATGGATTATGTCATTATTGCGTGAGATACAGATTCCGGGTATTTCCATTCCAAAATTATGGTGTGATAATCTAGGAGCTACATATATGAGTGCCAATCCAATCTTTCATGCCCGCACCAAGCATGTGGAGATTGATTATCATTTTGTTCGTGATCGAGTAGCTTCGTGCGATATCCAAGTCAACTTCATCTCCACAAAGGATCAACTTGCTGATATCTTCACCAAAGCTCTGCCTGGACCTAGATTTTCTTCCTTAAGGGACAAGCTACAGGTTACTAGTATACACTGTGCTTGAGGGGGAGTATTAGGACTCTATGTATATGAGTCTGTTTAGAACTTCTTATCCTTGTCACACTGTGACTCTCTACTTCTTATCATTGTCACACTGTGACTCTCTATTCTATATATTCACATCATCTGATCTCATTGTAATTAAGTTCAAGAAAATATAATACAATCAGTTCTCATCCTAACCACTTTCCAATGGCTGAAAATCTCTAGTTTTTTTTAGTACTGTTACAAGAACATAAAATATTATGTTATTTTACATTCTAATATGATTTTCATAAAAATTAAATATAATTTTCTAAAGTATAATCTAATGTTCCTAGATCAACTTTGAAGAACGACAAGCACAAATATATAGGATAAGTGACATTTTGTCACAAATTTGTCCCGTGAATGATGTTTTAATTGATTAATTTTTGACAAATTTTGCACTATATTGCACTTTTAATTGTTTTTTTTTTTAATTTTTTTTCTAGGTAAGAATGAGGTATGTGTGGAACAAGCTTAGAAAAAGGCATAGGTTGGTGCAAATTAGATTCAATTGTGGCATATAGCGAGTGTAGGACACGACATAACTTTGAAGACTAAAGGAATAAGGTTTAATTTGGAACTTTAAAGTGTGTCACGATCATCTCCACGTTATGAGGAAGAGCGTGAAAATTCAGACCACGTTCAATTCTATGAGTTCCAAACACGTGGACCGTAGTCGTGTGACGTAGAGATTCAAACTCATGACCTTTGGTTTGACTCTGATATCAAATTGAAGCATGTGTTCCATCTCAACTAAAAGCCTACGCTTATAGTTGGATTGCACATTAATGGTTATATGCTTAGCATAATCATGGTTATCGCGCTGACTCTCACATACACCAAGGATCAGAAACTAGAGATCAACCATCACAAATAATAATACACAAAGTTCTTGATGATTTATGATTTGGATTATATATGTTCATGCAAATGTTTTCTTACATGAAAAATCCCAAATTCCTGATGTATATATAAATCACAATATGACCCTATCTGTAAAAGAAGAACAAAGAATAGAACAAACCAATGAAAGTGCAGAAAAACACAACATAATGCTCTCTAGTCCAGCAAGCTAAGCATTAATTCTGCAGGTGGCATTTGTTCTGGATTTTTTCTCTCTTGAGAGCCAAGAACTTAGCTGCTATTTCGTCGTAATCCGGGAGCTTTGGATGAACGTGATCCGGCTGTTGAACTGGGAACGAATTGGATCGAGTAATGCTGTCCATAACGACACTCTCTTTAGGCCTTTCGGGGGGCATAGTTACTGCCCTGCAGACATATGGTGGCTGATATTTATGTTTTCTCTTCCAAGAATCAATGTTTTCTGCAGATGATGAATCGGAACTGTCTTCTCCACTCGCCACGCCTCCATCTGATTCCCTGTCGAAATGTTTGTACACTATAAAAGTGAAGAGGCAAGGCTCATATATACTTTCTTGATCTGCAGAATATGATGATCTATTTCTGTCCTTGACTAAAATCTTCATATGATGCCTTGCCTTGCCATTATAATTCTGGAATGACTTCCCATAGTATATCGCGGTTTGAATGTCTCTAATCTCCCGAGAGACCGATCTCCTGCTCAGCTTCTTAGCAGAACCATTCCTGAGCTTTCTTGGCTCCCCTTTCACAACCCGCGATTTAGTCTCTGCATTTAAGGTTTCTGTCTTTGAATCCGGAGATGGGTTGAACATGAACAGCCTTTGATCCTGCAAGTATGCATCTTTGCTCACACTCGATTCGAACTCTGCAATGTCGTCAAGATACACCATTTCCTCCTGCAATTTCCCGAAACTTTCTGGGGAAGATGTGGCAGCTCTACCCCACTTTTTTTCTCCCAAACCTGGGAATTCCCCAGCAGGCTTCAACCATTTCTTTGATTCTGATGAGCCATCGATCGACACAACCTTTCGTTCTGTCTCTGCAGCAGCCTCGGAACCCTTCTGCTCATCTTTACTGTCACTGTTCTGAACATCATTTTCCTGCAATTTCAAAACCATCAGAACATTGTAACAATGTTGAGCATATAACCATTAATGTGCAATCCAACTATCAGCTTAGGCTTTTAGTTGAGATAGAGTGTGGTATCAGAGCCAGACCAAAGGTCAACACATATAACCATTAATGTGCAATCCAACTATCAGCTTAGGCTTTTAGTTGAGATGGAGCACATGCTTCAATTAATAAAACACACCTGTTTTTGCCATTCAGAAGTGTATCCAAGGAGCAAAGGCCCTTGCTGGAAGCAACTCCTGGTAATTTCATCCACTAATTTATACTTCACATCATCTGAGACAGACCTGATTGCCAGATTCTCTTTTATCTGCTTTTAATGAAGAACTTTAGCTTCTGAATCTCAGGATTATATACACAATATCATCAAAAGCAACATGATTAACCTGGCGATTCACGAGATTTCCAGGGAGCAGATCAAGAGCCACTGCTGCAAATTTCTGGCCATAACGTTCTGCAAAGAGCTTCCTTATCAACAGAAGCTCTGGCAGATCACCCAATCTGGCTGACGAATATATGAGAGTCGACACTGCTTCGTTGATGTCATTAGGACAGTCTCTGCAAAAACACCAAAGAAATTAAAGATTCAATCAAAGCACAGAATGACAGAACCATTGAACTCATTCATCATTCATATGTTGTTGTTAAGAATGCTCACTTGTTCTTGCGGATGTAGGGAAGATTAATTATGATAAATTCACAGTAATTGTCCAACAGTTCATACACTGCCAGCAGATTTTCATCCATAAACAGCTGCTCAACCTGAAAAGTTCAATCTTTACTAGTTAATTTTATTTTTTTTGCAGAATTTAGATTAACCAACCCTTAATCCCAATCTAATTTGGGAAGAATTGTGCAAAACAGACAGAGAAACATCAGTTTAAGAATGTTCCATACCCTGTCAAACACAACCTGATGATGTCCATCTCTGAGAAGCTCACACAAATCCTCCCTTAACTGTCTTGCAATGCAACTTCTCTTGTTCTTCAGCAGCTTCAGCCTGCACTGCACCCTCCCAATCAACTTCTTGCTGCAAAAAACCACGAAATTCGATCAAGAACAACAATAAGTTACAAACAAACCAATTTTATCACTCTTTTTTGAGTGACAAGAAAAACCCAGAGTCAGTAAATCCCGCTTTGTGACCCTAACTAGCAAAGGACCAGCCTAAGTTGTCCATAGCTAACCAGCACAAATCAAGAAGGCCAATAAGTCGCCCCTGATGGGAGTCATCATTCTTAACATACCATTTGGAAGCTTTTCTCCACCCAAAGAGCTTATCAAACATGGCTGCCAATTCTTGGTTGCTGCTTAAAAGGGTAGATGGAGAAGAAGAAGAAGAAGAAGAAGCTGAAGATCATTCATCTAGAGCTGGGGAACTTGTGGAAAAGAACTGTGAAAGAAGACAGTGAACATGAATCAGCCATGGGATTATTGATTAGCAGCTCCAAGAATTGAATAAGGGGACCAAAAGAAAGGATCATATGGAGTAGGAAGAAGATGAACTGAATCACTGGTGCCCTGACAGTTTAGTTTTATTTTAATTAATTAAATTTCTTTTTCTTTCATGAGTCTTATTGGGCAGTTATTTTAGGATTGTGGATTAGTGGAGATGAGTTGGTTTGACAATAACAAAAACTATAAATGAACTGGGACATCTTAGTATTCTATAATTATTCTCAGATACTGTTCGTCTTGATTGACATCAATATGGATAATACCCAGCCGGCATCAAAACATCAATATCAATAATATGGAGTATCAACTATTAATCATAAATACTAACTGTTGGTTTTAAGACTTTTGAGGCAGCACCGTCATAATAACAAGAATATAGGAAAAATATGGAGAAAATATATTGAAAGAATATAAGTATTTTATATCGATAAATATTGCTAGTGAATATTAAAATTTGTCCCCTTTCTCCTCTCTGTGAGCCACTTATACATATTTTGGACCTAGAATTCTACCAGGAATAATGAAACCTACTTTTATTACATTAGGAATAATAAGTTTAATTCTTGTTACATTATGAATAATAAGTCCATATTTTTTTTAGACTTCTTTGATCTAATTACTTTTTTAGGTCAATCCATGTAGCGCAAACTTAGTATACCATCCATTACTAACTAAAGTTAAACTGATTTCTGTATTACACTTTGATATATTATGGAGTATATATGTTTATATAAGAACATTGATTCTCGAATCTTGATCAACTCCTAGGTAAACTGCTCCACTTTGTCGACAACCGTTGGGCAACGAGAATGCGGAGTTAGTTACAGAATTTCAGCCCTCCTGCATTTCTTTTCACCCACTTTCTGATTAGATTTGTCAGTGTCAAAATTTGCCATCACTATTCGAAAGTAATTAGGTAAACTTATCTTATAATCATAGTTAGTAAAAGAAGATAAATAAACTTAGATTGTCTATATCTTTTCAAATCAAAAAAGTTAATTAATCGAAAACAACAATGTGAAATTTTGAATGCCACGGAAAATATATATGGAAAAAAAATGGTTTAAAGATGTTAGAAGGTCTGGGCACATAAAGACTAGGATTCTGTAAGCATAGAATTAGTCTGAAATTGAAATCTAATAATAATAATAATAAATAGTTTGGAGTTAAATTTGTAACTTTATAATTATGACGATTATATTTTTTTTTTAGAAAAATACTATATGTATTCCCATGATGTAAATATTTGTATTGGACCTACAAAAAAAAAGAAGTAAAATTTAAGGAGTAGGATTAGGAAATATATAGTAATAATAGAACTCTTTTTTTTACTGCAATGGAAATCTTAAAGCTTACGCACTGATTTCTTGTCGGGTTTAAACACAGGTTTCGAGAGTTTTGTTGTTTTGCAGGAGTCAAAGGAGCAGGTTATCGAACTGGGTTTCCCTCCAAATGAAAACTTTATCACTTTTAGGAATTTTGATTGGGTTTGGTAACCAACTCAGAAACTGATCTGTGTGGGCGTGGCATGCGAATGTGGGAAAACGTGACATCCTCAAAACTCTAAAGTGCGCATGAAGCTGAAACCTAGGCAGTCGCTAATCATTGCGCCCACGCACAACTAGGTCAGACGCTCTTTCCCTACTGCTACCTATCATGCTTAATTCCATCTTGTAGCTCTGGGACTGTAAAACTGTTGGCCAGTAAAGCGTGCAGGTCAGGTGTTTGTTGTATTGATCCAAAGACTGGTAAAATATTGAGAAGTTAATTAAGTAAAGGAAATAACTTTGAAAAATTTTGTTGGTTGGAGATTTCATTTTTAGACTAATGAGCTCTGTGTAACCTTCATACTCGATCAAAAGAACTAATCTTCAAAAAGATGCAAGATTGGAGTGAAAAGGGCTTTTTTTTTTATTTTTTTTTTATTTCTGGGTTTTTTAGTTGTTCTCAGCCAGTATGTTTGACAAGTTGACACTGTTAAGTTTGAGCATCAGCAATTTCTTGAGCCAGTTCTTCAGTTAATCTGTCTGCACGGTCATCTTGGCCTCCTGCAAAGCTATAGATGCGAAACGCGAGCTGAAATGCCCTCCATAGTAGCTTTACGCTCCCTTGCATTTTCCCTTCACTTGCTTCCCTTCTTTCCTGTGGTGGAAATGAACATGTTATTTACAGATATACACTCTGAAATGCAGAAAAATGTTGTGAAAAGAAAGGACTTCTAGGCTGAAATAAGCATAATATGTCATTTTGTGTCTGAACTTTTCAGTTTTCCAATGTTGGGATTATAGATTTATAGTACCTTGAGTGCCAACTCCATGCAACTTGAAGAAATGTCCACCATGGATTCTTTCACTCTGACTAGGATGTTGAAGTCAAATGAGATGTTGTTGCTCTGAAATTTCTTTGCCAGCTCATCCTTGTTTCTTTCCACAACCTCTATTTCTACTTTAATCTGTTTCCCAAATTTGATATCTTAGTTAAATTCAGGTGAACATCGATACGCCTTAAATTTTTGCTCAAATTCTAAAAAGTTTACCTTGTTGAAGAAGCTCTCAACCGTATCCAGAAACTCCCCAAGAGGAGGCTCTATCTTCCAGTTCTGCAAGGTGTCAATAATTTCTTTCAGTTTCGAGTACAACGCTGCTGCTTCCCTCAGCGATTCCAGTTTCTTTACGGGGAAATCTTCGAACCTTGTCAGAACCTGAACCTCATAGCATTTGAGATATCATGTCTTAAGAAATACATATGTTTTATATGCCCTCTTAATACTTGAGCTTATCAAAGTTCACCTTAGTTTCATCGGTTAATTTCTCTAGTTGTTCCTCCACTGCCTTGTGAAATTGCAGGAGCTTCTGTATGTCCTTTGTCTGGAAAGAATCTATGGCTGCTCTCAACTGGATGATTTCTTGATGGTGTTTACTAACATCTTCCTCGATAAGCTGAAAATATGCTGATCTGAAATTATCCAAAATCCAAATAAACATACACCCTTTATTACACTGCCAGAAACAGGATTGAGTTGAATGTGTTTATTGATCAATGATCAATGATCAATGTACCTCTTCATCATCTCTGCAATTGCGTCATCCAATCCTTGTTTTTCCCCAGAGGTACCCTGAACCCGAGTTTTCTTTCCCACTGCATTTTTCACCTGCTGCACCTGCCCCTCCACTTTCCTCTTGAGAGTTTGATACCATTTCACCATCCGGACTGATCTTTTCAGTTTGCCAATGGCCTTCTTGGCACAGAGTTTTTTTGAAGCCTCGGGTGGTGGAGGAGGCGGTGGAGCAGCCCCCGGTGCCATTGCTGCCACAGGCTTTGCCTGTGCTGGTTTGGCAGGCGGGCAAGGCTTTGCCTGTGCTGGTTTGACAGGTGGGCTCTTGCCAAGATAAGCTAATCTAAGAGGCTTTGCAGGTGAAACCAGAGGGAAATTTATTGACAATGACCGTAGCAGAATTCCTCTCTGCAATTCAAGACTGGGATTTGGTGGAGAAACTGGATGGCTTTTGGCACTGGGATTAACAGGATCATCATCATCATCATTATGCCATGAAGGCTTTCCAACCTAGAATTTCAGAGATTCATCAGGCATATTGAGCCATGCAGGTACCTGCAATTCCATAATTCATTAATGATGATTACCTGTGGTCTTTTGCTGGAATTTTTTCTTGATGGGGTTGATGGTAAGATGCATAACCCAATCGCCATGGTAAACCTTAGAGATCAGCTTCTCCGGTGCATCAAAGATCTCTCATTGGAATCTAACAAGACCGCAAATGCAAGAACAGCAAAAACATTCTGGGTTTGTGACGATTCCCAGGCTATTCATGTTGGCAGAAAGGAATTTCCGGGAGGTCGACGTCGGGCTCTGATAATACGAAGGTGGAAAAGAGAGCAGAAGGAGCTGTGGATCGATCTCTTCCTCCTTTTGAATGGCCGGAACCTTGTTCTTGCTGCCGGCCAGACTCTTCAATTGCTTATCCCTTCCCCGCCCTCATCAATTTTGGGGCCAATTCACATGCATACAAATATAATAAATTATTTAAGAATAGATCAAGGTTCAAAACTCGGGATTCCATTCCTTGTCTACATTTCGTAAAAATAGAGATATAGAAAATATATACAATGTTCAAAATGAGTTTTTTTTCCATTTTGGTCCTTTGACTATGGGTCATTCTCAATTTTGCATTCCGACTTTTAATTGCACCCAATGTGGTCCCTTGACTTTTAAAAATTACCCCAATTTGGTCTTCCGTTACTTTTTCCATCAATCAGGCGTTAAGTTGGGGGTATTTTGGTCCATTCATTTGCTGCGCGCCTAATATATCTGCCGGTCGTCTATTTCTTTGCTTTCTTCTTCATAGAGAAGTTCTTCTGCAAACAAACATCAAGAGCCCTAGATTTCTTTGCTTTCTTTTTCCTCTATTGCTTATGATGTCAACAACAAACGCCAAAGCTGCGAGTTCTTCGCCTCGGCCAGAATCATTTCCATGGAAATCGATTTCTTATCGGCGTCACCAACTACTCGGTCTTGGAAGAGCTAAACATGACGGGTGACCGGAGCTTTGCCGGACTTGACGCCTTTGCAAGCTTTATGGTCGCTTGATTTATCCTTCAACCTCTTCACCGGTGAGTTCCCTTTGTCGGTCACTAACCTCAACAATCTGGAAGTTCTCAACTTCAATGAGAATAGCGGTTTCACCCTGTGGCGGCTACCGGTGAACATCTCTATTGGAGAACAGCGCGCCAAGATTTGAAGAAGACAACGAAGCAGCAGCCAACTAAAGCTACTGAGTCTGCTAACACAAATAAATAGCATGAATGGGCATTTAGAGTCTTTAATGATCATCAGTTTGTTATAGCTTGTTATAACCATTTTTCCTCATGTATTTTAGCAGACTACATTCTCTGTTTCCATTCTGTAATCTTTCACTCAGATAATCAATGCACTTCTTTCTTCACCACTTTACGCGTTAGTCTTGAGTCATTCCATCAATCTCTGCAGGGCTGAGAAAGCTCAAGAGTCTGGTGTTAACGGCGTGCAAACTCTCCAGGAGAATCCCGGTGGGAATTGGGAGCATGCATGGCCTCACTGGTGGACCTTGAACTGAGCGAAAATGGCATGGTGGGAAGGATCCCGGGGGAGCTAGGGATGTTACCCAACTTGCAACTTCTTCAGCTTTATTACAACCAACTCGACGGACTAATCCGCAAAATCCCGGACTCCATTTCCTGTCTTCCCAAGCTACAAATCCTGCAAGTTTACAACAATACTCTCTCCGGCCAATTCTCGGCCGGTCTGGCTAACTCCACCACCTTGAGAATCTTGTCCCTTTACGCCAATTCCCTGTCCGGGGAAATCCCAGAAACTTTGGGATGTCATCTTCTATGGTCGTTTAAGACTTGTCGGAAAATCAATTCTCTGGAAAGCTACCACCAAAGCTGTGTAACGGAGGTAAGTTGAAGTGCATCCTTCTACTCCAGAATATGTTCTCAGGGGAATTGGCAGCAAGTTATGGGAATTGTTGGGGTGTTGTGCAGTTTAGAGTGAACTATAATTTTTTAGAGGGTAAGATCCCCGAACCCATATTTGGTCTCCCCCACGCTTCAATAATTGACGCGAGTAATAACAGGTTCAACGGCTCAATCCGCAGAACCATTTAGAATGCTAATAACTTATCAAAACTGTTCATCCAGGACAACATGATTTCCGGCACGCTGCCTTGTGTAATCTCTAGAGTTACCAATCTTGTGAAGCTTGATGCCAGCAACTTCTCTGTGAAGAAGAAAACAAAGAAAGAGCGCGCAGCAGATGAATGGACCAAAATACCCCTCAACTTAACGCCTAATTGATGGAAAAAGTAACGGAGGACCAAATTGGGGTAATTTTTAAAAGTCAAGGGACCACATTGGGTGCAATTAAAAGTCGAAATGCAAAATTAAGAATGAGCCATAGTCAAGGGACCAAAATGGGAAAAAACTCGTTCAAAATTCTAGCTGCGGTAATGTGAGGATTATGTTTAAAGTGGATAGATCCCGCCTCCTAAAATACTTTGTCGGGCTGGCGTTTGGAAGGCTATTTTTTTTTTTCTATACCTAAAATGCACCTTTAGATAGCGGCTGATTGGTTAGATTTACCTTCTTATGATCCTTCGTCAACCATGATCAAAATGTTGACTTCACTCAAAATGTGCTTGTTGGATACCCCGAGTAGGGTACCCAATTGAATAGGTCAAGTAGGTTGCCTGGTTAGGACCAGATGGTCGGGGCAACGAGTGGTCAGCATCCGGGAAGATGTAAGAACTGTGGGACCCAGGTGAGAGAGGAATGAATATTTCCCGATCTTCCTTGGGATTTAGGGCGAAATTTCACCCTTTTACATTAGGAAAGGGATCTCGTAACTTAGGGAACAAGGCCCAACATAGTTTACAAAGATTTCTCATTCTCAAATTTGTTAAGTTTTTTGTTAATTTTCTATTCTCTACGACTTGAGCATGTATAAATACTCCCTTGAGTTACAATGTAGGGGATTCAACTCTTAATTCTTGTCTCTTACTCGTTCTTGCCTCTTTTCATATTTTCAACATCTTGATTTCTCTTACTCTCAATTCTTTCTAACCACGCCTTTACAGATATAGACAATATTATTTATTGTTGGTCCAAGCACAATTAGAGTACTGTACGGAAATTATATTCTAGAGTATAATGCTTCAAGCTAATTATATTGAATCCATATTATTGGTGTCATAGTGAAACTTTACAAATGAGCTAACATATGGCACTACTCAATAACTATGATAAAACATAAATATGGCTTGATAGAGTACAAATTGTAAAATTAAGTTTTGGGGGAAGAAATTGTAAAATAAACATATAATAAAGCGAGATTAGCAGCACTTAATAACTTGAGCAGAAGAAACAACACGAATGGCGGACTTGGAGTTACAGTTCCCGATCGCACTAATCCTCTTTAACGACGAAGCAAACGAAACCAAAGCCGATTTCATCACCCTCGCCACCACTTTCCTCAGCTTCTCCGACCTCAATTTCGCCGGCGACGACGCTTCCAGCTTGTACCCTTGAAGGAAAACCTGCCGCCGCCTCGCCCTCTCGCGCCTGTAGCTCAAAGAACTCCACGCCACGGCGGCGGTATTGCGGCGGCCGCTCTGCTGCCGGCGGCTCCTCAGCTTCCTCGAAAACGTTCTCCAGCCGCGCTCATCGTCGCCGCCGCCGCCGCCGCTGTAAGGTTCCCTCCCTTCTCTTTGGATTTGATCCAACGGCTCGTAGCAATCGGCTCTCCGGCGAAAACGCAGCGTGGTGCTTTTTACTAGAGTCTCCATTGCAAGCTCAGCTCAAGCAAATGATTCGATCTGTAAGAAAGTTAGTCTCGTAGACTTGTTGATAGATCACTCCTTCATAGGTTACATTATATAGTATATGCTGATGATGTGACTAAAATTAAATGTGTTATTTAACCTAGGTTTGAATATGATTAAATTTTTCTTGTTTTCTTCCATGGCGGGCGGGAGATGAAGCTTCGTGTGGTCAACACTCTACACTCAACTTGGTCAAACGATCAACAACCATGAATTGTCATCCTTCCATACCAAGAAAGAAAAATTCGGTTGCGGGTGTGTGAAGCATAATTCTAACATTCTTTTGATTGAGCGCATAAGGTCCCAAAAAGTTGAATCTCCAACTCTAAGAGCCCCTCCCATTTTGGCACGATAAAATATTTATGAAGATATAAATCACGATAACGGATAACTCAATAGCTCAGCAAATAAGGTCAAATGCTGGTGCGCATACGAGATTTGTCCACTTTAGACATAACCTCACACTGTCGCTATCAAAGTTCGAATATTAATTTTTTTCTTTCAAATACTGTTTACTGAACCATTGAATTAATTCCGTGCAAGCTATAATAGCAATCTCCATTGATAATGGTTGATGACAACGTTAGGGAGTACTAGTGAGAGGTTATTGGACTCTAGAAGTTTGTGGAGTGATTAACTATGCGTGTATGTTTCGTCTTAAGCAGCCAATTAATTTGACTATGGAACATGTAAAATTGCCCAAAATTTTCATATTTGCGTAGTTATTCTATGTATGTTATATTAAATTTGGGGTCATTTTCTGTGACGGCTTGGTTTACCTTAGTTTATTTATCTCAAAATTATATTACTATTACTATTATTAAAAATTGTTGGTCTCGAATACCACATTCTTATTGACCAACTGTTTAATTATAATTTCTAATTAGACAACTAATCAATCATAAAAAAAATCATCTAAAACATTCTTATTGTTTGGCTTCTTTCTTTTTTTTTTTTTTTAAACTAAAAATTTAATTTAATAATTAATCAATTAAATTCAATTTAAAATGTAATCTAAATCGTACTTTGTCCTATTTAAGAAATATATAGCACTAATTTTGATTTTTTATTTGGATTTGCTTAGCTTGCTGCCTAATAAGAAACGTGGTATAAGAACTTTTCAAAAACGAGCATGTGACAATATTGGTTGGTTTTGTATTAATTGGATAATGATTGGTTTTTTCTTTGAATGGTTTAATTAATCATGCACATATGCCTATGGCTTAACAATCATTAACAATCGGAGTATTTATTTATTTATTAATTGATTATTGCATTAGGTCACATCTTATCTTATACTAAAATAAATAAATTAAGTTTATAAGATCAACTGTATGCTATTAAATGATTAATCAAAACTAGTAACGAAATG